CGAGTAGGATTTTCATTTCGTATTTTCGTTGGTCGTTCGGAATCCTACTTCATCTTGTTTTTTTAAATTTTTTATGTTCTTGTTTGTGTTGATTTTTTTATAATATTTCGTATTTTCGTTGGTCATTCGGAATCCTACTTCATCTTGTTTTTTTTAAATTTTTTATGTTCTTGTTTGTGTTGATTTTTAAAATAATATTTATAGTATTTCTTTAGTTGCAATTGTGATACTTGCTGATTTTACACAAACAATAATTTTCTTTATTATTATTATCATTGTTATAACATTTATGAGAGACAGCATTGAATAGACTACTGTATTCATAGCACTGCAACAACGTCAGGACACTATAAATCAAAGAACAACACCACCTTAAATCAGACATTTTCTTATTGTAGATCACGTGATATATTTATTTATTTTTATATCTATTGAGATGCTCTGCTATCGTAGTCTACTGCAGCTATCGTGGAAAGATCATTACCTCCTCATATTATCATCCCATGGTGCTATTACTACTATTATTAGTCTAAGAATAGACATGCTGAAGGAATATCAACTATACTGATGACAAGTGAAACTAATACTAGTCTTGACACAAGTCCTTGTTCAAGAATCTGTGAGCTAAGAGTGCCCATCTTCCCTGCTGGCTGTTGTCAAGTTCATAATTATCATTGCATATCATAAGTCATAACATTAATTAATTGTTTGTTTTTTAAAATAAAATAAAATAACACACTTGATAAAACAGTAACATGTAAAATCAATACCTTCTTTTAGCTGGAAACCTCCACTAAAGTATTGCAGTAGTTGATTCCAAGCATAGCTTGGTAAAAAATAACTTAGCCTTCCAGAGCTGCAGATCTGAGCATGCGCGACCACACCCATGCAAATTTTGGAGCACATGGCAAGATTCTTTAATTAACAAAATGGCGGCATGCAGCTAAGATGGCTCGATCCAGCAGTCACAGTATCACTTTTTTCTTACTTGAAGAATGATCTGATGGGACATGGACCTGCGCATAGACTGTTGGAGTAGATTGGTGTAAGAATTATCCTTGTAGCACCAACTGATACTGAGATACACACCGACAACTGGATTGACAGGACTTGATGAAGATGATGATGATGAAGATGAAAAAAGGTGGCTGAACAAAACGGCCGGTTCGCCGATTTTTGACTTTTCGCTTAGACAAGGCCTAGAGCCACGCTAGTTGTACCATTGGAGTCCTCTAGTCAAGATAAGGTCCTCTATAAAGTCTGGTAAGCATAGGAGCTCGTTTTCCCGGTATAGCAAGGCTGCAAAAGTCGTGGCAGCCATTTTGTTTGGGGGTGAATCCTACTTAGTAACGCTACCGCGTTACTAATAATAGTACAGGGACTTTAATTGGCCTAATTTTTGTAACTTTAAAAATTCATAAAAAATCCAATTTTAATCGAAATCAGCTCAAACTTGCTACACAGCATAAAAACATGTATATGTATCAGAAAAAATTATAAAAATAAAGAATTCTTTCTTAGCCATTTTTGACAAAATTTTGCCTGGACCATGTACTATAGTACAGGGACTCGTTGAATAACTTTTAAAATTCATAAAAAATCCAATTGTGATCGAAATCAGCTCAAACTTGCTACACAACATCAGAACATGTATATGCATCAGAAGTCAGAACAAATGCAAAATATATCACAAACAATTCCATCGAATCACAACATCCTTTAACATACTTGTCTTTGAATGAGAGCTAAGGATTTGACCCCATATTGATATTCTTTTGAAATTGCAGCTGGATCTGTTAATCCTCTCTTATCTTTAAAGTAATCCTTCACACGACGAATAGCATATGATCTATCAATAACATAGTATAAGAAAACACCTTCATCTTTTTAAATCGTTTTAAATGACTATTATATACGACATACATAAACAAAAACAAATTACTTTTGTTTTTACAATAATTTTAAAAATTGTTTTAAGGAAATATGTATTATTTTAAAGATCATTAAGTTTTTACCTATAATTGTAATTTGCAAAACGTTCCCCTTCCCTCAACAGCTGCTTATACAATCCTAATACTTGCCTTGGAGTTGCAGCCATCTTTAAAATAGGCGAGGCTTATTTGGGCGAGTCAGCCCCACCCATAAAACACGTGGTGCTGTCAGTAAAGAAAATGTATCTAATGTATTATTTGGATAAAGAAGGTAAAAGAATCTACACTCTAAAGAAAATTGGACCAGATGGTACACCAACACTTTCTGCTCATCCAGGTACGATCATATTTCACCAAAATATTTGTTCTTAATCCTATTTATATTGAATAGCCCGGTTTTCACCGGATGACAAATTTTCTAAAGAAAGGTGGATATTAAAAAGAAGATTTGGACTGCTCCCAACACAGAAAGAATCCCTTCATGCTTGAAAATTTTTTATAAACAATTAATACAAAAATAAAAAATAATTTATTACTGTTATACGTGAATATGAATGGGCGTTGTAGCCACACCCATCTGCTGCTGCAGTAAAGATGGCGTTTAGTCAAGAAGTAAGTTCTAGTCAACTAGCTTTAGCTTCTTTGAATACATGTGTATTAGCTTACAGACAGTAGTGCTATGCTAACCATTGTTTAGTAGATGAGCTTAATACCCAATGATACTGTATCTTGTTGAGTGACTACTTTGATAGATATAAATTTCAACTTCACTATGATCACTGGAAACAAGTTTGCCTGGGTATAGGGCTCGGTATAGGGGCATTTTACTAGTACAGGCATCATAATTGGACCTAAATATCTAGATTTATTAATAGTTTTACATGTATGTTGTGCTTTCATTGTTAGAATAATCCAGATCGTGGCATGATTATACAGATCTTGGAGCATTTGTTAGAAGCTTGTATTGTAAGTGAAAATTGTACGATTATAGCTAAATAATAATAATATTTATTTAATAAACAAGAAGGAAGATTGTTTTGACAAAATTGACGCATCTTATAGACTACTGATTTACAAAACTGTTTACAATGTATACTAAGATGTTTCGACACTAATGATAACGAATAACAGACAAATCTTAATAAACAAGACACAAAGTTATTATTATTAATATGAATAGTCCAGCAATGGGCTTGCTGTATGTTGATGCATTGCCAGGACTTTCTGTTGGCTCTGGAAGATCTGTTGGCTCTGGAACACTTGGTGTGCTTGTTGCCTCCATGCATAAAGTTGAAGTCCTCATTTCTTTGTCTTGTGTGGTTTTGCCAGGACTTTCTGTTGGCTCTGGAACACTTGGTGTGCTTGTTGCCTCCACGTACGAAGTTGAAGTCCTCATTTCTTTGTCTTTTGTGGTTTGAGAGATACACGTGTAGCTCGATGTAGCTATGGATGTAGTGAGCGAAGTAGAGATTGGAGTTACTGTAGGAGTATGCTGGTATATTGTACTGTAGTTATCCGGGCCAAAGCAATCATTACTTTTGTTTGAATGGAAGTTATGGCATTCTAAGTGCTCAGGCCAGGTTATATTTTCTTTGGTTAGAAATGGTAGGCAGTCGTCATAGACTTTATTGCAGAGGCTCTTACATGGAGAGACTGTGTAGTGTTTTCCTTGTGATACCTCCTGGCATATTGGAGCATAGTATGAGCATAGGAAGAGGAGAGCATACTCAGAGCATTCAGCCCGTTTGATATGTGGGATGAAGTCATCAAGCTGCTTTGCAGCCTCCTTTTGGTTGCTTAATCCGTTTAGTGTAGGATATACAGTCATATTGTAGCCTGCCGCTTCGATGCAGTCTGGAAATAAGGTCGCATTTATCAGCTCACAGGAGTTACTCAGTGCTACTAATCCTCCCAGGAGGCAGAACAGGACTCCACTATTCATGGCCCTCTTTCTTTCTGTAGTAGTACTAGTGATTGAATGAAGCTGGCACTCTCCGTGTGTGGTCCTTATAAGCTAGTGATTCTCTGATTTGATTATAAGTTGCACAGAGGTTATTTTTCCTTGTTTTGTTTGTCACTTGAGGCCATTTGTGATGTAGCCATGCTATTATCTACATGGACTGTTACTCTCTACTCTTTTATAAATAAATTAATACTAATTTAATAATCTTTTCTATATCAATTGCTACAGTGTTTTTGACTCTTTATAACTTTTTTAAAATTAAAATGCTAATTTCTGTACTTCACAGGTAGAGCAAGCCCAGTCAATCCTTCCTAGTTTTGGCTCAAGCAAGCATATATTATTTGTTGCACAGGATGAGGTCCCTGCATTAGAGGACAGCAATAAGGTCTCGTTGATAAAGTCCCTCATAGCTCAAAGAGCAAAAATGGAAGTTGTAAGTCCATTATTATTTTGTACATAAATTGAGTTAATGAGCGTGCTGTTTTAGTATAATGGTGCTGAATATTGTATAAATTTAATGTTTTGCTTTTTGTATAGGATTCTATTAAGTACTGCATCAGAGTTTATGATAGAAGCACAAGTAAATGTCCATCAAAATGGCCTGGTTCAGTTTGGCATGGCTTACGTGATCCTACACAGGAAGCTCTGTCAATGGTTACTGCTGATGTACTAGTTGAGGGTAAATCAATTCTAAACTAAGATTTAAAAAATTTTTTATTTATCTTTGTAGCATCATCTAGTCAAAGAAGTGATGATCTTTTTTCGGGTTATAGTCAAGGATCATTTGTAAGAAAAGTTGGAGAAAGAGATCACATTAAAATGAGACACTTTTATTCAATAGGGTGACATCAGTACATTCTTGAAGTGCATTTCTAATTGGTCAGAAGATGGCGTCGTTTTTCCACAGCCGTTATTTCAAGCCACTATGAAGCATCTTAGCTCTTCATCTGAAGGAAAGATTGCAGTTACAATGATGGTGAAATCTGCTGTGAAAGACTTAGAAATAATCAAGAGGTGAAACATTATACATGTATATACTTGAAGTAGTTCTTGATATAGTTTTAATCTTTGCTTTAATGCATATACACTGTATATGTAGTCATAAAAATACAAATGTATGCTCACCTTTATTTTTTAGGCCTGATGAAATCCTTTCTGAAGGTAGCAAATTTTTTGATGCTCTTCAAGCACTTTTATCAGAGGTTAATTCTATTGCATACTATGAATGTGAATTATGTATCCTCATGTAGACAAGTGTACTGGATATAATAGGAGAGAGGTTTCTCCAGGAAGTTATTGAGGCTTCAATGCTACAGGTAGGTACATGTACATACTAAAAGAGCTTCTCTTTTAAGTACATATGATAATTATTGTTCATAATAATGTAGTTAAATGATTTTAGCATTTATCCCCAGAACTACTATCCTGCTCTTCAGGCTAGAAGTCATCTTGAATGTGCATTTCTTTGTTTAGGGTAGCTACTTTGAGAAGGAGAGCATATTGTGCTCTTTGTTGTCCTGCTCAACCATCATTGAACGAGTTCATCCATTGCTGATGCAGAAGAAATGGTATGCTTGTTTTACGGGCATAAGAGGATTCCCTACTTGCTACCAAAGAGATGTGGAGCAGATACATGTAAGATTAAATGAGGGCATGAATTTTTATACTTATAGTTAATTAATTTGTATGTATTATTATTGTTATTGTTTTATTTGTTTTTATTATAGTCAACTATACAAGATGGCCTTCACAAGTGTCACACGCTAATTCATTCAAATATTTTGCTCCTTCTCAGACGTCCATCAGCTAAAAACAAGTAGACACATGCATGTGTAATCTTACTCAATCTTATTCTATAAATATTTATGTATTTACTTGTTTTTTCCAAAAATTGGCTAACGAGCCAATTTTTGGAAAATACCTAAGGCTATAGCCCATGCTTTTTCCCAAAAAATGGCTCCAAAATCACCCCTAATTTTTATTACATTTTCTGGTAAATATTGATGTCCTTATGCTATGTAGAAAGTTTGAGCTGATTCCGACAAATATTTTTCAAGTTATGAGCATTTTAAAAAACTAGCCAAAATCTGAAAAATACCCAAGGCTATAGCCCATGGTTTTTTCTGAAAAATGGCTCCGAAATCACCCCTAATTTTTATTACATTTTCTGATACATATTGATGTCCTTATGCTGTGTAGAAAGTTTGAGCTGATTCTGATCAATATTTTTCGAGCTATGAGCATTTGCAAATTAAAAAAAAATCATAACTACATGTACATGTATTCCCTTGTTAATTTGGGGTACAATGTATTTATGAAAATTGACTAGGAGAGAATTCTCCTTTTTTATGTTTTTTCCAATGCGTATGACTTATACAAATGTGAACTGATTCCAATTAAAATTTGCTTCTGTATATAAAGTTACTTAAAGACGACAGACCTACACGTACATGTACATGTATTGGTTTTACGTTATGTACTGTACATGTATAATTATCACTATTAGTGTACTCTCGTGGTTGGCAGCTGTCGTTTCTTTGAATGAGACTCGTGCTGGCCCTAAATATGAACTAAAGAAAGGGAATCCTGGGACTTGTACTGATGGTAATGAGAGAATGTCACTCTGTGTGTGTGTTATCATTTTAATATCTTAGGATTTCTCGTCAACTTTTGTGCAGTCCTTTTGAATTTCTGTCAGCCGTTTTTCAGCAATCATCCATCAGCTCCTAAGCTCCCACTTATAGTCCCTGAATATCCTTCCTCCCCCTCCTGTCGGTTAGACTTACATAACGAGCCCTGCCTCTCTCACAGCATCATCAGTAAGTTACCTTATTATCTTAATGTACATGTACTTATTATTTGCTCTGACTTCTGAGTGATCTGTAAAATAACGACAACATTTTTATTGCGTAACATAATTTTTATGACTCTAAAATTACCGCCAATTCATAATTATTACATTTCCTGATGCATGTTGTAGTTCTTATGCCATGTGGAAAGTTTGTACCAATTCTGATAATTTATGAGATTTTTTTCTAGTCAATCCCGAGCGTCAATCCAAAGATCATGTTAGATTTCAGTGTCTTGATGGGAATTATAAGTTTGTGACAGAAATATTCTTCATCACGCTACGGGGACTTCATATTGGGCTACTCCCTGCAACTGATACTTTCATGAAGACTCTCAGGTCGGTAGAATTATGCTTTAAAAGTATAGGATGAATTTTTACATTGTATTTCGTAGCAACTTAGCAAAAGAGATTGAAAGGAAAGGAGGCGGTGATAAGCTATTGAGTGATCTTAACGGAGTAAGAAATAGAAATAAATACATATTTATGCGTCATATCTCTAATCATTTTGTTTTACAGTTGTACCTGATATCCGGTAGCTGCTGTCTATTGGATCCACTGCTAGTCCAGAAATGCTCTGAGTTCTATATCACTAATGCTGTCTGGCTAACAATGCTAATGGAGTCATGCAATGATGTAAATACACACACTGTAGAGAGATAGAGAGAGAATATAGTGACACTGTATAGAGATAGAGGACACAATGCATCATTACTTTACTTGTAGATAGAGAGTAGTAGATAGAGCATTTAATGTACATGTATGTATGTACATGTACGTTTACTTATATTGTATGTAGGAAAAGCTCTCCAAAGAGGAGATTCATTCTAAGCAGAGGAAGTTATTTTCATTGATACCAGAGCATGCAGTGAAGGACATGGTGAGGTGGTTTTTATTTGTTTTGCGGACTCAAGCAAAATTACTTCAAGGCCTACAGGTAAGTTCTGTTACTATCATCACTACTCCATTTTGTAATCTCTCTCTGTATGTGTGTGTGTTTCCAGTTGACCCCATTCGTGGATTGCTGCATCAGTTTATTGGAGAGGCCAGATCTGTTGCCCGGGCCGGTTGCTCAGAGTCAGATTATATCAGTTCTATTGGCTTGTGTTGGTAGAGACAGGGGTGACTCAAAGTAAATTTACTTCTATGTTATGAAGCTTATATATTATTTTATTTTTATTTTATTATAGTAGACTTCTGAGCACTGAGTCATGGGGGTAAGTTTGTATTATCATTATTTATTTTTTTTAAATTTATTTATTGTAGTGGTATTCGTGGCGAATTGGCAGCTATGGTTCAAGGTAGTCCGGCCTTTCAGAGTCGCCTTGGTCCTGCTCTCCTTCACACTTTTGCTGCCGTTGGTGTCGTTGAAGGACTCGATGTTGACAAGGAGGACTTTGATAAATACAGTGCAAGGTAATATCATTACGTATGTTTGACGAAAAAAATTAATCTGTGACTTTTCATTGTGTCTCTGATACAGAGTCATTGTTTTTATGATTGTGTATTTTCAGATTTGATATCACTCAACTTCTGCTGCATCTTTGGACTCAGCCGAGCTGTCGCGAGTCTATCATTCAGCAGTCTGGTACACAGAAATTCTCTTCTTTCCTTGGAGCAATATTTGATACGCTACTCTATCAACTCAATGATAGCATGACCCGAATAAGTAATGTACACAGAATGGAACTCGAAAAAGACAATGGTAATAATAATGTACATGTATATGCAATGAAAGAAATTTATTTTATATCTAATTTATGAATGTAATATTATGTGTTATTATTATTATTATTATTGTTATTATTATTTATTATTATTATTATTATTATTATTATTTCATTGCAGTTGAGACTTGGTTAAAATTATCCGGAGAAGAAACTCAATCAAAGGAAAGGTTTCTAGCTGCAGAGCGTCGAGCATCAAAGCATCTCCTAAACATGGTACATCTACATCCATGTAAGTGGCAAAATGATTAACTGTCTCATATTTAGGGTATGACATTATTGTCACTGCTTGAGTCAATAACTGAAGTAGAGAGTATCAGTAGGCACTTTGTTACTCCACCACTGGCTGTGAGGACCGCATCTGCTGTAAGTTGTAGAATTTTTTAAAAACTTTTTAAAGTTTCCCTTAAAATATTCAGCTAGAATTTGTGATTGCTACTGCATGTATATTATAATAATTGTAATGTTCTCCCTAACAGATGATGGGGTTTCTTGATCACCTCTGTGGCGCCAGACAAGCCGAGCTTAAAGTGAAGGATCCCGATCAATTGAAGTTTGACCCACGGAAACTGGTGACCCAGCTGGCTAGAGTGATGGTTCACATATGGAGGGTAGAGAAAAATGGTGTTAAAGAGAACGGGTTCACTCTATCGCTAGCAGCTCATCCTGACTATAGTCGTCAGGTAGTGAGTAAAGTTGTGAGTATATTGGAGAGACATCAGTTGTGTGGAGCTGATATCACTAACGATTATAAAGGCCTACTAGCAGAGGTTAGTTTATGCATTATCATTATGTATACATGTATATGAGTCTATTATAATTTTTTATTATTTGTTAATTTTTATGTTTGTTTGTAGTTGGATAAAAAGAATGGCCCAGGTGATCCTATGGCCCAAGCCTCAGTTACTATAGGTAGTGTTGGATCTGAGTTTAAGCCGGGGACCATTGCTGACTGGCAGAGAGAAATTGAGTGAGTCTAGAATGACCACAAACATAGATACACTCAATGCTTTACTAATCATTTCTTGTATAGTTTACTGACAATAGATAAGAACGCACTGCATGAGATGTATACAGGGACACTTCAAGACAGCGTTTATGATTCTGCTAGCCTTGAAGGAGTCCACTCATTGGAGGATAGGGCTGTACCATCAGCAGACCCAAGGTACACACTATACATGTACATCAACGTCAACAACACTATCTTATTTATTTATGTACGTGTATAATGTAAATGTAGGTCCCCACGGTTAATGGCTATACTCAGAGATATTAAACAATTACAAGAATCGCTCTCTGTTCATCCTGACTCTTCAGTTTATGTTAGACAAGTGAGATTAATAATATCAATTGTATATAAATACTATTTTTTTGTGTTTTTATAGGATGAAGAGAGGATGGATCTAGTGAGGGTTTTGATAACTGGGCCGGTTGACACTCCTTATAGCTATGGCTGTTTTGTTTTTGATGTATTTTATCCAACAAATTATCCTGTGGATCCTCCATTAGTGCTGCTTACTACAACTGGCAATGGGACTATAAGGTTAGGAGTTAAGGCCAAATTTTGTCAAAAATGGCTAGGAAATAATTCTCCATTTTAATAATTTTTTCTGATGCATATACATGTTTGATGTTGTGTAGGAAGTTTGAGCTGATTCCAATCACAGTTGGATTTTTTATAATTTTTAAAGTTGCTCCAAATGCCATGTACTGTATTGTAGTGCTTGTCAGCTCATGAAGCTCATGCTGTTTAGCTCACTTAGCATGTTTTGTGGGAAACCTTTGTTACCTTCTTGTGTACACATACCATAGGTTTAATCCCAACTTATATGCTGATGGTAAGGTCTGTTTGAGCCTATTGGGTACTTGGCATGGTGGTGACTCATCTGAAAAATGGAATCCTTTGCAGTCCAACCTCTTGCAAGTCAGCTATCATGCATAAATGCATACTGTGATGCATATTATGCATACTACAAACATCTACTGTAGTCTTCTATCAACAGTATAGAATTCATTCATTTTTATGCATGTCATTTGTTAGGTTTTTATATCAATCCAAGGTCTCATTTTAATCCCAGAGCCTATTTATAATGAGCCTGGCTATGAGGCAATGCAAGGAACGCCACAAGGGAAGGTAAACTAGTACTAGTAGTAGTATAGCTAATAGTGTTATGCCAACATTTTTTACTATAGATTCGTAGTAGTCACTATAACGCTTACATACAAGTCAATACTATAAGATATGCTATGCTGGAACAGTTAAGGCATCCTCCTGCTGGTAATACACAGTCCACTAAACTTATCATTTATTAATTATTTAGCTTAGCGTTTGGTAAACTTATCAAATCTTTTTTCATAATAGGATTTGAGGATACGGTGAAGATTCACTTTATGCTATTGCGTGAGGTGATACTACAGCAATGTTCAAAATGGCTTAAGAATACAGTCTCAGCCGATCATGAGCAAAAATTAAGAAAAGCTGTCAATGAGTTGAGAGAGGAACTAGAGAAATTGTAATAATTATTTTTGTCTTAGAATGTTTTTGTGTTCATTTTTACTTTTATATACAATTTCAACTTCAAGAACGTAGTATTTCTAGATGCAGTTGGCATGCTATTGTCTGTTTAGTTTTCTGCCAACTCATCTAGCTTAATTCCCCCTTTTATAAAGTGGAAATAAGATGTTATTCAAATTACTGTAGACTAGTCCCTCCCCTTTATTTTAGCAAGTTAGGTCTAGTACTAGTCTAGTTGTAGTATCTATGGAATCCACAAGAAACCCATACAGCAGTGATGTTGGTGCAGCAAGACCTGAAAGGTCAGCTAAGAAAATATCAATGGCAGATGATCCTAACCAAGTATCTTCTCTTGGCAAAAATAAAACAACACAGAAACCTCATGATAGATGTAAGCTATACACCTCATTATCTTCAATTATTTCTTTCCTTTGCAGGTCTGCCATCACAAGCAGTCCTAACTCCTCTTACTCTTAATGAAGCAGCTACTCCTAGTCTTGATAGCAATGCAATGGCTGCCCTGCCTACCTCAATTCATCCTGATGCAGCCATATTTCCTTCTCCTCCTCTAACTCCTGACAATATTGAGTCACACTCTTCTATAGATCCTCATGTAACTTTTATTATTCCTAATACAGCTACAGTATCCTCTACAAGAGCAATGCCCCCAGCAGAAATGTTTCAGTACTCTGCACCCCAGCAGCAGAAGCAGGCCTCAGTAGTGAGTCGTACTACAGTAGGTGGTTGTACTTTTGAAGACCTTTGCAATGGAGCTGTGAACTACACATGTGATCCTTCGTGCTTGATTGATCTTAGTAAAACTGATGCTGTAGATGAAGTAGTGCAACTCCTAGCAGAAAAACTGGAGGATAACATAAGAGAGCTGGAGATAGCAAGAGATGGTAAGGTTACAAAAATATACATTGGAAAGACATTCATTAGACAACGAAGGAAAGCAGGAGGTGGGTTTCAGCAATTTGATCGGATGCAACCAACAACCTGGAAAAAGAATGGCATTAGTTCACGCTGGGGTAGTCATAAAAGAAATAAAGGAAAACATGGTTTGATTGTCCTCACGGCAGTTACTAGAAAAGTAGTTCCAAAAGGAGTTGCTAACCAACAGAGGTATGCATTGATATTGGAGCAGAAACTAATCCATCATTATGAATTTCGTCAGGATGAGCGATTGGAAAATAAAAGTAGCAGTGAAGGAGCCAAAACCAAAAATATATGTTATGGATATGCATTGTACGCAGCATTTACTTTTGAGAAGAATGCTGATGATGAGACTACATCAGGCCTACCATATATTAATACAATAGAAGATCCTTTACCCACTCTTTCTGCCAATGCTGGGTCATCTAATCTCCAGTTTACACAACCAGCACATCATGTACCAGTTATAGTGACACCAACATGTGTCAGGAATGCAATAACTCAAACAATTTCTTGAACAATATAAATTAAGAGTATCACATAATACACTTAAGTAATTATATTTTTATTACCTGTCTTGTATTTAAATCTAATTTTTTCAAAATTTTTATTCATTATTTTATTTGTTATTTTATATTTATTGATAATAAAAAGCTAGCACAAAAAGCAAAAAATGGAAGTATGCATGTTAACTCTTGATGTTATGGATCTATTCCAGTCTCCATCACTCTACTGGAATCAATGCTGACCCATGCCATGCGTTTTGTAGTAAATCCTTTAGCAATTTCTCCTGATGGAGTAATGAGTATCAGCCCACCAGTCCCGCCTATCTTAGTCTTCATGAAGCTCAATCCCTCTTCAATGGCCTTTTGTGGTGGCTGGATCTTTGTTAAGTGCAACACTCGTGTAGCTAACGTTGCTCTTGCAATAGATTCCCCATGTCCGGTAGTAGACACGCCTCCAAGCTCATTATCTGCATATCCACCACATCCAATTATTGGACTGTCTCCAACGCGACCAACCATCTTACGAGTGATGCCACCAGTTGACGTGGCACAGGCTATGTTACCATGTCTGTCCCTAGCTACAGCTCCGACTGTATCGTGACCTTCAGGAGCGGCTAAATCAACCTTTGCTGAAAGAGGATCGTCCTTCTTGTTGGAAGCAAATATCTCTTGTACGACGGTCACATATTTAGAGTAATAATTCCAGCGGGACTTAGCTTCTAAGCTGAGGAGGTCCTCTGTGCTCACATACGGAAAGCCTTGCTCTTTAGCAAACTTGATCGCACCTTCTCCTGCCAACATGACGTGGTTGGTCTTCTCCATCACTCTCCTGGCAAGGCTCACCGGATTGGCTATGTTCTTTACACAAAACACCGAGCCCAGCTTAAGAGAAGACCCCTCCATTATGAGTGCATCCATCTCTATGTCCCCGGCAGCGTTGACTATGGACCCGTGCCCAGCATTGAAAAAAGGATTGTCTTCCAATACTCGGACGGCAGCTTCAACAGCGTCCAAAGCTGAGCCTGTCTCTGACTCCATGATCTTGTAGCCTGTTTCAGCTGCTAATTGACAGCCTTTGGTCTTCTCTGGTATCACGTCATCAGCAATTGAATAAGCTCCTCCATGGACTATGATCGACGCCATTTTAAAGGGTGTGTCATCAACAAAAATAAAAACAAATTTTTGTGTTAAATAACTCCACGTGCTTTCACGTGTGTCAGATTTAAAGAGATCAGTCACAGAAAAATAGGTTTTTTAAAAGTTAAATAATAATTAGTGATAATTATAGCTATAGAATTAATTAATTTAAATGTATTCCGTAAAAAGCAGTGATGGATAGTTCCTAATGTTATTTATCTTTCTTCTCCACTGACCTCTTTATTTCTAAACCGATTGCTTTGGCCAATGGAGGTGGTACTGCATTACCAACCTAAAGTTAAAATACCCAATAATAACAACACAATGAGTTCTCTGTGTGTGCTAGTATCATAGAGTGGGGAAAAGTGGCAAATTGCCAAAAATAAAATTCTGCATTCTGAGTATGATATGTGGCTGCAAATTCCCCAATATAAAAACGACCAATACATCCCAATCATGGAATTACTACCACCAAATATTCTTCCCTGCTATACGGCATAATACTGACCTGTCTGTGCTTATCAAGTATTGTTCCAAAGAAACGGAAAGTATCAGGGAAACCCTGTGACCTAGCACACTCCCTCACACTCACCACACGATGCTGCTCTGGATGAAGGACACGACCCTTACAATAAATAAATAATAAAGTAAATTATTTGTATTATTTTTCTCCTTCTCACTTGCTTCCCCATTGGCTCAGGATTAGTAACAGTTGTACTGAAGAAGCCGTCCCACTCTAACCTTCCATAGAGACCAGCCCAATGATTGTGTCTGTTACCTAATAGAAGATACAATTATAATGTAATGGATGTGGCCAAAAATGACTAGGAGAGAATTCTCCATTTTTATAATTTTTTCTAATACATATACATGTTTTTATGTTGTGTAGCAAGTTTGAGCTGATTCCGATCACAATTGGATTTTTTATGATTTTTAAAAGTTGTTCCAAAATCGGGTAAAAGTCCCTGTACTATAGTACAGGGTACTTGGACAAATTTCGCCAAAAATGACTAGGAGAGAATTCTTCATTTTAATAATTGTTTCTGATACATATACATGCTTTGATGTTGTGTAGCAAGTTTGAGCTGATTCCGATCACAATTGAATTTTTTTATAAATTTTTAAAGTTGCTCCAAATGCCATGTATTGTAGTGCTTGTAGGATGTTGTTTAGCTCATTTAGGATGCTTTGCGAGTAGTCAGGATATCTTTTACAGCTCTATAGTAATAATTTATTCTCTCCCCTACCTGTATGTGGTAAGCACCATGGTATAAGGGTTCCATACTGCCTGTAAGAGGAATCACAAGGTTGACCAGTAGCACAAGGACAGACACCTCTTAATGACTTATTCTTAGCTCTCCCATTCTTTTTATCATGATGAGTATATTGACTGGGAGAGAGAGACAGAGACAGACAGAGAAGAAAGTATAATTAGCTATCATTAAATTGCTTACAGTTTGGGTGCAGTAGTTCCATCAGAGAGTCTAATACATTTATTAGGAAGGTCCCTCCAGTCTGATCCAGGCCCAATTGGTATGAACCTCATACGAGCAGCAACCAATGGATTCATCTCTTTGCATATGTGATCATACAACACTGGCTGGTGCTGATTACCACGCATCTAAAAAAACATTAAAAACATAAACCCCAATACAAAGTGTACAAGGACTTGTGTGATTTTTTCTCCTCACCAGTCTCTGATAGTGACAGTGTGGCTCTCCATTATAATTCATGGAGCGTACAGCTGATCCATTCTTAATGTGAGGCAGGTCTGACATAGAGTCTCTGACAGTAATTGTCCTGTAGGGAGCTGAGTCCATTCTTATACTCCCCTCATACTAGGAGACTAAAGCTCATGTCATTCACTCCAAAGAGTGGCCCTACCTTAATATCATTGACCACTACAGTTAACTGACAGGCCCTTGGACTGAAGACATGAGTTGGGTTGGGAAAGTGAGGGAGCTTTTCTCCTGGGGCAGCTGCAAGTATAATAGCTCTAAAATAAATAAATAAATAAAATAAAATAAATATAATAAATAAATATGCACACCCACACATACATGTACATGTATTGCTCATAGATAAAAGCAAAATAATTTACCTTCTTCTTGTCTGAGGTACACCATATTGACCAGCTTGCAAGACACCAAACGTACACTAAAATAAAACGGTATAAGAATTGCTATTTTTAGTAACAGTTATATTAACAGTAACAAACCTGATAGCCCATCTTCACTAGACAGCGCAGTGTTAGTTTAAGTACCATGCTCTTTTTGAAGGACACAAAATTACGGACATTTTCAAGTAAAAAGAAACGAGGGCGATAATACTCACAAAAACTCAAATAAGAGATGACAAGCGAATTCTACAAAAGGTTAAGGTAGCATCAAAAACGTGTTAATACATGCATAAAATGCATTGAGAATGGAATCAAACATGTGTCAAGTACTAGTGGGAATAGTGTTAACCTTAAATTGAGAATATTCTCTTGAATTAAATCTGTTCATTCCACTGAATCCCTGACAAGGAGGTCCACCACACAACAACTCAACATCACCTTTCTGAGGCAACAACTGACCTCTGGAATTAGTTTTAGCACCCTAACAAGAAAAAAAGAAAAGTACATGTACATCACGTATACTTCATTATAAACATTGTTTTAAATTTATTGTTCTTTCTTTATAAACATTGTTTGATTTATCCATTCATCTTCCCTTCTCTCTATCCCTCTTTATTTTACCTCCATTACTAAACTAAGCAGTATATTACAGTCGTCAGTGAATACTGTTGTTTGGCTGTTGTTAAGTCTGAAAGCTTGAGCAGCTGGCTCATCAATCTCAACTGCCCAACATGAATCAGCTACTCCGGCTTGATGAAAACCTTCAGATAATCCTACAGTGACACACATGTAAGTATATGATCAAGTTTGGTCAAAATTAGAAAAGCATGTATCTCCTATACAATATAGTATACTCTAACCTCCACAGCCAGCAAACACATCAAGCATTCTCAGTTTCTTAAAGCTACTATCAGGAGTGATCTCATCTTTCTTATCATCATCAGTGCTGGTGGTGGCGATGCTTTCCTTTGATCCTTTAGCAGGTCCTTTACCTTTACCTTTACCCTTTGATACACCCTACAGTATAAATAAATATTTATAAAATACAGCACTTACAAAAACATTTAGTAAACTAATTGATGCCAATATAAATTACTTATCAATAAAGTGACTACCTTTCCTTTCCCTTTGTTCATTGCATGTACTGGAGGGTCTTCAAACTCCTTAGTATCAGCACAATAAGCCTAAATATATATTTAATTATAGTATAATGTTTTATCAATATATGGCTGACCTCTACAAAGTAAAAGTGGTTTGGCTTGTTGGAGAAGTATGAGTCAATGTCTTCGGTAATGTCTTCCTTGAATTTCACAAAACACTTTCCACAAACAACATCACCAGCAACTACTGTAGTCACTACAATAAACAAAAATATAATTATGACTAAAATTGAATTAGATCACCCATAAAATTTGAAAAAAAGAGTGCCACATCAATTATATGCATGTACATAAAATTACATGTCCTTCGTACAATCATGTATAAATGAATAAAAATAAGTACCTAAATCACTCCAATAGAGTAAATTGAGGTCATACTGTGCAGTAGCTTCATCTCCTTTGTGTGTGTCCTGTGGCCTGAGAAAGTAGCAAAGTTAATACATCGTACAGGGTAATTTTCAGATTTTGGCATATTTTTTAAAATGGTCATAACTTGAAAGATTCAAGTCGGAATCGACTCAAACTTTCTACATAGCACAAGGACATTAATATGTATCAGAAAATGTAATAAAAATTGGGGGTGATTTTGGAGCCATTTTTTGGAAAAAAACATGGGCTTTAGTACAGGGTAATTTTCAGATTTTGGCATATTTTTTAAAATGGCCATAACTCGAAAAATTCAAGTCGGAATCGACTCAAACTTTCTACATAGCACAAGGACATTAATATGTATCAGAAAATGTAATAAAAATTGGGGGTGATTTTGGAGCCATTTTTCACAAAAAACCATGGGCTATAGTACAGGGTAATTTTCAGATTTTGACATATTTTTTAAAATGGCCATAACTTGAAAAATTCAAGTCGGAATCGACTCAAACTTTCTACATAGCACAAGGACATTAATATGTATCAGAAAATGTAATAAAAATTGGGGGTGATTTTGGAGCCATTTTTCACAAAAAACCATGGGCTATAGTACAGGGTAATTTTCAGATTTTGACATATTTTTTAAAATGGCCATAACTTGAAAAATTCAAGTCGGAATCGACTCAAATTTTCTACATAGCACAAGGACATTAATATGTATCAGAAAATGTAATAAAAATTGGGGGTGATTTCGGAGCCATTTTTTGGAAAAAACCATGGGCTATAGTACAGGGTAATTTTCAGATTTTGGCATATTTTTTTAAATCGCTATAACTAAAAAAATTTAAGTTAGGATCGGCTCAAACTTTCTACATAGCATAAGTACATCAATATATATCAGAAAATGTAATAAAAATTGGGGGTGATTTCGGAGCCATTTTTTGGAAAAAAAGCATGGGCTATAGTACAGAGTAATTTTCAGATTTTGGCATATTTTTTAAAATAGCCATAACTCGAAAAATCCAACTCGGAATCGACTCAAACTTTCTACATAGCATAAGTACATCAATATGTATCAGGAAATGTAATAAAAATTGGGGGTGATTTCGGAGCCATTTTTTGGGAAAAACCATGGGCTATAATAGTACAGGGTAATTTTCAGATTTTGGCATATTTTTTTAAAATCGCTATAACTCAAAAAATTTAAGTCGGGATCGGCTCAAACTTTCTACATACATATGTAGCATAAGGACATCAATATAATATAATAAAATTTCTAATTATTACTATTATTACCTGTAGTACATTCTCAGTTTAATGTGAACAATCTTATTATTATCGATTAGTTTACCTCCCAATGATTTAGAAAATATCTCTAATACTTGACCTATGGAGAAAGAAAGTAGTCTAAATATTACAAGGCAACCAAATAAAAATTGATGGGCGACCTCACCAATTTGAAACGGACTAGGAGAGTCAATGTTACTGCCTTTGACGTAATCAGAAACCTTCCGATACTTCTCAGGATATTCAGACTCATCAAACTAAGAGGGGAAGGAAAAGGGAAGAGAGAGAGAGAGAGAGAGAGAGAGAATCAGGAATGTAAACATGTCACTTATTGATAAAAACACAAGGTCAGGTTTTTGTAACACAATGTGAGCAGCGTATGCTGTTACTTCCTTATAAGGAAGTAAATGGCTGCAGTGATTATTAGTAATACTAAATTGTTATGAATTGGAATCAAAAGTTTTTTGTTGTTATTTTCAGTGTTGCGCAAGTACAAAATGCTTGACTATGCAGTTTGTAGCAATGATTATGCAAAACTAGTAGTACAGGTATTGCAATTCATATATCGACTCATTTACAGAATAAGCATTTCAATTTCATGTGACACAACAATATGATATGCTACATTAACTCTAGTACCTCTTCCTCTTCCTTCTTCTGTTTCTTATTGGCAGCAGTTCCACTGGTTTTCTTAACATTAGGAAATGAATATGTATGAGGAGAGAGATAGACACAATCACCAATGGAATAAGACTCTTCATTTAACTGGAATGAGCTAAGAGGGAGAAAGTATGTGTGTAACAGAATATATGTAAAAGATAAAATTCAAGTAGGAAATAAAATGTACAATAGCAGGTAAACAGAAAATATAAATATAACAATATCACTTAAGAGTATATTAATGACACTAATGAGGTATTGATCTACAATAATTTAGTTAATTTTGAATCAGAATTAAAACTACATAGTGTTCTGACATTCATTGGTCAGTTGCAAGCAGTCGCAGGGTTGAAAGTACAGTAAATTGGTAGGTTCCTGTGGAGAGCTACGTAATGAAAATACTAGTCCTGTTGTTATGACTAGTACTGCAATAACAAAATGTAAAACTATAAAAGAAAGTAAAAGAGATAGAGGAGACAGAAAAAAGAGAAAGAGAGGAATGGCCAGTTCCAGTAATCAAGCATATCTCTATGAAAGGCCACAGCTGAGCAGACTCTGTTCTCAAATAAGAACTTCAAGATGGCATCAGCTAGGAATACAGCTAGAAGTGGATCAGGCAACACTCAGTAACATCAGAGATGATGGCTCCATCCCATACGACGAGAAAAGATGCCGCATGTTTGAGAAATGGCTTGACGGTAACTCTAGAGCAACTAATAAGCAGCTGCTGGAAGCACTGAGACTAAAAGTGATTGGAGAAGATGCAATGGCAAAGGAATATGAGCAGACACTTGTATCAAGCCAACAAGGTACAGTAGAACATTCTGAATATAAAAATATTCAAATCACATTTCACAGAAACCAACAAGGCAATTGGGTGTACAGTAGCTTCAACACAGCATGAAGATAATCCAACTAGAGAAGGTAAAGCTACAAAAGAGAAAGAAAAAATAAAAATTGAACTTTAGTCATCTTTCTTATCCTATTCTTCCTTTTCTTACAGTAATGGAAGAGATGTTAAAGAAGGCAATAAGCACAAAAAAGCTAACCGGCGAGGCACTGCAGCTCCAAGGAATGTATCACAAGCTCCTACCTTTAGTCCAGACCTCGTGCAGAGAAGATAAACTTGAGCCGATGAAAAACATCCTCAGGTCAATACTTCAAGAGAAATCCCTCTACCAATTGGCAGCCATTGCTAAATACCTGAAAGAAATAAACAGCCTCAGCTCTGTAGATCAAGTTTTCCAATTCCTTGTCGAGAAACACTTCATAAGTTACCTCAACTTTCAGCTACTCAAAGAATTCGCAACTGAGACAATATGTGGTCCTAAGGCAAGCAAGAAGATAGAGAGGGAGATCTCAAAGTACCAGAAGCACTTTAAAAGCTTCATGGATATACCAGAGTTCTCAACTCTGGTACAAGTCTTTGATAAAACCCCAGAGCTCAACCCAAGCACCATAATGGGACTCCCTATTGTAATAATATCATTAGTTGACTCCTGGAAGCATCGGAACAGAAAGGAGCTGAGTGATTGGATACCTTTTCTCAAGGAAAACAAAGACCTACTGCAGTCAATTGGATATAAGTGTATACTCATCACTTATGCCATCTTTCCTGTTGATCTTCCTCAGGTGATGACTTTCCTTAACGATTGTACTAAAATGGAGGAGCTGAAAAAGAATGGGATAACTATAGAAATATCAGAAGAGGCTACGACAATGTTTAAGTTACTTTCACCTCCAGATGTAAGTATCTTGATATCAAAGTTGGAGGCAGAAATGAAAGTTCTGCAGGAAGAGAACATAAAGCTCAAAGAAATGACCGAGTCTGTGAAACAGACTCAAGAAAAGATGATCTACATGTTCACGCAGACTCAACAAGTGTTGATACAAACTCAAGATAAGATAACGCAAACTCAAAAGGCTCTGATGCAGAATCAGGAAAAACTAATGGAGAAACTGATGGTAACATCCTTGCACCGTAGGAAATCATTACAAAATGGAGAGCAACACATAAGAGTGCAAAAAAGAAGAAGAGCAAAATCAGATATATTCGATCCTGATAGCATCTCAGAAGTCCTTAAAGATTCAAGTAGCAACTATCCAAGTGGAGCTGCTGACAGAAGATCTTCCGCTACTGAGAATACTACATACAATAGCTACACACTCTGACTTAATAGAATAACAGACACATTATATGTACCTGTATGAGCAATAACTGCTCATGTGAAGTGCTGAAGCATAATATTACACAAACATGTAATACTTTACATTGCAGTTGTTTTTTTAATGATTTTTCTAGTAGCGTTTCATGATAAATGAGCAGATACAACCATAAATATACACTTTAAGAGAGATATAAATGTACCTACATGTATATAGATGTACCTCTAGGCTTACATATAAAATAGTTGTATACAATATACATGCGAAGTAGTATTGGAGTATTGATTGACATATACATACACAGTAAATACGATACTTTTATCATTCCTACCTGTAGTTTGTGATCTTTGGTTTCTCTGACTCTATCTTATTGATAGGAACTGCAGAATGTACCTTAAAAGAGAGAGAGTGTTTAAAACATTATTATATGCACCGATTAATGTACACATTTACATGTACATATTAAATGTCATTTACAGTTTTCATGTGATTTCTTCTCTCACAAGAGGCACACTGAGGTATGAAACCATCAGTGGGTGGGTGGGCATCGTCTGATATCAGGTATCTTATGTATTCGCTCGGAATGTCTTCAAAACGTGCCAAAGACTGGTCGTAGTACTTCTGAACGAAAAATGTCTTCCCGTCTTCCTCAATCTCTTTTTCATCATCAGATACTTCCTCCCCACCACACATGAACCAGTTACTCACCGGAGGCTTATACTCAACCTAATAGCAATTGATAATACAGAAATTACATTGATACATGTTGTATGTACATGTATAAGTTGCTCCTTCTCCCTCTCTCTCACCTCCACTTTATCCATGATAGCCCCAAGAGGATTATCCTCACAATCGTCAATAAGGAACAGCTCCCGTGGATCTCCAGTCTCGCCTAATACCGTATCGGTTGATCGACTTTAAAAATAATCATAATAATAAAACTACAAAAAGTATAATTGCTGGATGCTTACTGAAACCACCATCCGTGAAACATTTTCTTTCCGTTTGAGTCCTCATACATTGACATGATTCGTGTGAGGTAGAGTGGATCATCAGGTACTTCTGGACAGACTGAAACTACATCATATAAACAGACCTAAAAGAGATGAGTATAATATATAAACAAGCTCTTTGCGTAAATAATCTATTAATATCTCCCTTTCTCTACTAACCTTCTCTTTGTTGTTAATGAGGACTTCAGTGTAGTAGCTTTTGCCTCCTTCAACAAAATCAGGCTCACCAATCCACTCGACCTTTGTCTACATGCAACAAATAATAATAGGAATTCATACAATAAAGTTACATGTATTTGTACATGTATATATTGTACCTTTATTTTCTTTATCTTCTTTGACGGAGACTTTAAGTCTTTCTATAAACATTAAGAGAGTTTATTTTCAGGCCACACCTACACTAACATACCACATTCTTCAAGTCAGGATCAGCTGCATCGTTATCTTCCTCTTCTTCGGCCGTCTGTACTGCCATATATGGGCATCTGAGAGGAGGAGATAAATAATAGAAAAAAAGAGTAAAGCTATCACATGCATAGATACACAAACATATGAACATGTACATTCAGGGACACACATGCAGTGCATTTGCAATGCATTTCAATGACTGACCTTCTGTTAACACAGGCTTGCTTTGATCTTCCAGTTCCTCCAAACTTGATCATGTCAGCACAAGCATTGCACTTGCCACAGTCCGGCTGCTGGCACGTCTCACAGACGCCACACCTCCTCCTACGAGGGGCGGAGCTGGACTTGTTATCAATCTGATTCTTGAAGAACGTCTCAAAGATATCTCTTACTAGAGGAGTGGTTGTCGCCTGTACAAAATCACAACAAAATGCACAAATTACATAATTATTTCATAATAATTATTATTATACTTTTGTTTGCTTGGTCTTTTTGACTTTAGGTTGGTGTGGACGTCGGCTTGATAGTCTAAAAACACCAGGTCATGGTGGGTAATACATATAATAAATGTCAAACCTCTTCCCCAGTGTGACTCCAGCTAGTTTTATTAATGCTCTCATGCATGGAGACACTAGCAAGAGATCTTCATCCTCATCGCAGTACTGATCATAACTCTCAACCTATCAGGAAATGTAATTAGTACACAGGTACATGTGTACATGTACATACATGTACATGAATTTGAAAACTACCATCTATCTGGAAGTTTTTACTATGATTTTATTTTTACTGGATTAGAATTTTACAAAAATTAGATCACACACATAACTACATGCCACATTCAATAATACATAACACAGTCTTATTTAATAAAAATTAAATCACAGCACAATTTTAAAACATAAAAATTTTCTACCGAACGAATTTCCTGATCTACTGTACTACTGTTACAGTACTATATACATGTACTTATTGGAGTCCATTGTACATGTAAGTGTAGTACATGTACATGAAGGTACCTGTTCCACTATGAACTGTGCATGTCTCAGTAAGGAATCTTCAGTGAATGAAGTGCAACCGATGGATTGAGGAGGAACTGACGTTTGAATCTTATTCAATAAATCCTCATACGTAGCAGCTGGGAATTCCTCCAAGTACTCAATAAGAATCTGATCAAAAACAAATAATATTAAATAATAATAATAATAATAATAATCATTATTATTATTATTATTATTATACCTTGCTTAGATATATCTTTTCCTGTACTGACGCCATGATCTCAGCATAATCATCAGAAGCATCCATCAGTATGTACTCAGCATATGCTGTAGAGAGGAAGGGATTAAATGGAGGAGAGACAGAGACAGAAGGTGTAGTATATAATTCACTGTGTGCATACCTGTAGAAAAACCCACAAGTGCTTTCTCTCCTCCATCAAATCCAGCAATCCACCATGAGTTAATAGGACCAAGCTGTCTCGTAGGTATACCATCTACAAAATCATACAAAAAACAAGTAACAGGTTTCAATTCATCAAAAACCAATTTTGATAGAAACTTTCTGTGGGTATATAACTTTTCATATTACTGTAGTATATAAATGTAATAAATGTGTGTTTATATATAATACCAGAAGGATCAGGGTTCTCATCATATATGGGTTTGACCCAACCACTGAAGAACAGCTCGACATTCTTCTCTACCAATCCAGTATCAAAATGACAGAGGTGATGGTTCTTATCATAAACACTATTATCAATTAGGAATCATAATAATAAATATAAGTCTTTCACTGTATACCTGAATCCAGTTATCTTGTGCTGAGGCACATCATCCAGTGCACTCTCTTGATCAGCACTCAGAACTGATAGACTAGGATCGGCCAGTGTAATAAACTCATCATTCTATCAATAGGTACACACACATAATGGGCATGGATATATGTTACATGTGTACATACAGCATTAGGTGGATCACCAATAAATATCTTCAATCTTGGATCATCACTACTTCTCTTACAATAGGTACAGGGTGGCTTTGATGACTGAGGAGCCTAACATTATCAATAATAATTATAATAGTTTTAAAAATATATATCTCTAGCATACTTCACTAGTCTTGTTAGCGGGAATATCGTCATGTGGCCTTAAGTCATGTGACTATAGGACAATCAAATAAGGAGATGATGCTATAGTGTACCTTATTATTTCCATTGGTGGCTGCTGATGTACCATTTGATGAAGAGCCAGTCTCACTCGTCTTTGCTTTCTTAGCTTCTTTCTCTTTCCCCTCCTCTTCCTCTCTCTCTTCCTCTCCCTATAAGAATAAGTAGATCCTGTGGGTCACAATAGCACTCACAGTTGGTGCAATGGCTGAAGATACTTCTTCTTTCTCTTCTTCTACTTTAGATCGTTTCTGTGGACTATACAAAAAAGAAACACACAAAATACATACGCATTAATCCCCTGACAAGAAGCTAGGCACTATGCCGAAATCCTAATCAGGCATGGGGTCAAGCACTTGGTGCTTGTACTTAAGTACAAATAAGCACAGCTTTCTAAGTACTTAGTGCTGCTTACAAGTACCTTTTCAATATAATCTATGTGCTTTGTACTTGTACTTAATTACTTTTACAAATTTACAAAAGTGCTTTTAAGCACAGCAAAAATTACACACGAATAGTGTACATGTACATGTACATGTACATCTACATGTACATCTACATCTACATGGTACATCTACATGTACATCTACATGTACATGTACCACTACATGTACATGTACATGTATATCTACATGTACATGTACATGTAGTATACAAGTTTAGTAGCACATTGTGTGATTGTGTGTTAGCTTGAAGAATGGTAATGGCATCACCATTAGTGGTATCACTCCAAAGCTCTCTGCTTCCATTTATTATGAACAATTCACAGAGTTAGTGTTTATTAGATGCAATAGTAAATTAACTATAATTGTAATTTTACTTTATTTTACACTTATTGAATATCTAGTACTTATTAATGTACTTAAGCACTCTGAAAAATGCTTGTTCTTGTACTTAAGCACTTATGTTAAAGCAATAGATTGTGCTTGTGCTAGTACTTCCAACACATTTAAGTGCTTGCGTTTGTGTTTAAGCACATTATCTAGTGCTTGACCCCATGTCTGATCCTAATGGAAACCCTGTCTTAATATTATAACTCAATCTTAGAAAGTGGTCTACTATATGTACATGTACATGTACACACTTACTCTTTATTAAAAAAGCTACCGATACCCAGCTGCCTTCCGCTGGTAGAACTTGACTGTATTTTGGATGATTTATTTGTGGAGTTCCCTCCCGATAAATTAGAGGATGCTCCTGTTCCTGACGACTTTCGTTTATTATTTGATCTTTTAGCAGTCGTTACTCTTGATACCTCCATTTCATCATCATCATCATCACTATAAATGAATGTATTATCAACCACACCCACCCGAAAATATAAGCATGTGCTTTTTAAGTGGGCGTGGTTTCGCATCCTCGCTAAACCGCACCCACAACTAATTAAGACTCAACAAAATAGTAATTTTTTTACACGAAGACAATGTAACAACATGTATTTTATAAATTATTTTATAAATGATGGCGTAGGTGTTAGTATGATTCGATTGAGACTCACATAATCCTTGGGACCCGCTTCTTCTTGCTGCTCGTTTGAAATAATAGCTCTTCTTCTTCTTCTCCTCCTAACATTTTTATTCCTTATGGGAGAGTTGACTGAGTTGTAGCTTTAGGCGGACCTCCCTACTATTCAGTGTTTTCAGCCTCAATTTCTGCACCAGAACACCCGCCAAAATTACACGTGCCACGCCTATATGCCGGTTATTCAAACATAATCGGATATTGTGCTCGGAAATATACGGAAACCACGTGGTAACATTACATGGGAGCCTCAGGGATAGATAAAGTTATCAAGTTATTCAATTACAGCATAGAACCAGAGGCAAGGGCGAACCTAGATCATGCAAGTGATACCCATTGTAGATGTAATCAATGCCTCCATAGCTTTTTTGTCAAGCATTCATGATTTGATTACATATTCCAAGAGTTTACAGTTTGTGGGTTGGGCTTGGTTACATTACTGAGCTTGTGTATAAATGATTGCCAGTTCTAATATTGGCCATTTTACTTGCAAATTGCTAATTGCCAGAATAAAACCCCACCAACTTAAAGTGCTATGAGTTAAATTTTTTAGTATTTCAAGCACCATTAGCCCCCCCCACTTTCCAAAGCACTCTGCATTCTGAGATAATAAATGTTGTAGAAATTTTATAAGCATTTTAAAAACTTTTACATTTTGTCTGGCACACAATGGGCTTTATAAGAGTAGTTGTGCAATTTAGCATCATTTGCATATGCAGAGCAGGTGGTGGCACCATACAAGTTTAATTGGACTATCATAACAATCTCACACACAAAGTCAAGCCCAGTGAACACCTGATCAATTAACCATAGCCTAAAGGTCACCCTCAGTCCCTCTCCAAACGTAGCTTTAAAGTGAAATCTTCTGTTCCACTGCTGCTTGAATATTATTTGTAATTTATTAGATAGATATCATTACTTGATGTTTAAAAAGTTTGCACTCGTGTTGTATTTGTGTTAAAAACATGATAATTACATAAAAATGATGGAATGTTTCTTGTACACTAGATTTATTATCTGATTGGTGTGGGTGGAGTTTATGGCATTTTTCTATATAAATCAGCCAGCACAACACACCAATAGTATAACTCCAGTGCCTTTAACAAATTTTGACTGACAAACAAGTGATGAAGCTCCTTTGCCTTTGCCTTCTTTTTGCCACTGCTTTTGCACAAATTCAGCAGAGATGCAGTAAGTCTATATTATGCTAATGACAGGTACTTTACTTTGATACAGAGACTACACCTTCATTGTGGACTGCTTTGATGAGAGAGGTATGACAGGCATGCAAGTGTTCTCCTTCTGATAATGCTGGAACTGTGTTTGTGTTGTGTTCATGTTTGTAGATTAACTACGATGCAAGGGGATCAGAGGCTGCTTTCCGTTTTGCTAGAATAAATTACGATGCTACAGGTCAGCGTATTAAAATAACAGAGTACGAAGAGCTGGAGAGCGGTCGTGAAGAAGTTGTTTATGAGCTTTTCCTATTTCAAGAGGTAATATTTTACATCTTTTTGAGTCAGTATTTTATTGATTGTTTTAACAGGGTAAGTACTATCGTGCTGAAAGAGGAGGACAGTGTGCTGTCAATGAGCTCACTACACCGTTTCGCCCATTTGGGATTGTGCCTCAAGCAAGGTTCATGGGTACAGAGTATCTTGGTGCTATTTCTGGGACTTATGGACTATTGGTTGATCACTTCCATTACACAGTTGACAGGCTTGGAGGTATAACTAAATATTTACCGCAGCACAATAATTATTTTATGCAGGAGGATCCTATTGGGGTAGCTTTGCACCATCTTTAAGCAATCCATCTGACTGTTATCCAGTCTTGCAGTCTTATGTTAATGAAGATGGACCTTTTCCTACTCATGTTAATGCTCATTTCACGTGAGATACTTCAATTTCATTTATTAGCTTATAGATTATATATCTTTATGTTCTCATTGCAGATTCCTTAATATTACAGCTACTTTGCCAGATAATCCATTTTCACCACCTGCTGAGTGTTAACTTGAAGCATGTCAGGAGAACTTTTGACTTTAAACTTTTCTTATAAGTTGTTTTTCCCTTACATAATAGTTGTTGTTGTTTTTCATGCTGTGCAGCTGGCTTGTTATCAAAACAAGGCTGTCCCTTGTTGCTTATCTCAGATAATATTTTGCTGAAGAGAAAATCTAATTACCATGTGGGCGTGTTATTGATTGATGGGTGTGGTTTTTGTTGTTCTATAAATAGATACAACATGACGAATCATTCTTCTAAAAATAGCAATGGTTCTTCTAAAAATAGTAACGCTATTGGTTTATAAATTGTAGCTCTAAGGCTGAATGCAACATAAAGCATAACGAAAATGGACTTTGGGAGTGATTATGTTTATGCACAAGAAGACAATGATGAATTCGAGTATGTAGAAGAGAGCAAATTCAATCATGTAACAACAGGATATTCTTCAGTGACTGCTGATTACAATGATGATGGAGAGGTAAGTTAAAACCCATAGATACTTTTATTTGATGTTGTTTATTTAATGATAATTTGCAGACCTGTTTACTGGACATTCTTGATACTGCAGGACAGGAAGAATATTCTTCAATGAGAGATCAGGTTAGTTTATTTAAGCCTGCATCTATCATGCATCATGCATGAATGATGATTATTTATACTATAGTATGTAAGAGAAGCTGACTGTTTCATTATTGTCTACTCAATTACCGATTCAAGCACTTTTGATGAAGCCAAAGCAATGTATGACTGGACAGCACGAATCAGAGATAAAGCTATGCCTGCTGTAAGTCAGTTAAAATCACACTAGGTCTTTTTGGTTGCATTTGGTGTTGATTAATTATGAATGCCTGCTCTTTTTGGCAGCTGATCAGAGCAAAATATAATTACTAGTCTTAAGTTATGCACACACATTCCTTTTGTGGACCTATCAGTGTCAATAGACACCTTATACACATTCCACACATGCATTAATTATTATATTCATGGAGCTATTTTACAACTACTGCAACAGGTCTTATGTGGCAACAAATGTGATCTTGAGATGAGCCGTAGCGTTTCACAGAAACAAGGAGTGGACTATGCTGCTCAAGTTGGCATACCTTTCTTTGAGACGTCAGCTAAAGATGACATTAACATCCAAGAGGCTATTTGTGAATTGATCAGAAGAACACCACGAGCCCGTGGAAAAGAATACAAAGTGGTCACATTAGGTTAGTTTTTAATGCATTTTAATGTTCATGATAGAGTGATTGTACTCATTCTTATTATTTTATCACAGGATCAGGAGGAGTTGGAAAATCATCCATAACCATTCGCTTCATTCAAAATCATTTTGTTGATCAGTATGATCCAACAATTGAAGACTCGTACAGAAAGCAAATGGTCATTAAAGGGATCCCAGATGAAATGAGAGTAGGAGCTGCAAAGTCTTCAAAAAAGAAATCAAAAAAAGCAGCCACCAATTCTTTGGGTGGAGGAGGAGGAAAGAAGAAAGGGGGACTCTTTGGCAGTTTGTTTGGTAAAAAAAGCAGTGGGGCCACACCAGCCCCACCTCCAATAGATGACGATGATGACGATGAAGAAACAGCAAGTGCTGCTCCTAAAAAGAAAGAAGAGAAGAAAGTCAAAGTGCGACGCTCAAATCCAAATGCTATTGTCCTCCAGTTGGGAAACCTTGGCACTTGCACTGACCCATCAACTGAGGCTCATTACTTTTGTTCTAACTGCAATGCAGCAGTGAATTGCCTTTCTGAGCTAAAGACCAATGATGGAGTGACATCCTGGAAATGGTAAAATAAGACTGCCAATAATAATAGCATTATAATATAATTTATTTATATCTATAGTGAATTTTGTGGTCAACAAAATGACAATGTTCCATTAACAGTGGCACCTACTGGTAATGCAATTGAGTATGAGATTGAGCCAGCACCAAAAGCAGAGGAAGATGACGACGAAGACAAGCCAGACAATGAAGCAGAAGCAGCAAAAGAAGGCAAGACAAAAGCAGCCCCAGTATCTCAAAGAAGTAACTTAATTATTTTTGTTGTGGACATAAGTGGCTCGATGAATATCACAACAGAAGTCCCACAACTACAAGGTAGATATATTAATTAAAAGTTAAGATATAATATTCCTGATTTTTAGCTGAATGGACATCAGCTGCTGGACGTGGAGGGGGCAATAGGCACATCTCACGTCTTGAATGCTTGAAAGAAGCCATTTCACGTCACATGGATCATCTAGCAGCAACGGAGCCTAATAATAAAGTGGCACTTGTTACATTTGATAACAAGGTAATTGTAGAATGTAGATTAAATATTATGATTTGCATTATAAATTACAAAAAGGTGACTTACTACGGAGATTGCTCCACAAGTCCTCAGCAGCTTGATAGTGGAGTACTAAATGACTACCGTCAGCTAATGGATCAGGGACAGAGGGTTGGGAGTGACCTCTCACTAAGAAAACTAACAGAATCAGTCGAGTAAGTAAATTAACTATTAAATGTATGGCTCACTTTGTATTTGAATCCTGCAGTGACTTAAAAAGTAAAGTCCATGGACTAAGTACATGTGGTACTACAGCACTGGGGCCTTCCCTAGCTCTCTGTGTGGGATTAGCATCAAACTACCCATCAGCTGAAATCATTCTTTGCACTGACGGTCTCTCTAACGTTGGCATAGGAAACTTAGACTCAGGAAACCCTGACAGGGACTTTTATACAACTGTAAGCAGTTTTTAAAATATATAACACACCTTACATAATTATTTTTAAAGATGGGGGAACATGCTCAAGCTTCTCATACCACAGTGTCCATCCTTGGTATTGAAGGAGGACAGTGTGCAATGGATATCCTCTCCTCTTGTGCTGCCATTACAAATGGAACTGTCAATATATTGCATCCATTGGAAATGGTCCGACAGATCAGACTGATAGCTCAGAATCCAACAGTTGCAACTGAAGTACAAGTAAGGCATCCGTCCTAAAAGCCAACCTATTTAATTGCTGCATGTGCATTAGGTGACTTACATTATGCATCCAGCAATTGTGCTTGATCATCCTTCTGAGTCATCATCAGTAACTCTGGTGAGATACATGGTTGGTAATGCTACCAGGGAGTCTGATCTAAGCATCACTTTCAAACTGGAGAAATCAAAACTAAAGGATGAAAGCGTTTTACCATTCCAGGTATTATAAATAGTCTATAATTTATAGGTTTACATGTAAAATGCCATTACATATATATTATATCCTCCTTTCTCCTTTAACCTCCAATTCCACCATGCAGGTTCAAATCCGCTATCGGCGCAAAGATGGCTCTAAGTGGCTTCGCATATTAACGCAGTCCCGCAAGGTCACAAATGACCACAAGACAGTTGAGGAAGCAAGCAACGTAGCAGTCCTTGGGATAGCAGCTGTGCAGAGGGCAGCAAAGCTGGCTAAAGATGGAAGGCTTGAGGAAGCCAGAGAAAACTTGTAAGTGCACCATGCTTTCAATACAAAACCAATGCTTTACATATATCATTTAATGGACATGCAGGCATGCTATTGATCAAATGATACAGAGAGGGGCACAGTCTGATCAGCAACAAGAAGAGCATGCCATCTACAGAGAGCAAGCAAACCTGCTGGACCTTCAGCTAATGAAAGGAACCAGTGGAGACACTGCTGCCAAGCAGCTACATGTAAGCAAGAATGCACACATGGGCCAGTTTCTGTCTGGTGCTGCTAAAAGGAAGCTTGTTCAAGAGAGGAAGGCTGATGAGGCTGTGCAGCAGCAGTACTATGCTTATAAATTTCAATAAACTTTAATATCATACTATTATAGTGAGGCTAGAGTCTCCAATATTAATGACTAGATCTAGATCTATATATTATTATTGTGACTTTGTTCAGCAGTGAATACATTTTTATGCCAATTTTCAAATTATACATGTAGACAAAACCGGAATGACCCACAATAATGTATACTCCCTCCACCCATCATACCAACAAACCTCCTTCTTTATCATACACCAGATTCATTGATACTATAAAGTGGATGGATAGATAGATATGCAGATTTGACACAATTATATCAACACATTTCTATCAGTCTCATTCTACTATCAACAATAAGAAAAGACTACTACTAGCTCTACCTCCACCCTGAAGTGGGATGATAGTTATTAGGTAGTGAGGAAGAAGGTGGAATAGGAGGAAGAGGAGGGCGAGGAAGGTTAGGAATGGCATGTCCCATTGAATTAGACCCATATATCTGATTAGAGGGAGGAGGGATTGAAGGGTAACCTGGGTTTAGCTGACTCCCCATGCCAACTGGGCCTCCAGCAGACAGCTGGATCTGCGATGGAGACTGTGTATAGTTCATTCCATGAGGCATAAACGGTTGAGGGGGCTGACCCAGTAAAGAGGAATGGTAATGATTGTTAGTCATTGGGGATGAATTAACAGAGCTGCCACTAGGAGTAGGATGCAGCATTGAGTGAGGGGGAGGAGGAGCAGGTAGCATCATATTGTTCTGTCCTGGCGGTAACACCATACCAGCTCCATGCACAATTCCAGTTGCACATGAAGTTCCTGTCATGTAGCTCCCGCTATTTGATGCAGTGGATGTACTGGGGCCTGATGAAGGTCCTTTAAGAGGTGTAATGTGCTGCTTGTGGTGAGTGTGATTAGTAGGGGGAGGAGGTGGAGGGGGAGATGATGCATTGTCTTGTGGAGGAACAGGATCTCCTGAAATAAAAAAATATGTCACATACACTATAGCTGACATATTTTCACTTGGGTTTCCCACAAAGCATGCTAAGTGAGCTAAACAGCATGAGCTGATAAGCACTACAATACAGTACATGGCATTTGGAGTCACTTCTAAAATTCATAAAAAATCCAGAGCTGATTGGAATCAACTCAAAGTTGATACACAGCATAAGGACATGTACATGTATGTGCATCAGAAAAAATTTTTTTTAATGAAGTCATTCTTGGCAAAATTTGGGCCAAAGACCAAAGGCTTTCATTTACATAATTTTTGAGCAACTTCAAAAATTCATAAAAAAATCCAAACTTCGTTGAAATCAGTTCAAACTTCTACAGAACATACGTGTAAGAACATATATATGAATCAGAAAAAAATTATAGAATTGAAGAATTCTCTCCTTATAATTTTTGTCAAAATACCCTGTACTATAATAGTACAGGGTCACTGGCCTAATTTCTGAGCAACTTAAAAAAAGCTCTTTTAGAAGAAGCTGCATTAGCACTACATCTACATGTATGCCAAAATCCAGTGGAAAACCCTGTTTTCACTAATAATAATAATGAAGGTTACCTTGTATTACAGTCTTTGCTTTCTTAGCCTCTTGCTCTTTCTCTTCTTCGCTATAAACGTCCAAAACTTGATGACATATAGCTATAATATTATACATACATTATTAGACACACAAAAAGAAGACATGACAAAATAGCATAATAAAGATTATAATAATAATGCCAATAATGATAATAGAAGGGACATACACTCCAGGTCATGGGCATCAACTGTGAGGACAAACTGCCTCCACCAAGACCGACTCTTAGCTTGGAATGCACTCTGGAGATCAAACTTTGATAGTTTACCAGCCAGATAGAGAAGAGCTACAGCAACGACAGGAGGCTCCCATTGAAGACAAAGAGTAGTACAGAGACTAAGAGTGAGAGAGAGAGAGAGTGTGTGTGTGTGTGTGAAAACAGAAAAACAGTGACAATTAATCATTATTTTGACAACAAAACAAAATTCTTACCTATCATTAATGAATGTCCAAGCCATTTGTAGCACTTTCTCAATTGTTTGCTTTTCTCCTGATAAAAGGAGACATTCTTAGTGATGATGTAACACAAGAACAACTTACCTTTCATGTGCTTGGCAAACTTCAAGAGATACCCATAAGGATGATCAACCTGCAAATCAAACCTTATCGTTTGTAAAAGAACTCTCTCGAAAGAAATAAGTTCTTCCTACATATAAAGACACATTATGAGTGTACAGCATCGTCAGTAGCTACCAGTGGTTTCTCTCCAAAGGATTTCGATTGCTCTGCAGATAGAAATCGTTTGGCCACTCGTACAATGTCCTTGCACTTCTTTGGAGTCTCTTCAACTTTACCAGCAAGGAGGACACAGGCAGCTGCTACAACGTATTTATCAAAATCGGCGAAATTTTGAACCATGTAAAAGCGATGAAAAAAGACAGTCCCAGTAGCTAAAGTATCGCGACGTCTTTTTGACACCCAATTAAGGAACAATAATAAATACATGTACATGTATTTGTGGGTGTGGTTTCGTGATGATATACATACATATAAGTATATACAAGACCTTAGCATATAACCCTCTAAAAGCTCTTGTTACATAGACACAGTATACAATATACATACACTACTCTTGGTATTTTGATGGAGGATACAGTTTGAGTGTATTGCTCGTGTTGCTGATGAATCTGGCTCCCTCTCTTCTGTACCGTCTCTCCATTTCGTGACTGATCCCTTTCTTACGGGATGGAGTGAGGTGCTCTAGGACTTCGGCCGAGAATATCCATTTTATATCCTCGGGACTGGGATCTTTCTCCTCAAGCTCCATTTTTAGTGACAAAATACGGTAGTCCGTACACTACAAAGACACTCCCGTAAATTTAAAGCTTAAACCTTTAAAACTATTGTTACTATCAAGAGTATATAATACTTATATAATACTTATTATATACTCTTGTTATTATGTACAAACAAAAATCAAAAGTGAGCGACAAGTATATAAATCAAAATGTCTAAAAAATTATGACACAAAATTATCAGTGAAGCCATTAGCAGTGTCCCCACTACTAGCTACTGGTTGATCATCACGAGCCGATTCCTGGCTCTCTCCCAATTGAGAAGGGCTAGTGGTATTTTCATTACTACTCAAGTCGAGTTCGTCGCAGTCCAAAAGACACGAGTACTCCTCAATTTTGAACTCCCCTTGTCTTCCCCTGAGATAACCACGCCCACCACACCAACAGCAATAAGTAGATACAAACCCACCACGATCCCTCACGTCACTCTCCTCCCATTCCCATCTCTCAGCCGAGTCGTTAATAAAAGAGCTGCCATTGGACGAAGGCTCAGTGCTTCTGGAGAGATGATCATCACGTGCTTCAGATAGAGCCGAGAGCATGTCTTTTGATGTTAGCTGTCCATCCCTTCCCTCCAGTTTCTTCAATCTGTTCTCTGAGATATAAAAATAAAGTGTCATCTGTTCAAGGATGAGTGAGTCTCTTACCTAAAGAGAGAAGGTATCTTTGTTTTCCCTCAGGTTCTAGAGCTGTCGCATCTCGAGTTCCCTCATCAGGAGGAGGGGCTAACATTTTAGCCACACCTACACACAACCACGCCCATCTGAGACACGTATAAACAACTCCAAAATGAAGGATCTTCTCCGTCTTTTTGCCTTCTCTCTTTTGGCCCTGGCCGTCTTTTCCTGCAAATGTGCCCCCGAAGGCTTCCATCAGACTCGGGAGGATGCAATTCGTGATAACTGGGGCTATTCCAGGGACGTATTTGCCGCCAGAGTGGAGGACCAGTATTGTAAATGCTATCCTCAGAGCGGCTCCTTTGATAGACTAAACTGTATTCACATCAAAAAGGATGCCAGGACACCTGCTGCTAATGATCTGGTCTCCGTAAAGGAGCAAGAGCTAACCTGCCAGAGTGGGGAAGGATTTAGAAACTTTTATTATCAAGATTGTGATTATGTCCAAGGAGAAGTTAAAGCACTTGCAAGTAAATGAAAAAAAAAAAGGAAAAATTATACTGTAATTAGTATTATCATGTATGTTGCTAATGAGAGTTCCCACGGTATGTTTTGTCAGTAAATAATGTCAGTTTTTCTCACCTTACAGGTGTCAGTGAAGTTACCACGTCACCCGTTACCATTGACAATACTAACAAACCATCCTGTGGTATATCTGATGACATAGAGGAAGCAACAAACGCTAATGGATGTGATCTAACTCACCAGCCTTGCTTCTACACGCTAACTGTTACTAATGTCTTTAAAGGAAATTTGCAGGTAATTTTTATAGTATGTAATCTCTTCCTCTATCTTTTCCCTCCAGATTGGCCAAGTGCTTAATTCGTCTGGTCCTGATGTTCTCACCTCTTGTGGTAGTCCAAAGTCCCTCCTTCAGGTTGGACAGACTTACATGGTCGGTTTAGGATCAGTTTGTAGTCTCATAAAGCCGTGGAGACCACTCACTGAGTTTACTAGTAACGACTTGAACTTCATACAAAAGTTGAATCAAGAGAAGCCAAACCAGGAAGGAAGAGAGAGTGAGGAAAAAGTAGCTAAGATGGCAGGAAATGATAATAATAATAACAACGATAATAATAATGATGAGAACTGGATGGAAGTAAATAAAAGAAATCTCGTTGATGATACAGGGGCATGGTCTGATAGGCAAGAGAATGGGAAAGGAGATCCAAATAGAGGGTTTTTGATCGATGATACAGGAGCATGGCCTGACATGAATGGAAACAAAGAAGGAAACAATGGCAACGTCTTTATTGATGATACAGGAGCATGGTCTGATAGGCAAGAGAATGGGAAAGGAGATCCAAATAGAGGGATTTTAATTGATGATACAGGAGCATGGCCTGATATGCAAGATAATAGGGACAGTAATGATAAGCCGGTCTTTGTAGATGATACAGGAGCTTGGCCTGAAGTCAATAGAGATAATGGTGATGAGAATACTCAATGGTATGATAAGACAGATATTCAGCAAGGCAGCAATGAAAACGAAATTAAAGATCTTGATAAAGAACTTGAAAATTGATCAGTACTGTAACACCTCACCGTCCTCACATACTGTTGCTCTTTATTTCTCAGTTTCATTCTTCTCACATACAATCAATATGTCATTCAACTCTATACCCCATTCTTTGTTTTTAGGACTTTTTATTCTGCACACTATAATTATATATTTCTAATGAAGTGTCATTTCTCTCTCTCTCTACTGATTATTGTAAAAATATAATGAATAAAAATATTATTGTCTGCCTTCTTCAGCAGCTAATTTGTCCATGCACCTCATGACAAGTGCTGTCCATCCTGTCTGATGACTGTAGGAGGAAATAGAATAAAAATAAAAATAATATACATTTTAAATTTAGTCATCTCTAACCTTGCTCCACATCCCCTGCCTGTGTCTCCGTCAAAATATTCATAAAATAGTACAAGATCCTTCCAGTTTGGATCGGAGGAGTAGCGTGGGTCGTTCCCATGGCAGGGCCGACGCCCGTTCTCATCAGGTTCAAAAATAGAGCAGACTCTCTGGCAAAGGTCCTTACTGACTTGCAGGAGGTTCATGTACACGCCAGAACCAACAGGGTTCTCAACTTTGAAATCCTCACCATAGAAATAGTAATATCTCTCCAGAGACTCAATAATAAGAAAATTAACTAAAAGGAGAGAGAGATATGAATAAATAAAATAGTTTACGATAGAGATTAAAGTCAAGTCATACTATCATAATACTAATTATCATTTGTCATTTTATATGATTTTAGTCAGGGCCTTCATTAAGAAATACACAAAGTTGGTATTCTTAACTTTGCCCATTCAAAAATTAGCTAAAATATGGTCCACCGAGAACTGTTAATCATGTAGACAAACTAATGTCTTCCTTATATGTGACTGTATTTGTAAAAGCTATTGTGGGTTGTCCTTAATTAAATTCATTAGACCAAAGTCAAAGAGACTGCATATTAGCAAGTTACCACAAAGCCAGATAGGTCCTCTCCAGTTGCTGTTTCCTCCAAATAGGAAAGTGTTGCTCTCAGCAGGAACATAACTAACTTCATGCTTCTCACCCTGGACCTAGAGATGGAAATATAAAATTAAAGAAAATTATAATTAGAAACAAATAAGGAAATAAACATTAATGTAACGCTAGCCAGGACTATTTACTATCTAGTATGTACTAGTTAACTTGGTTTACAATACAGATACAATATATGTGTAATTCTTATAAAAATAACTATCACAATATTGCTATGTAGTCGGTGCTTCATTCAAGACTGTACCTCCATGAAGAAAGGCTCCTTGTCATGAACTTTAGACAGTGAGCGTATGCCATAAGACGAAAGGAACTCGTTCTCATCCAACATGTAATGGAGGACTCTCTGGAGCCTCTCCTTAGATGGTATAGCCAGCAAATGACAGAACTGATTGTCCTTCAGTGAATCAAGATAAGATATCTGAGAGTAGGAGAAAAACATAACAACTACTATTGTATTGAATTTAAAGTGGACTGCAAATTCATCTCTACTACATGTGCACGATAAAAAAAATTAAAAAGCCTCTTCAATATTTATAAAGCTATTACTGACTTGCTTGGCAAGGTCTTTACGATTGTCTAGAAACCATTTGAGTCTCTTCCTAAAGCCGGGGAGTTTCTGAATCACTTCATCCTCCAGTACAAGACAAGCAAAGAGAGGAATGAGACCCACCATTGATCGTACACGCATGGGCATACTAGTACCATCTAATCTAAAGAGAAAGAGAGAGAGGGGGGAGGAGAAGGTATAGTAAAACATGAGCTTCCAACTTTGGTACTTAACCCTTAACCCAATTCATAATAAAGTACTTACACTGTAAGTATAATTATTATTTACATGTATATGTACTTCGGATCTAGCTCTGTGTGTGTGTGTGTGTGCATAATATATCATTATACATGTACCTCAGGAAATCATAATAGAATCCATCCTTCTCATCCCAGAGGCCCTGGCCCTCACAAGCTCCTATCTTATTCATTGCATCAACAATGAGGACAAAATGCTCGAAAAACTTTGATGCCATGTCCTCGTACACGTCGTCGTGGAAAGCTAACTCAAGGGCAATGTCCAACATGACCACACAAAAGAATGCCATCCAGGCCGTGCCATCAGCCTGCTCCAGCTCACCTCCTGTGGGTAGCGGCTTTGAACGATCGAATATCCCTACAAGAGAAGGACTCTGGATTAGAATGTCCGTATATTTGCTGGTAAGGTGTGTTAGTATGTACCAATGTTATCAAGGCCCAGAAATCCTCCAGAGAAAACATTCTTTCCTGAGGGATCTTTACGATTGACCCACCTGGAGAAAAGGTTATAAAATAAGCAGTCTTAAGAGTGAATACATGATCATTTACACCTGTAATTGTACATATACTCATCACTAATTGATGCTATGAGTTCTTCTTTAACACATCATACACACACAAATAACACATAGAAACACATGTACATATGCTGTACCAATTAAAATTAAGTATCAATTTCTGAAATGCTCTTGCTAGAAACTTAATGTCTCTCTCTCCTTTGGGGGCAGTCATCTTGTAGACTCTCCAGACAGCCCATGCATGGACCGGAGGGTTGACATCAGAGAACTGGAACTCGTAAGCAGGTATCTGCCCATTGGGTGCCATGTACCACTCCCTGAGGAACAGTATAAGCTGCTCTTTAGCAAACTCGGGATCAATCTTAGCAAAGGGTATCATGTGAAATGCTAAATCCCATGAGGCATACTACAGAGAGTAGAAACAAAAAACAAGGCATAAATACCGGGCTACATGTACATTAATTATATTCATTCATTCCACTCTCTTTCTCACTTCTGTTACATGTGCATTCTTCTTACCCACGGATATTCCCATTTATCCGGCATTGATACAATGTCCCTGTTAAACAAGTGCATCCATTCCTTGTTGCGTCCCTCTAGTCTCTCGCGGGGAGGAGTGGGAGCATCAGGGTCGCCATTAAGCCAAGCATCCACAATGTAATGATAGAACTGCTTGCTCCATAGCAAACCTAAAGGCAGGATTGATCAATGAATTTATACTTAATGTTAAGCTATAAAATATTGATGTCCTTATTGTAAAAAGTTTGTAGTCATACATTTAAGTGCAAGAATGGATGGCTCTCTCACCAGCATATCCTTGTCTGGCTATTTGCTTCTGTTCTTTACTGAAAGAGTGAGGCATTATTCCGTCATAAAATTCATCAGCTTCTTCGATTCGATTAGCAAATTCTTTATCAAACGAGTCCCCAAAGGGATCTTCCTTGGGGATGCTTTCCTCATCGCAGAGTCTTAGCTTCACGACTGCTTCTCCACCAGGAGGGACTTTCAGTACGTAATAGGCAGCAACTTTAGTGCCCCTATTATCAGGGGTCACTGCATCCTTTTCATTGTTAATGACATATCTGTGAATAAAGAGATGAGGGATGAGTTGTAAAGAAAACTTTTCATGTATGTGCATTAATTAACTATAATATTAAACAAGAGAACACATTAGACAAATATAATAAAAATGGAAGGGTCTCTTTCCTAGCCATTTTTCATAAAATACCCTGTACTATAGTATAGGGACTTTGGTCCAACTTTTGAGTAACTTTAAAAAACCATTAAAAAATCCAATTTTGATCGGAATCAGCTCAAACTTGCTACACAACATAAGAACATGTATATGTATCAGAAACAATTATAAAAATGAAGAATTTTCTCCTAGTCATTTTTGGTGAAATTTGTCCAAGTACCCTGTACTATAGTACAGGGATTTTTGCCCGATTTTTGAGTAACTTTAAAAATTCGTAAAAAATTCAATTTTGATCGGAATCAGCTCAAACTTGCTACACAACATAAAAACATGTATATGTATCAGAAAAATTTATAAAAATAAAGAACTCTTTCATAGCTATTTTTCATAAGATACCCTGTACTATAGTATACAGTCTTTGGCCAAATTTTTGGCAAATTTCTAAATAACCAAATTTTGATGAAAATAAACAACTTGATGCATTAAAAAATCAGGAAATGCAATAAGCAGAGAAAGTAGAAAGAGCTCAGCAAACCTGTTAAAAGCATCTTTATAATATATTGTATAGTGATCGATCCCATAGAGTTTCTTCATATTAGTCTCATTCTCAGTCCAAAGTAGAGGAGGTGTTTCACCATTAGGATCAGGACCAACAAACCAGTGACTCTTACCAAGTGTCTCGTGACTACCAACAACATGGCTACCATCAACCTATAAATAACAAATAAAGCTTTTAATGGACTTTTGAGGCGTGGCATATTCAAAAGCATTTTTCCAAGAAGCTTTAATGGTCATAATAATTCTATTTACTATTAATAGCTGCTACTATAAAAGAATGCGACATTTGATATTATTTAATTATAATTATACACAAAGCAGAAAGAACACACAGAATAGCTACAACACCTGCTTTAGATTTTGGCAGTAAGAGAAACATTAATGAGAAAAAGTTTGTTTTGAAATGAGCTTGTACTGTGTGTGTGTGTGTGTGTGTGTGACTGTGCACTGACCTTCTTTAGCAATGCTTTACGGGTACAGCCCTCATGTTCACAGCCCCATATCCAGGTATTACGATACCAAAGAGTCGGTAACAGGTGCAAGGTACTCTCCTCTGGTCCCCGGTTACACACTTTTATTTTTATAAGGACATCATTTGGACCGGCTTTGGCATACTCGGCAAACACATCCCAATAGCGGCTCTCATCAAAAACTCCAGTGTCTTCAAGCTCGTACTCTAGCTCCTGGTTCGAGCGCTTTCGGTTCTCTTCAACTAGTTTTGCGTAAGGATACTCTGCCTGTGGGTACTTGTAGAGTGCTTTCATGTAAGAATGAGAAGGAGTCGAGTCAAGATAATAGTAACACTCCTTGCAGTCCTCGCCGTGATTGCCCTCTGGACCTGTCAAACCAAATAACCTCTCCTGAGAGGAGAAGAGAGACATAGAAAGGAGGAGAGAGAGAGGGAGAGGAGAGGAGAGAAAATAAAAGAGGGAATCATGGATGAAATGAAATGAGAGGGAGGATGAGGAGATAGAGATACTTATATAATTGCATATGCATTGTGCTGTGTAATTTCATCATACTTTCAGTATTGAGTCTTTCTCATTCCAAAGTGATAGAGCGAAACAGAGTCTGCACTGTCTATCAGTGATGCCTAGAAGTCCGTCCTCACCCCAGCGATATGAGCGGGATCTAGCATGATCATGAGGGAAATAATCCCAGCTGTAAAAAAGAAAAACAACAATAACAACAACAACAACAACAAACAATAATAATAATCCCTTGGCTTCAACCCACGAGCTTGCTTACTTTACAGCATAAATTATTACATGAAATGACACGTACATGTATATATATGTACATGTATATACATGTACATATAATTACATTACATGTCAGTATGTATAAAGCCAAAATCAATAATCCATTAATATCAGTCTCGTGAGACTACATGTACATTAATAATTAATTACCAGGATCCATCAGGTGAGTAGTCTTCACGTACAGTTGCCCACTGTCTCTCAGATAGGTATGGTCCCCATCTCTTCCAATTGTTGACTCTCTCCTTGTCTGTCCTGAGTCTATCTGCTTCAGAGGTGGTGAGATTGATTCCAACGACAGTTGGGGCTCGCTTGAAGAATCCTTTAGCTTTCACTGACGTAGTTCTTGCAGTTGCTTCACTGCCTTCTGCCATAATAGCTCAAACCTTGCAAGAGACTGGAAAATGCATGAAATGGAACCACCATTCACCAAAAATAATTATGCCCCTAGCTGTAGGGGCGTGGTTAAATTTAACTCGCCCCTCCCATCAGACACACCTTCTTTTCTTTCACTTTGTGCGCATGCGCATAAATTTTTAATGAACTGTCATAACTAGTTAGAGGTGTGGCTGTCAAAGGAGGCGGTCTCTAGGTTTCTCTTTGTCTTTTATTTTCAGATTCTCCCCTCTCTGTCTCCCTCACTGTATATATAAACGTATAAAGAGAATGGCTAGTCCTGAAACAAAGCGAGCACTACAAGCTTTGAGAGGAAAACAAGACAACAATGTAAGATTGAAGGAGCTAGTGTAATATTGAACCATTTTTCTGTCTTTTCTCTCCATTTTATAGGCCTGTTTTGAGTGTGGTGCTGTCAATCCTCAGTGGGTGTCTGTCAGTTATGGTATTTTTATTTGTCTTGAGTGTTCCGGGAAGCATCGGAGCTTAGGGACTCATGTTAGGTACATGACCACCCTCTTACCAAAAATTAATTAATGTGGGCGTGGTTTTGAATTATTAATCACATTCCATTTATTTTGCAGTTTTGTCCGATCGACTACAATGGACAAATGGAAAGACTCTGAACTTGAGAAAATGAAGGTATATATAATCAAGAGTAAATTTATTATTATTTTTTGTAATCATAATGGCTGTTTGTTTAGGTGGGTGGGAACAAAAAGGCGAGACAGTTTTTTGATAGTCATGGAGAGGTTCAGAGAGGAATGAGTCTCAGTGACAAATACAACACAAGAACAGCTGCACTCTACAGAGATAAGGTAATAAACCCGTAGTGAAATTTTCTTTAGATCGTAAATACAAAATTAATGCTACTCCGACCGTTTGTAGTAAATATTTTGCTTTTCTCTCTATTGCATTTTTTTTACAATTTTATGTACGTGTACATGTAGATCTTGTGCTTATCCGAGGGTGGAGAATGGAGTGAAGAGAAATCGGCTGCAAGACATCAAAAGAAGAAGTCATCAAGGAAACAGAAGCAAGCAGAGCCAGACCCAGTCCCTAGCAGTCGCCTTGAGTCAATGTGAGTCATTTTTATCCTTCCCCACCCTCTCATTCTCTTTCTTTCTTTGTTCAGTGATCTTGAAGGTGATCAGGATTTAGAGGATTTCCTAAACGACACTGATAGTTCGCAAAAGGTAGGAAGAAAGCAAAGGAGCAGTGAGAGGAGAAGAGAGGAAGACCCGGCCTCACTCTCTAGCTATCAAACTGGCAATGGCAGTGAGGAAAGGTGAGACTCTTTTACAATTTTAAATGAAACAGGAATTTTATTGTCAGAATTTTTTAACCATGTAATGTACATGTACCATAAGTGCATGTAGAAAATGCTCTAAATTTCCTGACATTAATTTTTATCAGAAATGTATCTGATATGTATGTACATGTACATGTAATTCTTTATTTTGCAGTACCACTGCTAGTAAATATGTTGGATTTGGTAATCCTAACTATGAGAGGAGGACTGAAGAAGAACAAGGATCAGATTTTTGGAATACATTACAATCAGTGAGTTAGATGTACATGTACTTGTTAATAATTAGAGAGAGATGATTATTTATTGTGTATAATTGTTGGTCCCATCTCTGTAATTTACATTTTGAAGTTTTTATTTTTACAACTATTATTTTGATTTTTTCTCTTTTTTTTCTTTCTCTCAGGGCTGGAGTTCATTTAGTTCTGGTGCTTCTAGTTTAGCATCACAAACCGGACAAGGTCTCTCAAAGTTTGGCTCTACTGTCAATCAGAATGTCCTCAAGCCCTCGGCAGCACAGGTGGCTCATGCATACTGCATCTGATGGATAACTTGTTGTTATATTTGATAGGCGAGCAAATTTGGACACTATGTGAATGATTCAGTTATACAACCAACCAGACAGAAGGCACAAGAGGGTCACTTGTGGACTGACATGTCTTCATCTGCCAGTCAATTTGCTACTAAGGTACACCAAACACAATTGTACATGTACATGTACTATACTGGGTAATTGGGCAAACAACCAAAGGCTATAGCCTTTTGGTATTTGGCTAAATTTTGCCAAAAATGACTAGGAGAGAAATTTCTTTTTTATAAAATTTTCTGATGCATATACATGTTCTTATGTTGTGTAGAAAGTTTGAGCTGATTCCGATCAAAATTGAATTTTTTACGAATTTTAAAAGTTACTCCAAAATCAGGCCAAAGTCCCTGTACTATAGTACAGGGTCTTTGGCCAAATTTCGCCAAAAATGACTAGGAGAGAATTCTCCATTTTTATATTTTTTTCTGATACATATACATGTACTTGTGCTTTGTAGAAAGTTTGAGTGGATTCCGATCAAAATTGGATTTTTTATGAATTTTTAAAGTTACTACAAAGATAACATGTACCTGCTTCTGCTTGTCAGCTCGTCATGGAGCATGCTGTTTAGCTCACTTAGCTTGCTTTGTGGGATATCCTACGTGTATATCAGTAACATTATCTGTTGCTTTATTAAGGTCAAAGTATCGGGAGAGAAAGGTTGGACCGGTTTTTCAAACTGGATTCAAAGTAGTTTCAAGACAGAGGAAGGGAGAGAGAATCAACAAGAAGAGGACAATCATGAAGAAAGGGAAGAGGAAGAGGAGGAGGAGGAAGAAGAGGAGGAGGAGGAAGAAGAGGAGGAGGAGGAAGAAGAGGAGGAGAGAGTTCAATCAACAAAGAAAAATCTCTTAATTGATTTCGATGAAGAGGATACCCCTGTGATTAAAAATGAACCAACCCAAGACTTACTGATTGATTTCAACTCAGACGCTCCTCCCTCCGATAGCACTACTTCTAAAAAGTCTAGCAAAGGGAAAAAGGAGACAGTATCTTCTGGTGGTGGGGATTGGGATGGCTGGGGGGACAATTGGGGCTGGGACTCCTCATCCTCCAACAGAAAATCTGATTAGTCAATGATAGGTTCTATTATAAATCTCAGCCTTGTGAAGCATTGTTGAAATAATAATAATAATTTGCGATTGATTTATCATTTTGTTAATTTTTATTGAATTATTGCAATGAATTTTTAAGATCAACGAAAGGTCAATTCGTATTCATTCATGCAGGATGTAGCAGGAAGTATAGGCTATTCAATGTGTTGTACCTTTCAACAGTTGAGTGATAGGCAATCATCATTGTTGTGGATATTTGAATGACTGTATCACAAAATAATTTTTTAAACACACTATTCACATTAACTATAGCTACAACAGTGATTGTAGATTTCTGAATATCTACATGCAACACTTAAACTTTTATAGCTTTTCATTCATTTGGCAGTTCATTGTTAAAATTAGCATTTGTGATGACAGTAGCCCCACTGGTATCAACGTTCACATGTACGAGAACCTCTTCGTTGTTATGAGGTTCATTCAGTACCAATTCATTTGGGTCTGGAATGGAAATTAGTTCGAACTCTTCTGAAGGACAGTTTGAGTTTCTTTCATGATCTTTGCTCTCTTCCTCCTCTTGTAGTACATTAGTTTCATCAACAGTTTCATCACAAATTTTATTGACAGTTTCATCAACAGTTTCATCCTGTTTATCTTCACTGGCTTCATCATCTGCTATTTTTTCATCAGTGCTTGTCTCCTGATTTTTGTCATCATCTTCATCACTTTTACACAACGTTTCAATATCTATTGATTCTTCTTTGTTTATAGACAACAAGTCACCATTTGCTGGGCCTTTAGTTGATTGCGCCTGAAGTAAAGGAGTCTTTAAAGTCACTTCGGATGAGCTTTGTTCAACGCTTATAGCACTAGCCCCTGCATTAGCAACACTTTCAGTCTCGCTTGTTTCAATCTCAACTTTAAACCCTGCCAATGCAGCTATGCTGGTCAGTCGGCTGATATCTTCTGCTTGGAGTAGACCTTTCATTAGCATGTCATCCTTGCAGCTCTCTGTATCGCTACTTGCATCCTCCTCATTCTCAAAACGGACTTTTGAGGTTTTATTATTGTTATTTTTTCTCGGTGTTCCTGTAGCAGACTGGCTAAACATTGATGGATCTATTAATGTGCAGATGGTAAAGTGAAAGGCTTAAATAAAATTAATTATACCTTCCACGCTTTCCTCTTCAAGCTTATACAATGCTTTTGCAATCAGATAAGCATTCACCTGTTCAATAAACAATAACAGTAAGTGTGTAAATGAGATAACTCTGATAGTTGTATTCATGAGTACAAACTCAATGCTTTGGTATGCAGGACACAATCAGAGGACACAACCCATAGTATAAACTAAAGTTATTCATGGGAGTCATCAACTGAACCTTGACCATCACATGAATCAACATATCAAAATTCATAGCTCATGACCTTGGTTGTGTGGCATAGTGAACTCTGCAAATCACTGCATCCCATAACCTCACATTAACAGCACATCAGTTCTCATGCAGATACAACAACAAAATTCCAATTACTGGATGCACGCACGTACCTCTTTATTATTTGGACCAGGTGCTGGATGGAATGATGAAGCAGGAGGATCCATACTGCCTCTTCTGCTTCCTCCAAGGGAGACTCGTCTCCTCCATTGCTCAGCTGAGTTGGCAATGGAGCTCAGAGCAGCTGATGGTTTTAATTCAAAAACTGATTTCTGCTTTCGTGCAGCTTGATGACAACCGATGGCACGGAGGAAAGCAGTTCGAACCTAAGCATAAAATAAAATTTATCACTCTCTCTATTTCTTTTTTTCTTACCTCCGTGCTAATCAGACAATGTATAACGAATAGGGTCAGTCCCTGCATTGTAGTACACACAAAGAATATCCATTCGACTATAGTCGAGTACAAGTCAGTACCAACGACAAAAAACCCAAGTACCCAAGTTAGACCAAGAGTGGGTACCAGTATAACTGATGCTTGTAGCAATGAGCTGAAGCATCAAACAAAGAAATGAAGATTGATACATTGTTTTATTTATATATTACCATAAAGTGCATCTGTTTGGGTCTTTCCTCTTGCTCGCTCTAGCCACAACTACTGACACTGCAAGTAATACTATGAAATTGATCTAACGAGAGAAAAGACCATTATAATACCAACTAAAATCTCTTGACTTTTACTTACAATTATTACTATAATGACTGGAATGTGAAAGGCCCAGAGTGCTCCGTTCCCATTAGTGATCCAACAACTATGCAATGTATGCATAATAGCTGTAATGTAATGTAAACATAATTACTCACTAGTGCATTGAGCCATAGTCACAGAAATTGACACCCATTGTAATCCCAACTATAACCAATGGTATACCTACAATCATATCACAGTAACTAGAGTATTCTATACTCAATATTCTTACCCCATGCTAGTGGATAGTACAACCAAACTACTTTTTTGTTATAAAAGACTCTGACAATAAACAGGTAGAGATGGACCCCCTCCACTAGCTGCCAGGAGAATGTACAGAGAAGCAGGTAATGTAGTAGGCCTGCAATGAATGTGCAGAGAATGTCAGGAGAAGGAACAGAGGTCCTGTCTACACCCACAAGAAAGATGAGCTGACTCAGACAAAGTGCCAATGCTAGCTGACGATGGATTTGATTAAGCTCGTTCTCAATCCTATTGCATAAAGAATCATAGCTCTAGCATTACTGTATATGCATGAAGAACCCACTTCAAAGAAAAGAGAAGTATTATTGTTATAAATAGTGCAGTGATTGATAGACAGAGCCCAACTTTAGTGGCTATAAGAAGTGGTTGGTTTACAGTCTGCATATAAGAAGACAATTTCAATCCATTTATTTATTAGCAAGGAACTCACAGCAGCTCCTGTTGGACTCATTAAGAGAGCAAACGTTGTCAAGTGATAGCAATTGCAGACAGTGAAGTTGCTTCCTGAGTGAACTGTGTCAACACGACAGCCATCATCTATCCAGCCATCACCTCTGCAGGAATCATATGCAAATATATTTATAATACAAACAAAGTTAGTCATGAGCATATACCTATCATTGGCAGGATCAAGAAAAGAGCACGATGGATTGTCAAGGGTAGTGTTCGTATGGTGCAAAGTTATTCTGACTGGCTCACTAAACCGAGTTCTATTGAGTGAACAGTTTGAGCTATAAACTGATGCAGTTATGACTATACTGTTAACCATGACCACCTCTGATACAGAACTACCTGTTGATCCCCAATCACTATACACATAGCATGATATAATGGATGATATATGAGTACAACTTACCATCTTCCGTGTACCAGGGGTGATGGGGTTGATGATTCATTGGATGAATTGACTTCTAATAGTCGATTGTCAATGTCCCACATTGAGACTACAAGCCTCACATCGCAATCTGAGAGGTTCTGATCTCCAAAAATGTCCATCAAGATTGATCCTGGGAGGAAAATGGAGCTCACGCCTCCTGTGTGGTTTTGTAACAGATTCGAGGAAAAGTTCCACCCCATCTCACTTCCCGATGGAGATAAAACTACAAGAACTATAAAATGGAGGTTTATAAAACAAGAGGAGTGATGGTAATAATTGCCTTACCCAAATTATCAGTGCTGATATTGAGGGACCCGTTTGAGAGTGGCAAGTTGAATCCAAGCTGCTCAACTGCATTGAACAACTTTGTGATTGACTGAGAAGGCTATTGTTACAAATATAGTATATCACTAATAGAAACAACATAAATATGCATACCATTTCAACTTCCTGCCATGTGCTATAGTATGAATCACTCAACAACTGACTGACACTTTCTATGATTGCCTACATTTATAAATAAGAAAATTATATTATAACACAATTCCATTATTATTGTAGTATACTTGAACAGTTTCGGTGCTTGTAATTGTGCTAGCATAGCTTGCAATTTGGAGTATGATGTCAGAGAGATATGGCAGGTCTCCTGGCAGGAGAGATTCAGATTGAACTGCTGCAAGTATCCCTTGAGAAAGAGCAGCTACATCAACTGATGTATTCACCATCAGCTGTAAGTAGATGTGAGCGGTAATTAATAGTATATACTGTTAATATAAATACATACATATGATGATAGACTGTGGATTGCTGGGGAAACACACTTAGGTCCAACAACAGAGCTCCACTGGCCACTAAACTGGCATGTTCTATTAGCAGTTTTGCCTACCAATAATTACAAATGCAGTAATTATTCTAAATATACATTCGCTTACATTCAGAATTGACTGATGAGCAACAAGGCAAAGAAACAGTGCTACCATAGCTCACTCGAGGCCACATCAGTCCAAATGCTTGATCAGTCTCGCAGTATAAAGGAGCAACAGACGACTCGCTACACGTTCCATTTAAAGTCTGAACATATGGATAGACGCATTGACATTTTAAGCAACTGCAACCAAAGTCCATGCACTCCTGGTTTACTTGGCATTGCTCCATAGAGCACAATGGAACTGGTGTCATTGTAGGACTAGGAGTACTAGTAGAGGATGATAATGATGATGATGATGATGACAATGATGATGATGATGATGACAATGATAATGATGATGAATGGACCGAGTTTGATGATGTGGATCCATATGAGGACAATAATGATGTATACGAAGACAAAGAAGGACTAGTCTCTGTACTTGATATGAGTAGAAATGATGAGAGTTCAGTTGAAACCAGTGATGAGAGGGAGAGAGATGGTAATGGAAAGAGCGATGAAGAAAGGACTGACATAGAAGGCGATTCCAACATGGAAGGTGATGGTGTTATCTGCTGCTCAGCCATGCATTCATATGTTTTGTTTTGCTGTACTGGAATGCAAGTTGTGTTTGCAGGACAGCTGTAATACTCCAGTGAGCACAAGTCTACATGAAATGTAAACATTTATGGAACAATGTGAATAATTACCTAAGCATTCAGTGAAGTTTAAACCCACAGTTCCCAGAACATGACTTGATCCATTTGAATAGGTACATGTTGCTCCATTAATGGACCGTGAATTACCAAAAATTATGAAATCGTTGAGCCATTGAAGTTGACATGAGCAATTCAAATTGTTTCCATTCAAAGATCTAAAATGACATAATAGTTGATAAAACGTCGAATTGCAAGAACTCACATTTGACTTCCTGCCATATTTGGCATTAGATTGAAAATTGATACTAAATCACTGAAAAGTTGTGATATCATATTGTTATTGAGTTGGCTGTAAATTATAAAACAATAATAATAACATATAAGACCACATTGACTAGCTTACAGTCTCGTCAAATTTGATGTTACACCTTCAAACATTTCACCCGATATCCATGTCAAACGATTGTTACGAAGATCACTGCCGGAAAAATGTGTATTTCATCTACTTTACCAAATAACATCAACTTACATTTGTTGAAGATTAGATGCATTCACAAAGGCTCCAGGAACAATAGTATTCAATTGTCCGGACTGTAGGACCCTACATTAACTTAATGAAATTTTTGCAGTATTATGACAGTACTTACAAATTCTGGAGTTGTGGAAAGTCTGTCACATAATACTGAGGAAGAACTGTATCAGTAAAATGAGTAATGCTCCTAAATATCAAAACTACTGTTAAAAGTATTGCACATCTTAAAAGTTGCAACTTGGTTCTGGCACCTTGTACATTAATAAGTTAAACAAGAGCAATATTTTAAATAATGGCTTTACCTACCCTTCCCTTAATATGGCTGCTATTATCAGAGGTAAGTGTGTGTACATTCTTCTCAACTCACAAGAGAGTGATTGTGGTTCTGAATTGGCTGTTAACTAAAGCTTCTTTAATTACTGATAGACCAACTCCTGCATCATTGCAAATTACTGTAGTTTCACCACAGTAACATGATGAGAGAGGACTAGGACATGTTCCTGTTGCTTGGGACAGCAGAGAAGAAAGAAGGACAAATAACAACAGCAACATTTTCGACTGCTGGGCGTATTGTCATGAAAATTATATGAGCCACACCCTTCTGTTATTCAACGCCCACACAATTATAAATTAAAAACATTTTTTAGTTGTTCTCCGAGCAGCGCAGGAATGGCTCTATCAAAAATGTTTGCTAAGTGCATGGGCACCGCTCATGCTCTAAGTATTAAGACATTGAAAGATATTCCAAAGCCAGCTGGCTCACTTCCACTCTTGGGACACTATTTGCAAGTAAGAAGGCGCCCGGGGAACTTGAGCGATTTCTACTTGAAGCATTTTCAGGACTTGGGGCCAATTTTTAGGCTTGAGTTCCCGGGAGGTGAGTAAAACCCGCACAAAATTACACTCCTGCTCTAAAAATTGCGGGTCATTTGCAAAAATTATTATTATCATGTTCAGGAAAAAATGTTGTCTGTTTTGCTGATCCTGATGCTATGGAGGCAGTATATCGAGCTGAAGGCATCAACCCCATCAGGACATTTGCAGGACCAGCTAATTTCCAATGGTTCTACAAGAAGAAGAATTTTCCAACGCCTTTTGTTTTTCTGTACGTGAGTCAGCAATTGAGAGAGTATACTAAATACAAGGCTAAAGCTTTATAGAGCGTAAAAATATTTTTGCAATTTTGTTCATTATCAGTCATGCTGCAAATTTTGTGGCATTACTATGGAAATGGACCCATGAATTAAAGTTATTGACCTCTCCATTGATGTGGTTCACTTATGGCCTTTTACAAAGCCCTATAAATGAAGCACAACAATATCAAGAGTACATAATACCAAGAGTGGATAGTTATCCACTCTTGATAATACTTAATACTTTAAATATCATGTACTCTTGACAATATTGAGTAAACATTTTACTTGATACATACCGGCATATCTACATAATATAGGACTGGGGAGGAATGGAGGAATGCAAGATCTAAGCATAAGAATCAGATTCTTCCTCAGAACGTGCATCAATACATTCCTGGCTTTATCAGTGCAACAGAGAGATTCATCAGAAATATCAGTGAGAGCTCTACTGATGATGATGGCTACATAGAAGATATTCACTCATTGATCAAAATCTGGAGCATGGAAGGTAACTCATTTTGATTTATTTCAATTTATTTTTTGTATACAGCATCTGCATACTTCACTTTTGGAGCTGATATAGACACGACTAAATCTTCTCTTCCCGAAACTCAAAAATTCCACGAGGGGTTTTCTACACTTGTATCCACCATTGATGACTTCATTACAGCCCTGCCTTTATTCAAATACTTCCCTTCAAAAATGGTCAAAACGCTAAGCAAAGCAACAGATGATCTCTACAGTATTGGTCGGAAGTACATTGATTTGCATCAAGAGAGCGAGAGTGGGTACAGCCTAATGGACCAGCTACTAAAGGAAGGAAGAATGAGCAAAGAAGAGATAATAATGTCTGCTATCTTCTTAATGGCTTCTGCACTGGATACGGTAATAGATATTCTAATAGTAAATTACTACATTAACACATGCAGATATCATCTAATTCAAGCTACTTGCTCTATGAGCTATCTAAACGTCCTGATATTCAGGAGAAGGTATACAAACAGGTGACATCAGCTCTTGGTAGTACAAACGCAATCAGTGGAGAAGTTTTACAGATGATGCCTTATCTTGGTTGTGTAATCAAGGAAACTCAAAGGTTTAATTATTGATATATAAAAGCAAAGTACAAAATATTTCTTGTTATTGTTTATAGAATAACTCCTATAAGCCCTAATCACATTAGAACTGTCACAAAGGATGTAAATTTGCTTGGATACAACATACCAGCCCAAGTAAGCATTCAATGCAATTAGTCACTGATAATGGTAATTAAGACACTGACGATGTACTCAACATTGGCCGTTTCAAGAAATGAAAGATTTTTCAAAAATCCACTGGATTTCGATCCTGACCGTTGGAATAGAGATAAAATTCATTCATTTTCTATTCTGCCATTTGGTCTTGGACCTAAAAGCTGTTGGGGTAAGTAATAAAAGTGTGCTATTGTGCATATTTCATCATAAAACACATGAAGGAAGGAGGTTTGCTGAAGTTGAAATGAAAGTTCTTCTAGCTCTAGTAAGTATCACATTTTGCATAAACACCATGAGATCTTATTTTCTGTAGTTATGTCAAAATTACAAGATGGAGAGCATAGAAGCTCCCAGTGCTCAAATAAAAGTTAAAGAGAAACTTTTTACAAGACCATTGAATCCAATTAGGATAAGATTCATTCAAAGACAATGAGCTATATTATGCATTGTAGAGTACAAAGTTTATTATTTTTAATTACATTTATAAATTCTAGTATAGACAATGCAGAGAGAGAGAGAGAGAGAGAGAGAGAGGTGGGGCTGGTTCAGATCACATGTTCACATCATGATAACATTCATTGCATCAGCCTCAGGCTACTACTAGTAGATCAGTTTATCAAGGCTACAATAATGGTGGGCTATCTTTCTGAGCTCAAGGTGATGGAAAAGGCTCGTTCTTTCTTTGCTGCCCATCCTAAGGTAACTTGGACCATACTGGGAACTTTCTTTGCTTTCTTAGCAGTGGTGGGTCAGGTTGGAGAGAATGTGAGCCTTCCTCTGTGGGCAGATGCAGCCTCGTCCAATTGCTCTTATTACAAAAACAACACAGAAGAATCCGACGTACAAATGGAGAACTTTTTCATTCTCAGCTTTGCCTCAATGGCATTTGTCATAGTGTTTGGAATCTGCACTCTAGTAGTAGCAGCATTTGATTTCAAGACAATAAAAGAGAACCTCAAATTCCCCCAGTGGCAGCTGGTGTTAATTGGTGTCTGTGATGCCCTCAATGGTATCCTGGTTGTCTTTTCTGCTTCACCCAGGCGCACTGCCCCATTCTTGCAAGCTATACTTGGCAATATTGTCATCCCTTTAACAATAGTTCTCCGGTAAGAGCATTTAACAAATTGTGAATGAAAATATATTTGTCTGACTATAGGTTTCTTATATTGCGGAAAAAGCCGACTCTTATTAAACTTTCAGCTGCTGGGATAGTTTGTGTTGGTCTCATAATGTCCCTCATTCCTGTCATAGGCAATATGGATAAAGACAGTGACTCCGGACTCTGGCAGGACCAGCCTACTGCTGGTAGGATTCTCTGGCCATTATGCTTCATGATAGGATTTGTAAGTCACATCCATGATCACATGTATTGCATGCACAACTGGGAGGATTGAATGGGAATTTACATAAACCCTGCCACTGTTATCATAATAGTGGTCAGTGATAACTGTCATGTGATGTGAAATAATTATATAGTAGATCTATTACTCCTGTTATCATTTTGATATGTTTTATCAACATAAAACGTCGTGACGCCCTTTTTTTTCTAAAACAGTTCCCAGCTACAGTAATGAATGTAGTTGAGGAAATGAGTTTAAAGGACACAAGAAAAGTCAATCTGTTCTACCTCCTGTTCTGGACGTCTTTGTATCAAGTCATTACCATTTGGTTATTCTTCTGGGTTGATATACTCCCTTCCTTTGGATATGCAGATAACATTCACCAATTTGGAGAGAAGTGAGACTAAACTCATGCATCCTGCAACATTTACCTTTGCAATTATTATAGCTATAAGTTTGCCCTTGCTTGCTTCTTTGGTGGTGACACCTGTGATGCTATTCCCGGTATTCGTGGTACTTCATTCATTGTGATGTATATCTTGGCTTATATTGGGAGTGGGCTCTTACTACGCTATGCTGAAGGGGCAACATACTTGGCTATTGTCCAAGTGAGTAGCACATAATTATAATGCCATTACGTATTTTTGTTTTGTATCAGGCATTGGTAACACCATTGGGAGCTCTTTTCTGGAGTCTTTTTGATACTGACGACTGTGGAGGGTTCTTTTGGAGTCCTCACGCTAATAATCTGACCTACTTCAGTATCGCAGGAATTGTACTGATAGTTCCAGCTATTCTACTGTACAACACTGAGTAAGACTAACATTGGAATTACTTATAGACTAATAATAATATCAATCATTTTCATAATTACACAATAGGAAAGAGACCATTAAAAAGTGGTTGAGGAAAGTTCACATACCAGTACCGTATGATACTGAAATTGCTGAAGAGAAAACACCATTGCTGAACTAACTATACTCAAGAGAATTATGATGCCAATAATTTTTTGCTACATTTTTTTGAATTAGCTACTTTGTGTCAATTTGGTTTTTTGATTACACGTTAAATTTTAATTTTTGAATAGCTTTTTTTTGTCAAACTTAGCTGCATACGTATATATTAAGTGTTTTACGTTAAATATCATTAGAAATGACAATAAATTATTATTATTATTATTATTATTATCCAGAACACTTGATTGTTTACAACAGTCACCAAATGAGAAAGATGACACAAAAAAAATAAAACAAAAAAAACTATGTCAATCATTTAAAGATCTTTACGTCGGCAATCCTCTTCCCCTCAAACTCATCTCCCCTATCCTTAATCATGAACCCGTTTACAAACTCTCTCACTTCGGTACTGTCAGAGTCCAATTTCTCAAACTTGTAAGAAGGAGCATCAATATTCCAGTCTTCCACCAACTAAAGAGAAAGTGAGTTAGTTTTATATTAAAAACAAGTAACTGTTGTTGCTCTCAGTACCACAAACACACAAAGTAAAGCTACTGCTAGCATTGGTGGGTCGCAAGAGAGTCCATTAGTTCAATGTGGCACACACTGTTAGTCTTTAACAGTACACAAGAATACAACCATCAAGACATGCCTGGTGTGCAAATACAAGCCGTATACCGGTTTATTTTTGCGGTGAAATATTTTTGTGAATTTTGCATTTTTTTGCTCCGTCGCAAAAATTTCCACGACAAAATTCTGCATCCCCATTGCAATCTGCAATAGCTTGCAGTTTGCAAGCTATTCATGAAAATTAACTCTAAAATCTTAGAAATATAAGATTTGCGGAAATTTTTCACCATAAAAATAAACTGGTATAAGGTATAATGGGTTGACATTAGCAATGACTAATCTTGCATTGCAAAAACAACCGAGATATGATTCCTAATAGAAGTACAAAGATGAACTCACATCAAATGCTAGTTCCTGCCCACGCAAGATCCAAAAGCCAGAAATGTTCAGCTTGTAGTTCTCCCCAAGAACATAAATGACAGCAAACCCGTACTTGTGGAGTTTCTCAATGCGCTGGAAGAACCCACCAACTAGATTTGAAGCCATGAATGTCATCTTGAGTTCCTCCGGATACAAGTAATCGCATCTCCAGATACTGTAGCCTTCTTTATCAAAGTTCTCCCATAGATAAGGTATGGTGTTTTTGACTGGGTCTTCATTACAGAATGTTCTTTTAAATGCATCCAAAACAAATGAACTAGATAAAGGAAAAGATGACATGTATTGTTAACTCCTTATTTTGATTATATTTTCTGACACATACTGATGTCCTTATGCTATGTAGAAAGTTTGAGCTGATTCCGACAAATATTTTTTGAGTTATGGCCATTTAAAAAAAAAACTAGCCAAAAATCTGAAAAATACCCAAGGCTATAGCCCATGGTTTTTTTTCCGAAAATTGGCTCCAAAATCACACCAAATTTTTATTACATTTTCTAATGTATATTGATGTCCTTATGCTATGTAGAAAGTTTGAGCTGATTCCGACAAATATTTTTCGAGTTATGGCCATTTTTAAAAACTAGCCAAAAATCTGAAAAATTCCCAAGGCTATAGCCCATGGTTTCTTCCGAAAAGTGGCTCCAAAATCAAACCAAATTTTTATTACATTTTCTAATGCATATTGATGTACTTAAGCTGTGTAGAAAGTTTGAACTGATTCCGACAAATATTTTTCAAGTTATGACCATTTTTTAAAAAAACAAAAAAATATTTGAAAAATATCCCAAGACTATTTTTTTTCCAAAAATTGGCTCAGAAATCACACCAAATGTTCATTACATTTTGTTAAAAATTTTCAGTATTAAAAAAACCAAAGGAAAGGCTGATGGCTTTCTCTAAAATGAAAGATGATCATACCTTACCTTTTTGGGAGTGAAAGGTAAGGGTCAACAAAGACGTGCTTAGGGGCCTCCTCTTCTTCCTCCTCCTCTGGCTCAGGCTCTTTTGGCTTCTTCTCCTGCTTCTTCTTTTCTTGTTGCTTCTTCTCTTGCTGTGGCTGTTTCTCTTTGGCTGGTTTCTCCTTCTTTGGATGTAACTCAGCATACTTCTTAGCTAGAGAAACAAAACAATACTTAAGGTTTGAGCTCAGTAGCCCAATCCACTTACCATCAAATTGGGCTGCTTTCTCGCAGAGTGTAACATCCCCTAATACCTTCTTGAACTGAGGCTGATTAATGCATGTTACAAACCAGCGGTTCAAATTAACAAATGGATTACGAAATTGAGGCTCTAGTACCTGACAAAGTATTAAAATATACACAGGCATCCTATCTCATCAATGGCTCACTTGTTTATAAAGCATCAAAAGAGTACAGCAGACTCCAATGTCAGCTAATGTCACTCTCTCCCCAACAAGGAATGTCCTAGTGGCAAGGACATCGTTCAATACACCAAGCAATCTCTTCACAGCCTCTTGAGCAACACGTGCAGTCTAAAAATGATTAAATAATTATACAAAAAAGTAATTAAAATTTGTAGGCTTTTTGTGCCAAATATAATGCTTGTTACAAATAGGCATAATTTTTAATACTCAATCATGTCCATAAAAAAAAACAATAATTATTTTAAGTAATATTTTAGATAAAGGCAGTGACTAACTTCTTTGTTGAATGGCATGTATCCAAATGTTGGAAACACCCAAGTACAGATTGGTGGGAGGAGCTCATTCTCGGCGAAACAAAGATATTGTTGTACTAGTGCTGCATCTAAATCTGATGTACCTCTAAGAGCTGATGACGATACTAAATGAAAAAAATAAAACAATAATTTGAACTCCTAAATTTAGTCTTACCGTAATACGCAATAGCATTGCTCTCGTAGATATTGTCACCATTTTCCGTCACAAAAGCTGGGACCTAAAATAATATAAATAATTAATAATAATACCCACAAATAAAATAATAAATTAATAATAATAATTAATGACAAGACAATAGTTATTGTTGTCCCTTGCCTTTCCAAGAGGGAACTTTGCTAAAAAATCTGCAGACTTGTTTGTTTCTCCAAGAACAAACTCTGGCGGCTCAGACACCACTCTGATGTTCTTTCCACTGTACTCGGCAGCAATCAGTATCTTGAATGCTCTAAAGTTGTCGGGATATGTGTATAGAGTCTGCCAATAAAAAATAATGTTCACACAGAGCCTTTACACAAAATAAATTAATGACTGTAAATCTCTAGACAAAGATTGCAAAGGATAGAACAAGAAAGAAACTCACCCCAGCCATGATGTTCTTTGCACTTAATTATTTTAAGAGAAAAACCCAATAATAAAAAACCATTAGTTATTAACAAATTAAAATTTATAACTGTATTGCGCATGCGCAGTTCAAATTTCAAAATGGCCGCCAGACTGTTGAGGCTGTCAACAAGTGTTAATTCTTCCTTTCTTAGGTCCTCCAGTATCCTAAGAAGAGAATCAGTTGCAAAAGAGATCAAAAGAGTCAATTACTTGCACACTACGGGAGCTCTGGGAGGAGGAGGGAACCAGCTATTCGTCCACAGGCACACAGCAGACAACAATCCAGACACTCCCTTTGAATTCACTCCAGAGACCCTGAAAAGGATAGAAGGGATTGTTGCCATATATCCAGAGGGTCACAAGGCAGCTGCCGTCATACCAGTCCTAGATCTAGCCCAGAGGCAGCACGGCTGGCTCCCAATATCAGCAATGAACAAGGTAGCTGAGCTTCTGGACATGGCTCCAATGAGAGTTTACGAAGTTGCAACCTTTTACACAATGTTCAACCGCTCACCAGTCGGGAAATATCACGTGCTAATATGCACGACAACCCCTTGCATGCTCTGTGGCTCTGATAACATTCTTGAGACTATAACCAATAAACTGGGCATCAAGGTGGGTGAGACAACACCAGATGGGCTCTTCACTCTTAACGAGGTCGAGTGTCTTGGAGCCTGTGTCAATGCACCAATGCTTCAGATCAATGATGACTATTACGAGGACTTGAAACCAAATGATATTGTCGAGATCCTTGATGACCTGAAGGCCGGGCGGACACCTCGTCCAGGCCCAAGGAGCGGGAGGTTTTCTTGTGAGCCTCATGGCGGACTTACTAGCTTGACAGAGCCTCCCTATGGACCAGAGTTTGGTGTTAGATCTGATTTGTAGAATTATTGTTATTGTTGTTTATTATCTATAGAACTTCATTTCATTATCATAAAAATTGAAGCTAAAAGTTTAAAAAATAATTTTAAATTAAAAATTTTAAATCAGTTTTAATAACTTTTCTGGGCATGCGCATAAGTGTAGTCTACGCTGACGCGGTTCGCCATGTTTGGCAGGAGGCGATCTCCTCGTAATTGCAATTTCGTCCATGATGATGAAATATGGTAAGAACACCTGTTCATTCCATGGCTTAGAGCATTTTATTTATTCACAGGAAAGCTCATGTAGACAGGGAAAGAGAGACCACGAAAAAATGGCCAGAAATTTGGGGATTCATGCTGGTATGTATGCTACAGCATCTGAGCTCAGTAGGCAGTTGCAAGCTGTCAGTAATAAAAAATATTGACTACTAGAACAGTTGCATTAAATACCAAAAACCAAATATAAATTTCATGTAGGTGTGATTTTGGAAACCTTGATGCAACATAGCACTTTCCATGCATGCATGCCATGCTTGGCACCATTGATTGTGGCACTATATTGAAACCTCACAATTACTATAGTTTTATGCATGCACACAGCCTGAAAAGATAAAGATAAGAAATAAAGGGAGAAGAGGAGAACACAACCAATACATCACAGTCCAGCCATCAAATGAGGTTGATATGAAATTCATTCAAGGACTAGAAAGGGGTGCTGATAAGAAAAATGTCAAGCTTCCTCCCATTGCCAAGCCTCATCCAAAAACAACATCAGGACTGATTGGATGGAGAAACACCTCTTTAGAGAGATACGGAAGACATGCACGAGGGATAGCCAAGTGTGAAGTACCAGTATCAATTCTGTTTAGAATATGAAACAGCTAGCTGAATTAGTACATGCAATTTATTACTGCATTTTGAGAAATATAGAAAATTTATGATACATAACAAAAGAGGTAGAATTAATAATAATAATAATAATTTTTTATATTCTCTATAATAATAATATTATACTAGTAGCACAACCACACAATCCACCAAACACACAGCACACACACACAGATATTATTATGTCTAAAAATTGACAAAATTTTTGTATGGAAACAACAAACAAAAGAAGGTATCATCTATTGATATAAAAAGAAAGGAGAAGATTATACAAAAGATATATTCGAATGCCAATGCAATGAAAGGCATACTTTCCCTAACATGAGAGAGAGAAAAAGAGAAAGTAATCAATTGTTCAATACGAAATCCAAGTACCTTCTATTATGCATCTAATAGTCCATCAGTAAGATCAAGTGGTGAGTCAGAAGATGGCATACCACCCTCTGGATTAAGCAAGTCTAATGGACGGGACTCTGCAGCTAGATCAGGAGGTAGAGTACCCGATGGAGTTATATCTGGAGGAAGAGATGGAGAGTGATTGACCTGAACATCAGGGAGTGCACCTGCCACTGGTGAACTAATCAGATCAGGTAAGAGTTCCGCTGGGTGACCCCCACTCCCCGAGGATGTAGACTCCTCTTCTTCTCTTGCAGCAGGAGATGAGGGACCTAATAGATCCACTCCCTCTTGTGTCTCTCCCCCATCACTACCTCTTCGACCTTCAAGGGATGTATCCTGGTCATCAGGTAGAGGGCTTAGACATTCTCCTCTGTCATCAGTCTCACTGCTATAAATGACTAGTGCATTCACTGTCTTCTCCATCTCGGCCGGTGTTGTCATCCCACTCACAGCAACCTTCTTGAAAGGATCGTCCTCTTTGTTTAATTCTGCCTCAGTCTCGTCAGTGTACACGTTATCTAGTGATCCCACGAGTGATGGGTCAACCTCTTTCTCCTCTTCCTCCTCCTCTGCTGCCTGTTTCCTCGATAAATGGTCTTCCCCTGCTGAGATAGGAGGATATAAAAGATATGGTATAATTATGGTAATTTGTGTTTTTTTAGAGGGAAAGAATAAGCTTTTGCAAAACTTTGAAGCACAAGAACATGCATATTCTCTCATCGCCATTTTTGGCAGAATTTGGCCCAAATCTCTGTACTATGGTACAGGTACTTTGGCCCGATTTCGAGTAATTTTAAAAATTCATAAAAAATCCAATTTTGATCGGAATCAACTCAAACTTGCTAAGTAAATGACTACCTGATGAGCCAGAGGAGGGAAGGACTGCATCAGGTCCACCTTCAGCAGAGCGGTTGTTGTGAGATGCCTCGTGGATCCTTTTTGCTTCCTCTCTTTCTCTCTCCTCCTTCTCTTTGTGATTCCTTGCTCTGTACTTCTCCATTTCCCCTAATAGGTCCTTTATGAGCTGTCTGTCTCTCTGCACACATAAAATAATACATCACTAATGCATTACGAGGTAGGCAATAGATTAAGCATTCACTTAAATTGTCCATCTCTTACTATACAATATTCAACCACTGAAAATGAAAAAGTATTGTGCTCAATACACTTGGTCATGTGAGCTTAGCTATTATGTACAACACAATATCCCAGTGACTGTTTTTTATATAATCCCAAAGCTATAAGCTTCACTACATACACAAAATGTCAATTACAATCAGACATGTATAGTATAAGCAGTGGATTTCAAAAAGGACAATAGCCCACTACATGCGTGTAGGTAGCATTCCTCTAAGACTCACTTGTTCCACTTTAAATGTTTTGGGTGTCTCAAGATGCAATAGCTTATGGTTCATTCTTAATGCCAAACATAGAGCCATCAGGCCAGCTATTCTTATCTCATTCTCCCTCAGATCAACGTGGACTAAATATCTGCTCTCTGCCAACACTTCTGCCAAAGCAATGGCACCTGAAATGAAAACACAAAATGAATAAAACTAATACACACACACACATGATGCATGTACATACATGCACTATAAATTATTAATGTGTAGTATTGAACATAAAATAATTAAAGAAATCCTTTTTATATTTCACCATTCAATGGTAATCAGTTTTCGCATTCCTCTTGCGTTATGATTGGTACTTGTTTTCACACGTTGTGCTTCACTTTCACTATCCACAGATTCCCCTCTCTCTATCTTACCTTCGCAGGTGACTTTTGTTCCGGAGAGTACGAGCTTTTCAACCGATCGATTAGCCAGTATGCCTAACTTTAACATAAATAGCCCATTGTCTCCGAATCTGTTGTTAGAGATATTGAGATCTCTAAGAGTCCTTGTACAAGGCTAGAGAGAGAGATTAAGGAAAGAGATATACATATATATATATATATATATATATAAACACATTTTTGAAAGAGCTTGCATTCCATTTTCATAGCCAAAATTAAGCACAATGGCACGTGGCGGTAAATTTGCCAAATCAAAGCTCGCCAGTCATTACAAATATATATGGCACTCTGCCAAAATTTTGTCCCTCTAAAATCATCTGCTAAAACAATAGTATCAAATCTACATGTACGTGACTACGTGCATATGCAATGCATAGAATACATGCATGGTGCTTGATCCATAGGCTTACAAGCATTGCTGATATGTGGTGTATACCATCAGCAGTTAAGTTGTTGGTGCTGATGTTCAAGGTATACAGTCCTTCCTGCTGCTCAGCAATGCCAGCACTGATGTAACGTATGCCTGAATCCTGTCAAGAGAAAGAGAAATTATATATGTAAGTCTATTGCAATTGTACACCAATAATTCAAGCATAAAACACAAGTTCGTGTACTCAGGCTTTCAATAACACAAAAACAAACAAGGAATTAAAAATTAATCTCATAGCACATAAATATTTGGAAAGGTAAGGAGCAGATTGCACGTGCTTTAATTAGAATAGTAGACGGACCTGTAAATTATTGTCGCTGACGTCTAGGACTCTCAGAGTGTGATTGGATCTGAGTATGTTCCCTAAGTGTTGGCCGTCCTCCGGTCCGAGATGATTACGCGATAAATATATTTCTTGAAGGTTCTCGTTAAACTTCATGGCAGCCACTACAATGGAGTAAAGGAGGAAACGTGTACTATATGTACAGCAAGAGGAATGCAACTGATACTATTGAATTTATAATTTCCTACACACTTCACTAAAATACTAATTACAGTTACACATTGGCCAGAAAATAATTTTAAAATGGGATGAAAAATAAATAAAATTCAATTTGAAAAATTAGTAAATTAAAAACCATCTATGGCAGAAAAATTGATCAAAATTCTAACACAGTATCTATACATGTCAAATATCTATACATGTCAAATATGTTGGGCGTCTTCCTTACTAAGTATAAAGGTTCCCTTCCCTGTTAGATTATTGCCCTCCATTTTGAGTACTCTAAGACCACAGTTGGCCCTCACTGCTCTTAACAGTAAAGTAAGCGTCTGGTCGTCCAGAGCACAATAACCCACATCAATAGTGTCAATAAATGGAGACTGAGAAGGAGGAACAAGGACAAGTAGAAGAATAGGAGATAAAGAAAAAAGAAGCAATTAATGTAAAAAATGAATCAATAAAAATTAAGCTAAGTTCATTAAATTCAATGCATGGGAATAATTATTATTTTAAGTATACATGTACATGTGTGCCTACTTTCTTTAGTGTTCTACCAATGGTGAGCCAAGCCCTTGGTCTCAATCTGTTATTATGAGCCAAGAGAAGCTTGCAAGCACAGCCATAGAATTCAACCATCTCACATATAGCTATCATGCCCTGTATTAAGGAAGGAAGGGGAATGAAAACATGATACTTGACTGATTACTTCGTCTTCAAGGTTAGTCCTCTCTAACTTCAGCGTGGAGGCGTGAACTCGACTCAGGACTGCCTCTAACACCTCGCACATCCTGTTCTCCAGTTTGACACCAGTTAGATCAATGGTGTCTATGGGAGTGTTGAGATTATACACGCCCTAAGGAAAGCATTAGAAAAGGAGAAGAGAAGTTAGAAGAGAGGGAACCATTAGGACATTAGGCATTGACACATTGCAGCTATTACCAGTGAACAAGATACTAACATAATACCAAGTATCACCTGACATACCAACTACACACAAGTACAGCAACAGTGTTGCAACACTTATGTATTAAGAATATCAATAGTATCACAACAAACCATACTATCTATATTATTTTCACTCACTCTCTCTCTCTCACTTACTTTCAATTGGTCTAATAATATCTGTGTGGGCTTGATCTTCATTGCCATACACTCTCTCTGATAGGCGTTGATCATGTCCTGTGCACTTTCATTTGGGTCTACAATAGTAGAGAGTTAGTTACCATGACAGCGGAGCCACGCCCACACTCACCGTGCACCCAAAGGTTGGTGTCGTCAAAATGTGACGTTATATTTTCGTCTCTGAACTTAACGTGTTTCTTCTCTCTGGTCTTGTTGCTGTTGCTTTCATCGAGTTGCTCCTCTATGCTTTCTTTCTCAGAGTTGAATTGACTGGGAGTGTCCAAGTCTGGGGGCTCAACCCAGTCTCTACTGTTAATGCCAACAGCAGAGGAATCGCTTGTACTCACACCTGACATTGCCTTAGTGAACAATGGTAACTAGGGAGGGAGAGAGAGGGGAGGGAGAAAGAAGAGAGAGAGAGGGAGAGGTGAAAGAATAAGGAGGAGGGGTTAAGAAAGATAAGAAAGACAAACAATACCACTCATATCTTAACAAGATACATGTACATGACATACACGTGTACATGTTATAATACATGTCATTCACAATGGACTAAAGAGGAAAACAGTATCTATCAAATGAATGATGAACAAAGATAGCATGCATACAATATATATCAATACTATTCTATCGTTATCATTATGTATTATTATCATTATTATTATTAACATTATTGATTTCATAAGCTCTTCTTACCTGAGATTCTAAAGGTGATGATACTGACTGTGGAGGATTGGTAGCTGTAGGAGAGTTTGATGGAGATATAAACTGGATGTCATCATTAGCACCACCACCACCCCCACCAGCATGACCATCCTTCTCTCCTTCCATTAATCCAGTTTCTACTCCTCTCTCTCAGTCTCTCTAGAGTTCACTCAGTTCAGTGGTGGTGGTATTATGGTAGGGGTGGAGTAGTCACGTGACACACTAGAGGGAGTCCTACTGCTTGTGTTAGGAGGTGATGGCTGGAGAAGGAGGGCGGATGCTTGAGGACTGCTCAAAGGATTGTTTCTCTGTTTAATTCCTTTTTATCCTCAGCTCCAAGCAATAAGTTTCCTCCCCAATGCTAGACCTCGATTATAATGAATGATGATCACGTGACTAAAAAATAGGAGGACAATGAAAACTAAAAAGACTCCGTATTTTTTCAGGATACCACGATTTACCAGGGGTAGCTCCGCCTTTTAAAAAATGGCCGAAACTAGCAAGGTATTTCCAGACTTTTTTAAACACACGAATCATGCTTCCTATTGTATTTCTTGACTATAGGCTGCCCCCACTACAGTACATCCAAATGGAGCAACAAGTACTTGGAGCAACAGCAACATTAAGTTGCATCAAGGGTTCTTTGATAGGGTATAGCTGTGGGTAGTGGGCACTTGAATGTACAATGAGACAATTTATTATGTATAATAGTACTAGCTTTGGGTACTGGGTATTATAGCAATGTATCATGTATTTTATTCGTGGGTAATGAGTATAGATATGGTATTGTCCTTTCCAAAGTTATAAACAATGGCCCATTAGTCATAATGGGCTGACTGTGTTCTTTGTAATAATAATAATAATATTGTTTTCTTCTTTTTTGCTCTTGCAGGCAAACAGGGCTTCATTCCCTCTACATCTAAAAGGAAGAAAGAGAGATGTTTTATTTTATAAGGGGATGGTGTTTTTGTCAATGGTCGGCTTGGCAATTTCTTTTGGGGGTCTGTACAAGATGGCCAATGGGACAATATCAAAGAAAGGAACAACATGAAACTATAATACATTTTTCACTCATGCACTGTACTGTGTTACATACTTTAAAGGGCGTTATAGTTCTGTTATTTATTTTATTGATTAATCAATATTTGCATGTATGATAATATCAAGGATAATATTCTGAGATGCTTTATGCCACAGACTGCATGAAGCTAAAAGAAGGTGACAAGGTGAGAATTGCTGGAAGACTCATTAATTATTAATATTAATTTTTAATTAGTGGAGCCACGCCTGGCCTGATGACTAATTGCAGGGTCTTCTCTCTCTCTCTTTGTACACACCTCCAAACAAAAATCAAATAAAATGCCCAGCACAAGAAATGGTGGCCCTCAAACGACGCCTTCTGGTGGAGTAGTAGGACAGCAAGAGACTCCAACAAAGGAAGACAAAGAGGGGAAGGTTGAGGAAGACGAATCCTCGGCTTCAGATGAAGACTCATTTTCTTGTAAGCCCTACCACACCTGTCATGTAAAAAAATACGTGTCTCTATTTTGTGATTGAGTATAATTGAGATCCTCTCCTATTGCTGTAGATGATGAAGGAGAGTCAGAGCGTAGGAAGAGTCGGTGTCTTGATGACATGCTTCATCTTGAGAACCAGTTTGCAGAGCTAAAGGAACTGTGAGTCATTGCTGTGTATTTGTACTTATTCATTATCTGCTAATATGCACCACTCAGTTTATATAAGGAGAGAATGGAAGACGTAGAGCAAAAGTTAGACCAACTCTCTAAAGGTAATAATTATTGTATAGCGGGAAATTTTGGAGGGACTAAAATTTGGCAAATAGCTAACTTTTGGTGATTGGCGAATTTGGGGCCACGTGCCATTGAGCATGCGTATAATGGCTCAAAATGGCAAATTTTGTTTTGGCAAATGGCTATCAAAACACCAAATTTTCCAAATTTAATTCCCTCCAAAATTTCCCCCACTATAATACGGTATTTGTGGGTAATGTCCATTGAAAGTATGGTTTCTTTTTCCAATGTTTTTCTGATGACGCTAGTCACATGATGTATCCCCATGCCATCAATAGTTTACTGTATGGTACCTTGTTTTTAGATTCTGCCCCTGAGTATGTTAATCCATTAAGAGAATTGACAGAGAATAGAGACAAACGCTTACACGTGTCAGGTAAGCTTGTGTAATTATAATAGTAATCCTATTCTTTTTTTTTTAATTCTTTTTTTTAAATTCTTTTTTGATGCATCTAAAGAATTAGTTTTAGCTCAAAAGGTATTAAAATATTATGCATTATAGCTATCTTGACTACATTGTTTTTTTTATAGAAGTATGGTAGCCAGTGTAAATATGAGCAAGAAATAGCTTCCGCTACACTCGACTATGAAGTATTGCAAATCTGATCTACTCGCGACCAATCTCTATGTACAATTACTTGTTCCCAATCATAGGAAGGAGCAAAACTATGCAAGATGAAGATTATCAGTGAGATAGAAGAGAATATACAGCGTCTTAAGGAGGAAGAGGTTTTAGCAGATATGACAGCTGGTGAGGCTTAGCCTTGGGAAAGTAACAGTTGCTTTTTAATTCTTTGTTTATAGAAAGTAATCATCGGAAGAGAAAATCGAAACCATCAGAGTTCCTTTTATTAGAGAAACGTAAAAAGCCCGTTGTTGTCACCGATATCCAATCAATGCAATCCTATTCTCCTTTTATTCATTTCATGTTATGCAATGCCTTAACTTTATGTTCCCACGTCCATATGTAGTGTACCTTTTACGTGACATGGAGATAATGGAAGACATCAATGACATAAGACGAGTGAGTTGTGCTCCTCCAAAAGCAGAGGCTTATCACTTATTCTTAGGGCAGGGCAATTGCTGAAGTAGCTAAGAACCAGAGACATCAAAAAAGCTGAAAATGTGCCAGCCTCCAACTTACTTTGTCACATCAATTAACGAATTAATAATTTATAACCTTTTCTCATTCACACTAGACACATCTCATCATTAATTAAAAACTAAGCCAATCATGCTCAGTTAATTGTGCTTCTGTGAATGTGCAATCACGTAGTCTCTATTATCTATGGTGCAATCTGGCATTGCGAGCTGATAATAATAATTCTAATTAAGAGTTGTTTATAAGACTAATTATGTATTATAGTATTGGCATATAAAATGGCTAAATCAATACATCTAAGCATGGACTAAATATAATCTAAGGAATGCGTGTCAAATGCAACAAAATCAGGGTAATCATGGTAGGGTATATAGTTAATAATAAACTAATGAGGTTCTTTTAAAGGAAGGCATCACACCAATCCCTCAGACAATTGTAACAGTCGCTCTGTTGTTTGGAGTTAGCTCCACATTCAGCATTCAGCCATTCCTAAAATACAAAATCAAACATAAATATAGATACACAGTATTGAAGTTCGAACCTTGAACAGCTCCTCATTCATTTTAAGCAGTAAGAATTGGCCCAGGACTACATATGCCTTATCAAAACCCTTAGCAGCTAGTCTCCCACCTAAAGCCTCTCCTATACCTGCCAATTCAGTCACTGGCTTTTGACCCATGGGCTCTCCAACAAAGTTTCTGTGCTTCTGGCTTGTGCTTGACATTTCTGGTTGCAGAGATAAATTCAAGAAAGATAAGATGAAAACTGAGTCAGCAAAGGGCGTGGTTTTGTTTAAATTTGCAATTTGACAACGTGCAACGTGACCCAGGCATGGCAAGGTGGTGCTAAGGTGGAGCTTGTAAATCTGCAATTTGCATGGAGTGCATGCATTTATAGTGGTACCCATCTGGATTCTGGACTCACTCAAACGGTTCAAACCAGCTACAGGGACACTGTGTTTGCCCCTGTAAAAGTCTAGACAGTCCTTACAGAATATCGTGTCATGGGTTGTATGCCTGAGGCTGAGGGATACAATATAATTCATTACTGTGTCATCACTGTGGTGCAATATCCTTTACTATAAATACAGCCTGTTAGTGAAGCTACCGGGTGAGTGGTTATGTCTAAAGCTACAAAGAGGAAGCACGTCACAAAAGAGGTGCTAGAGGAACTGGTTGAACCAGAGGGGGACCAATTTATCGTTAAAGTGAGGAGTAAAGTTTAATTTTAATGCCTGGGGGGAATAAATTTGGGTTTAACCGATTTTGAAAAATCCAGGGTGCCATATTTTTGTGTTATAAATTGATAATAGTGATGGGTGATGTATCGATATTAGAGTTTCCAACAAAGCATATATACTAAGTGAGCTAAACAGCATGAGCTTCATGAGCTTACAAGCACTACAATAGTACATGTACATGGCTTTGGGACAAGTTTTAAAATTTAAAAAAAAAAGAATTTTGGTCAGAATCAGCTCAAACTTGCTACACATCATAAGAGCCTGTATATGTATCAGAAAAATTTTAAAAATGGAGAATTCTTTCCTAGTCATTTTTGGCGAAACTCGGCCAAGTACCTTGTACTATATAGTACAGGGACTTTTGCCCGATTTTTGAGTAAATTTGAAAATTTGTAAAAAAATCCAATTTTGATTGGAATCAGCTCAAACTTGCTACACAACATAAGAACATGTATATGTATCAGAAAATATTATTAAAATGAAGATTTCTCTCCTAGTCATTTTTGGCAAAATTTGGCCAAGTACCCTGTACTATAGTACAGGGACTTTGGCCCGATTTTTGAGTAACTTTGAAAATTCTTTAAAAAATTCAATTTTAATTGGAATCAGCTCAAACTTGCTACACAGCATAAGAACATGTATATGTATAAGAAAATATTATGAAAATGAAGATTTCTCTCCTAGTCATTTTTGGCAAAATTTGGCCAAGTACCCTGTACTATAGTACAGGGACTTTGGCCCAATTTTTGAGTAACTTTGAAAATTCGTAAAAAAATCCAATTTTAATTGGAATCAGCTCAAACTTGCTACACAACATAAAAACATGTATATGTATCAGAAAATATTATAAAATGGAGAATTCTCTCCTAGTCATATTTGGTGAAATTTGGCCATGCAAAGACCCTGGTTGACAAATTTCACCTACATTGATAATTTCCACCTTGAAGTAGAATGGTGCCAAAATTGTGGGCCAATTTTTTTGACCGAAATTTTGTATATGAAATGGGAACATTTTCAAATTAATTTTTACTAACATTTTGATGTTTTTGCAAACTTTTATATGCTTCGTATTTAATATAAATATTATTTTGACCCCAACCTTTACTTTCTTATCTTATGCAGATTCAGGGAGGTAGAGGAAACAATCTCCACGAAGCTGAATCCCCTGACGGTCAGAAGTTTCTTGTCAGCATGCCAACAAAATTTAGGCGAAACGTATGGATAAAGAGAGGTGAGCCTATTCTAGCTGTGTCACACATGATTAGCTTTCTCCTAAAAGGGGACTTTGTTATCGTCGATCCAATAGCCGAAGGAAATAAAGTTCAAGCTGAGATAGCTCACATTTTATACCCGCTACAAATCAAGAACTTAAAAAAGAATGGACTATGGTAGGCCTACACTTTTCCCTCAAATCTGCAAAGATTAATAAATCGTATATAAATGTACTCTAACCATTGTCTTTCTCATTAACACTTTGCATTATAGTTGTTGTTAGACAAATTCCCATTATTTGCTGTAGGCCGTCTCATTTTACAGACAAAGGCACTAGTCCTGTCTGTACAGGCCTAGATAACCCAAGGTAACGAATACAACTTGGTTATTTTTATGGATGAGTTTTATCTAGAGAGAGAAGTGATCTTGAAACCAATACGTCGCCAGCAGCCAGTGATAGCAATGATGAAGAGGAGGTGACAGAGGAGGATGACGATATATTTGTAAATACAAACAGAGTTCACGCTGCCACACACAGAAATACCAGCAGTAGCTCGTCAGATGAGAACGGGGGATAACGGATCGTGGATTGCCTGTAATTGAGACTTGGCAATGTGTTATGTGTGTATAATACCAAGAGTAAATAATTATAATTCGTGGATAAGATAGCGATAATTAAGCTCGAAGTACATAGACCTATACATTAGAGCAACAGTGTATAGTACAAGCAATGCATTTAATGAGCCAAGCACGTTTATAACACGAGTGCGTAGGAGTATATATCTATTAGAGCAGCTCTGTCCCGTCTTCATTGTTACTGAACCGTCCTGAGTTATTGTTGGAAGTAAAAGGCTAAAAGCTCGCCATGTCCGAAGAGAATCAACCTACTCTTGAAACTGCTGCTCCCGTTGAAGAGGCGCCACAACAAGCTGAGCCAGTAGCAGCTAAGCCAGAAGACAACAGGCCCCTTGTGTTGGTAACTGGAGCCTCCGGCTTCATAGCTGCACACGTCATTAAGCAGCTAGCTGCCAATGGAAAGTATAGGATCCGTGGGACTGTTAGAGATGCTACAAATGAAGCTAAAACAAAACCAATCAGAGAGCTGCCTGGAGGGGATACAATGGAGCTTGTTAGCGCCAACCTCACGAGCGAGGAGGAATGGAAAGCTGCTGTGAAAGGCTGCACGTATGTGCTTCATGTTGCCTCACCTTTCCCATTGAAGAAACCCAAAAATGAAGACGAGGTGATCCTTCCAGCTAGGGAAGGAGCTCTTAATGTTCTCAAGGCATGCGCCGAGGAAGCAGGGAGCCCAGATCGCCAGCTCAAGCGGGTTGTTCTCGTCAGCTCCATTGCAGCTGTCTCTAATGGGTTAGTTGGACCCTCTGGCACATATTCAGAAGAGAATTGGTCAGATGAGACAAAGATTCCTCCATACGAAAAGAGCAAGCTCCTAGCAGAGAGAGCTTCTTGGGAATTCGTAGAAAAACTAGAGGATGGGAAAAAGTTTGAGTTCTCTGTCGTTAACCCAGCAGTAGTATTTGGTCCTCCACTTAATGCTTCAAGTGGTAGTGGTAGTTCTTTGTCTTTAATCACAAACGTCATTGGAAACAAGGTCCCTGGTATACCAAACCTATATGTTCCTTACATTGACGTGAGAGATGTTGCAGCTGGCCTTATCGCTGCTATGGAGAAACCAGAGGCAGCAGGAAAGAGGTACCTTCTTGCAAATGAAGAGCCACCACCTTATCTTGATATGGCTCAAGCGATAGCCGATGAGTTTGAACCTCAGGGATACAAGGTTCCGGCCAAGCCAATGAATAAAGTTCTGCTGTGGGTTGCTGCTCTGTTAGATGAAGGAGCAAAGTTGGCTAAGAGTTATCAAGGGATAGAAATCAAATACAACATCAGTCGAATGGTCGGTGAATTAGGCATTACTCCTATACCATACAAAACATGTGTCCTTGATACTTGCTATGGTCTTATTGATCATGGTTTGATCAGGAAGACTCCACAATACTTGGGACACCCTGACAACCGACCTCCTCCTCAAGAACCAGAAGCTGAAGAACCAAAAGCTGAAGAAACAAAAGCTGAAGAACCGAAAGCTGAAGAACCGAAATCCGAAGAACCGAAAGCGGAAGAGCCTAAAGTGGAAGAACCTAAAGCTGAAGAGCCTAAAGCGGAAGAACCTAAAGCGGAAGAACCTAAAGCCGAAGAGCCTAAAGCCGAAGAACCAAAAGCTGAAGAGCCTAAAGCCGAAGAACCTAAAGCTGAAGAGCCTAAAGCCGAAGAACCTAAAGCTGAAGAACCTAAAGCTGAAGAACCAAAAGCTGAAGAACCAAAAGCCGAAGAGCCTAAAGCTGAAGAACCAAAAGCCGAAGAGCCTAAAGCTGAAGAACCAAAAGCCGAAGAGCCAAAAGCCGAAGAACCAAAAGCTGAAGAACCTAAAGCTGAAGAGCCAAAGGCCGAGGAAACTGAAGAACCAGCTGAAGGAGAGGAATCATCATAAACCCAATAATATTATAATTTTAATGATAAATTTGGTTTTTAGTGAATTTTGATTACTGTGTAATGCTATGACCCTATTTAATTGAATAATGTTAAATCAGTAGAGAACACTAGACACTTTAAAGTTAATCCCAAAAGACAACACATGGAGATGCACTCATACTTGAAAAAGCAACCTCATATGTTAACACACACAGCCTGAAGACAACTGTCAAACACACACACAATGAACAGAATCCTCATTGAGACGTATACAAAATGTTATTCTACAGATGGCACCATCAATTTGACTGAAATAGCCTACAAGTACATAAAGAATGATATGAAAATACTGGTACTTTTATACCATACTGGCTAGTCTTTACTGTTACATTATGTTCATACCTCATTGCAATAGAGACATTCACCAAAAAGAAATCCAAAGCTCTTTCTGGTCGAAGTTAAACTGGTCAACCACTAAAAGAACAAAAATATCCAATTACATACAGTATCACCACACTTATCTTCTCATGTTATATATATCTTATCTCTCTCTGTGTCTCCCCCCAGAGCAGCACACACTCACACCTCATAAAGACAAGAGACATGATAAGGCTGAGAGCATTGCTTGTTATCACAGGTGAAGTCTGGAGCCCTGCCATTCTCATAGTGTCTATGGGTGTAACATATACCACACTCCATTATGTAATCCTGATAAAGGATAAGACATTATATAGAGGTGTAACTGGCTCTTTATAAGTGTGTGTGTTTGTGTGTGTTTGTGTATTACTTCTTCTTTTGTTGAAATGGGTGAAGGGAAGTTAACAGAGAGTATATTTTGTAAATTTTCTAATACTGAACACCTTGTATTCCTAAATTAAATGGGGAACTATATGAGACTTTAATTTAAAATATTCATATTTGTTATACCAGCATTGCTGGCCTCTTGAATACAATCTGTCCTTTATAACTTTCACTTCTGTAGAGAGAGAGAGAGAGAGAGAGAGAGAGATCAAAAGACATTGGATTGTTTTTGCTATGTGAAAGATTAATAATTATACATCTGGCAACTCTACATTCCCGATGTACAACTATAATGTACTCTACACTACAAACCACAGCCCTTATGAACCACTAATTGAATTACAGTCACTATGTTAACATTACAAGCACCTTCAGTGGGCCCTAGTGGAGTACACTCAGGCATTAATTGGGGATGTAAAGGATCAATTGTCACTTGCAATGAGAGATGAGATCCTAAGGAGAGAGTGAGAGAAGGAGGGACAAAAAGAGAGGGAGAGAAGGAGGGACAAAAAGAGAGGGAGAGAAGGAGGGACAAAGAGAGAGGAGAGGAAAAGATAAAGTAAAGAGATAAAGGGGAGAGGTATGAATAATTAAATGCATTATTTTACTGATAACTATACGACGATAAGTTGAAGAGAGAGAGGGAGAGCTGGGATCAAGGACCCACGTCTTTTTGTCTAACTCATCCAACACATCCCAAAACCTTTGATACTCCAAGATAACCTAAAGAAAGAGGGAGAGAGGAAGATAAATGAAATGTATTAAAGTGATTTATAGCCTGCCTGAACCTTTTCAAACTGTCTGACAATGTCTGCCAGTGTAGTTGAGCTAGACCAGTTTGGTTGAAAGGCAAGTGGAAGTACAGCATTACAGACAGGTGGCTCAATAGGATACTGGAATTATAATAACAATAATAATATAATCATGTATGGCATTACCTTATATGGTAAGTGAATGGAAAGGACATGAACCCTGCCACCTGTATCACTAATTTTATGTGCAAAATTAAAAATCATTATTAATTTATAATTATACACTCTTACTTTAATGTGATTTGAATGTCTTGAAACTTTGTATCTATATGAGAGAGTCTACATAAGAGATCAAGGCAAAAATTAATTTTTCTGGAGAATGAGAGAGAGAAGTTTATACTCATACCTATTCCAGCCGATTTCCTCAATTTCTGATATCAAACGAGAATAATAATTAGGAGGAGGAAGAGGCTGAGCTTGCAATGACATTATTTGATTCTTAATGAAAGAGGAGGAGCAATAGGAGAGAGTGGAGACATAGCTAGGAGCTTTGACTTACCAGTAACATTTTAAAGTCAATCAGGAAAGATGGCAAATCTCTTGCTAACAAAAGCTTCTGTAAAATAGAAAAGAGTAGGGTACTGATGAAGTTATACATGTCCTTGTGCTGTGTATCAACTTTGAGCTGGTTCCAATCAAATTTGTATCTTTTTAAAAAATTTTAAAGTTACTCAAAAATTGGATTAAAGTCCCTGTACTATAGTACAGGGCCTTAGACAAATTTTTGCCAAAAATGACTAGGAGAGAATTCTCCATTTTTATAATGTTTTCTGATGCATATACATGTACTTATGTTGTGTAGAAAGTTTGAGCTGATTCTGATCAAAATTGGACTTTTTATGAACTTTTAAAGTTACTCTAAAATTGGGCCAAAGTCCCTGTACTATAGTACAGGGTCGTTGGCCAAATTTCACCAAAAATGACAAGGAGAGAATTCTCCATTTTTATAATGTTTTCTGATGCATATACATGTACTTATGTTGTGTAGAAAGTTTGAGCTGATTCCGATCAAAATTGGATTTTTTATGAATTTTTAAAGTTACTCAAAACCCATGTATAATGTACTGTAATATTGTAGTGCTTGTCAGCTCACAAAACATGCTGTTTAGCTCACTTAGCATGCTTTGTGGGAAACCCAGAGTAAGTACCTTCTTCAAGACTGCTTGATGCTTACTCAAATAATTACGCAACTGCCAATCACAATCAATCCTATTTTAATATGAAGATGTGATCAAGATGAGTCCTTGTATATATACTTGGCATAATGTACGTCACCATCATCAGGAAGACTAATTTTAAGGTAAAAGCTCTTATCCTAAAAATAAATAAAAATCCCTAAAAATATAACAATATTGATTACTTTAACTCTGATGAATCCAGAGTAGCTGAGGCGCTTTGTATCAGCTGGTAAGAGAAGAGGGCATACATGTTGAACCTCTTTCAAACTTTCCGCCATTTTATTTTAATAACTAGACAGTTTAAAACCCCGCCTTCTATTTAATTGTAGCTCCGCCTTTTTAAATTTTAAATTCTAAATTTTCAGATTTGAAACTCAAAAGAATGGGTTTTGAAATTTGAAATAAAACAACAGTTTAAATTCTAGGGGCGGTTCTTATTCCAATTAAAGTGCAGGGCCATAGCAGAGGCAGAGAGGCTTGCTTGCTTGCTTTATGTTTCCAGCAGCTCAATCTCTCCAGCGGCAGGAGAGCCAAGGAGATAAAGAAGGTAAACCAATAGTTTTAAGGTTGCACCTGCTGTTTTTTTATTTGCTCCTCCTCTTTTCCCTCCCACAGCCTCAGGCCTCCCTCCTCCTTCATATCCTCCTCCTTCTGATAGTGACTGGCTGATCAATGCCAGCTACAAGGAGACAAAACCCTCACGTGATCATCACGTGACTAGTAACGACAACAAGAGCGACAGGTCATCATCATCTCACTCGCCTCCGAGACACAAGAAATCGAGACACGAAAGGAAAGACTCGTCATCTGAAAAGAGAAAAGGACGTAGGAAGAGCGACTCGCATCACCACAGACACAAGAAACACTCTAAAAAACCCCAAAAACCCTCAGAGCCAGTAAAACCCGATACAATATGGCTCAGCGAGACAGGTTTAGATCCTAAAGATGCTTATCGTCTTCATAAAAAACCCGATCCATCAAACCTCTCGTATGACACCCTTTATAGTGGAGACCAGGCCTCCTATAAACGCTATTATGGCAACCTCTGTTTGGGGCTCGGGTGGAGTCAGTCGATAAAATTCACGGATAAACGGAATCGAGTTGCGAAAGGCTCAAACCAAGAGGAAGCCAAGAAGCGATATTACGAGGAGGCCCTTGATACAACTGACACACAACTAACCTTCATACCACGCCCTGTTCATGCAGCCTGTCTCAGTGAAGAGGAGGAGGAGGTGGAGGAGGAAGAGGTAAAAGATAAAGAAGGAGAGACTCCTAAAGATAAAGAGGCTGAGAATAAAGACGGAGGAGCTGGAGATGATAAGAAAGAGGAAGTGGAAGTAGAAAAAAAAGAGAAAGCCATACACAAGAGGAGAGTACACATACTGAAAGATCATGAGGATTTCAAACTACCTGATTTCCTTAAATTAGACAAACAATTAAATGACAATAATCCTAAACTCGACGTCCTTCCCCCTGATGAATACATCAGTCAAAGGATTGCTGACTATAATCGTAGGCTAGCAGGAACAAACGATGTCTCCTTGTGGCTTGAATTTATCGCCTTTCAAGACCAATTACTTCACTGGGGAGTGTCCCCTAGTGGGGACGGAGAGGATAAAGGAGTCGGCGAGGAAAGAAAGAAAAAGTTAAAGGCGGCCATCACAGAGAGAAAGATATCTATATACGAGAAAGCCCTAGGCATCTTTCCTTATTCTACTGACCTTATTATAGGACACATGGAGCTAGTAGAGGAAATATGGGATACAGAGAAACTGGTTGAGAAATGGAAAGACATTGTCTTCTATAATTCCAATCAGTCCCTCCTCTGGATCAAATACATAGAATTCTGTCTCTCACGTTTCTCCTACTTTCAGACCAACTCAGTCATAGCTATATTCACTAAGAGTATCTCCACACTCACGGGCATAGCAGAGAGAAGACTCCTATCGCATTATCCTGAAGTAGACGCCGAAAGAAAGATACTAGCAATATACGTATTCCTGTGTTACTTTCTACGCGAGGCTGGTTACATAGAAAGAGCCATAGCAACATTCCAAGCACTGATTGAATTCAGTCTACTCTGCCCTATTGATGAGTACCCTGCCGACGGGTTCTATCCTCGTATCGCCCGTAGAAAAGGACTCGAGAGTTTCTGGGAGACAGACGAGCCACGGTTCGGGGAAGAGGGAGCCGTGGGTTGGACTGGATGGGAACATAGAGAGGAAGTGGAGCCTACACCATTAGGCCTGTTTCCCTCTGATAAATATGATAAGCTACTGAAGGAGAGCCCTAAAGACAAGGAGGGGGAGACAGAGGAAGAAGAGGAGGACATTGACATTAAGTTTGTAAGTGGCCAGCCGCTCAATAAAGCCTGGCTCAAGATAGAGAGCTATCGAGATGAAGAGAATTCCCTCCCTGGCCGACTCTCGGCTCCAGTCAACTCGAAGATGAACAGCGATTCTGAAGACCCTGAGCACATCACCCTCTTTGATGACCTCATTCAAATAATGTTCATGATGCCCGACCCTGAACTGCATTATTTATTACTGCTAGAGTTTGTTCGATTTCTCGGAGTCCCTTGCTCGGGACAGTCGATAATGCAGGCTACCTTCCCCGATGTTGTTTACCCCGTATCCATGGCATCAGAGGTGATGACTGCCCCTTCCTGTATTCTCAACAGCCTCAGAAGTCAAGGTACTAAATTCTCTTCTTGTTACTTCCAGTCCTCACCGCTAGGCAGCGAGTACTCCTCCACTTATGGTACTAAACTCATGGACGATCTCTCGTGTGGTAGCCTTCCATCTGAGAAATCCTCAATTTCTACCAAGTGTCCTCCTTTCTCAAGTCACACGAAACACTTCATATCGACAGTTTTTAATCAGAGTCTCGGTTTGGTGCCAAAGGACTCCAACGCAGGCATGGTCCTAATGTGTACTTGGCTACAGTTTGAGTTGTTGTACATTAAACAGCTTCAGTCCGAGTTGTGTGATGTCACCGAGCATGTTGATCAATTGCATTCGCTTGCTATAGAACTGGTTGGTTCTTTCACTAGTCACAATTACTCTTTTCTCTGGGACTTCACTTATTCGCTGGAGCAGCTCATGCCACAGCTATCGGGCAAGCCAAGCCAGCTGAGCAAGGACCTCTTGAGTCCGTTCACGAAGAAATCGATGCCTTTCAACGAAATGTTTAGCCTATCAATGACCTTTGTTGAGTACCTCCTTGGACTAAGAGAGCCGATGAACTGTTACCTAAAATGTGTCCCCAATAGGAAACTCGCCACTTATATGATAACCTCAATGAGTGATTACAAATTTGATCCTGTTAATCTTCCGAAAGATGTTCCTAATTTCACAGCCTTTGCCATGATAAGGACGGAGGATTTCTTCCTTTTACACATCCGTAAAGTCCTCGCACAGATCAATGCAAAGATGATGAGTGTCAAGAAGGACACTTTTTATGTTCACTTCCCAAAGCTGGCCTGCCACGTGTACTTCATCTATCTCACCGAGGGGATCGAGGACACGTTCAAACTCTGCCAGCAGTACGAGTTTGAGATCAAGAGGATAGCCAGAGACCCTGCAGTCCCCAATCACTCCACCCTCACTCCGCTACTAGAGAACCTCTACATGCTACAGGCAAGGCTCATCATTGTTCATGGACACTATAAAGTTATGAAACCTTCGGTACTACGAGAGTTCATATACAAAGCGCTCGAGCTCTTCCCAGCCCATTATTGGTTCCTCCAGTATCTCCTTGAGGTTGAGAGACGATCTTCTATTAGCGGACGTCTTAGAAGATTCTTTGAGAGCTCCCTCTCGAAGTCTGTCTCTCTAGCTCCACTCTTATTTGCGATACGATCAGAATTGGAGAGGAGAGAGTATTTAATGGCTTGTGCTGGTCAGGGGGAGAGTGCAGACGAGCCTCTTGGGGGGATACTCCACAGAGTGAGGGCTTTATTTAGAAGAGGGAGCGAGTCACGAACGTGTCAACTCTGTCCAGCTTTTTGGCGTTGCTACATGAAATTTGAGGTGAGATAGATTAGTTTATATATATATTATATTCATTTTTTATTTTTATTATGTATCACTGGTGATTAATTCCTTGTTTTAGATTGAGTATGGCAGCAAGGCTGATGCGAAAGCAATATTTTATCAAGCTATCCACTCTTGCCCAGGAGTCAAGGTATCATATATATTTCATTTAATTATTTATAGTTATATATATTTTAGGTTCTGTACACTGACGGTATACACTACTTCCCAGAGGATATTGAGAAGATATTGGAGATTGCTGAAGAGAAGTTACTCCGAATTCGGACTCCATTAGACGTTATCTATCTGCTGCAAGATGACATTGAGCAACAGGAAAGGATTGCCAAAGAGGCAATGGAGACTAATTGATATTAGAACTTATTATTATTATTATTATTATTATTATTATTATTATTATACATGTATTATTATTTTAAAAAATAATTTTTAAATTTACATTTATATGATGAGAATTCTCTCCTAGCCATTTTTAATGAAAATGCCTGCTTTGGTCCAATTTTATAACAACTTTAAAAATTTGTTAAAAATCTAATTTTGATCAAACTTTCTACACAACATAAAAACTTGTATATGTATTAGTAAAAATTATTGAAGTGAAGAAATCTAGTCATTTTTGATGTAATACATGTACTACTATGAGGTGAGTCAAGGGAAGTTTTTTGCACTTAGTAACACAATTTTTGCATAACTGTGATTCATTGTAACGTCCATGTATGTATGCATCGATTTTAAATGTATTCTGGTTCATCTTCATCAGTATCAGGAGTGCTCCTGTCACTAGTAACAGGTACACTGATGTATGATGGATTTATGACCATCTCATAATCGGCAATTTCCTCATAAACTGGATTCTCTGTAGTGTAAGTACAATACTTTCAGCATTGTACTTGACAAATGATAAGTCCATGAATCTCTCTGTGCATTGTTGTGCTAAACCTACACAAGAGTAAAATAAAAAATATCAAAGCTCCATTATCTAGAATTGTTAGAAGGAAACCAAGAGAGCTCAATATGGATCCACTTCTGAAACTAGACCTACTCATTGCCAGCTAGAGTCTACTGCTGTGCTGGGTTGCATAAAAATAAATTTATTGTTGAAAGCAGCCACTGAAGTTTTTGTGGCACTTTTTATCACATTTTGCTTATTATTCAAGAAGTAAAAATATTGGTATAAAAACAAAGCAAGCTGTGAAAACAATGGTGAAGTGCACAGTGTTTGCAGGTAGCCACTCCCCTAATTTTGAAATAATTAAGGCGGGGCTGACCACGTGGCTGCAGCTGCTGCCGGGAGAGAGAAGAATCTCTAGTCTTTATCTCTCTCTCCCTTTAAACCACAAGGACACTTTACAGGAGCTAGAGCAGTTGAGAGCCATGCCTCGGGTACAGGAGCTGATAGTCAGCAGTCAAGCGAGTCGGGCCGCGCTGAGGCGAGACAGGCCCTACCACAACAAGAAGAACAAGAGGAAAGCCTCCGTCAAAAAGAAAGCCCAAAAGCAGCAAAGGATGGCCCTAATGTGCGTCGTTCCCCGGCATCCCATTCCTCCATTAGAGACGCTCCTCACTACCGCTTCCTCTACAGGCTCAAGGGGTAGACTCCGTCAGGCTGGAACCAAAAGATCTCACACCGAAGAAGGAGACGAAACTGTTGCTGCTTGGTAAAGATAAAAGAGAGAGAAGGAGAGGTTTTTAAATTACTTGTTCTTTTATGTAGCCAAGATCTGTTCCCGTTGCATTGTGGAGGGTTGACCTCTTCACTCTATGACTCCAGCATTGTTGCTTTCCTTAGATTGTGTGGTATGCTCCTCCTCCTCCCCCCCCACTCTCCCTCTATCTCTTTTCATTTTTAGAAGATGAGGTCATTTGTAACTTCCTTTGGGTTGACTCCTGTGCCAAAATATCAGACAAAGTTAAAATTATTCGATATGAATATTATTTTATTTATTTATTTTACAGTATTTGTTGGCAATGGTGTACATTTACTTCAAGAGAGCATCGTTACCTCTTGATCAATATAACCAATTCAACTTCTTTGTTGCTCTGTAAGTCGCCTTCTCTCTCTCTCTCTTTCTCCAGCTTTCTCATACTTATTAAAAATATAACACGTACATATACCTTTATAATATACTCTTGATGTACCCTATTTCTATTGCATGAGATTTTTTAATATTCACATGTGTAACAACACAATTCTGTGTGAGCAAATGGGCTGGCTAGCACATCATGTAGCTATACATGTATAAATGTACATGTGTTTGTACATATACTAAGGCCCTCCTAAGTCCCTGATGCTGCAAGTTTTGAATTTGTGAAATGTATTTTTAAGCTCGTGTTTTTAATTTCAAGAGTGCAAATTAGTTGTACTTGACATGCTAAGTGGATAGGTTTAGTTAGAATGCACAAGACTATGAGGGAGAAGGGCCAGGGGCTTATTATCCAGGTCTGCTGTTAATTGTGGATAATATGCATGGAAAATTATTATTATTATAATGGATAGTTTAAAACTAACGATTACTATTATCATTATTACAGTGGTTTCTGTATGTTTATTTGCCTCGTGTTTGTTTAAAACAGTAAGCTCCTCCAAACTTTATTTGTTCCAAACACAGGCACAATGGAATTATCAATGTACTTTGGTCAGTGGTTTTGATAGTGTCTATTGTTGGTGGGTTATGATTGTCAATCAACTGTACAGTTCTCCTGTTTACTTAACAGCTGAATATTTCCATCTGTTTCTCTTTTCCCTTTCATTCCTCTTCCTCACTCTCTCTCTCCCTCCCCCATCTCTCTCTCTTCTCTCCCCCCTCTCTCTCTCTCTTTCTCTGCTATCCTCCAGTTATTTGGCTAATGATATGGAAGAAGATGAAGAGGATGACAAGTATGAAATATTTCCATGGGCACTTGGAAAGAAGTCATGGACAAGCACTTATCCACTCTTCCTGTCGTACAGGGATGAGCTCTGGAGTAAAATGGACTTTCGTGCTGTTGTCAGCAAAAGGATGTGTGATGAAGTAAGTTCTAGAGAGAGAGAGAGAGAGAGAGAGAGAGAGAGAGAGAAATATTAACATAATAGATTCCATCATGTATTTGTTACTAGGCCCTATCTCCTTTATCATGTACATGTATATCTACATAATAAAACTTTCAGTGAGGAAAAAAACAATCTTTTTAAAAGAATTAAGATGGAGTGAAGAGGGAGAGAGAGAGAGAGAGAAGAGAGAGAGAGAAGAGAGAGAGAGAGAGAGAGAGAGAGAGAGAGAGGAGGGGGAGGATAAGAATACAATAACAAAGATGGTATGATAGAGCAAATCATAAAATTAGTCTCTATGGTTATCATCAGTCCGATGGCTTCACTACAGAATCCTGTTTGTGTTTTCAGTGTAACGTGATACCATTGCCCTTACTTTTGAAGTATTTACAAAATTGGCACCAGAACCATCATGATCCTAACCCACAGGCACTTGTATTGGATGCAATAGGAATAGGATACGACAAAGTGTACACACACACAATTAGCGTTTTCCTGAGGGGCATTTGTGTACATGTACATGTATTTCCATGAGAAAGAAATTTTAATTTTTGTGTCTCCCTCCTAATGGCTTTCGTTAGAAAGTGTCACTAAATATTTTCCCCGTCTAGCATGAGATTATTCCCAGGGTTGTAAATTAGTAAATATGAACATTAAAAATAAGAAAAAATGTTGAGCACATGCAGTATATTATAGTCAGGGTTCCCACAAAGCATGCTACATGTAAGTGAGTGTACAAGTATTACCAAGAGTACATAATAGGTACATGACATTTGGAACAATTAACTTCAAAAATTTATAGAAAATCCAATTTTGATTGGAATCCCCTCAAAGTTTCTACACAGCATAAGTACATGTATATGCATCAGAAAACATTATAAAAATGGAGAATTCTCTCCTAGTCATTTTTGATGAAGTTTGGCCAATGACCCTGTACTATAGTACAGGGACTTTGGGCCTTATTTTCAAGCAACTTAAAAAGTTTAAAGAAGTGTGCTAAATGGGAAACCCTGCTTATAGCCCTAAATCCTTATTGGAGAATAAAATTGTAGAAATATCATGGATCAGGTAGTCAGTGTGTATGCATACCTGCAGTGTATGGCTTGGGCAGTGTGTCTTACCTATACTTAGTCTAGTCTTGTCTGTTGCTCCAGTTACCGGTGAATACTGTCTGATTAGCTTTCAAACTAACAATCTATTAGTGTATTACATTAGACTCTTGTTGTGGGCTAACAATGAATGAATCCTTATTGTTGTTGAGTTGTTGTGTATACCTGCTGATTAATGGATAGCATAAAAACGACACTAGTTGCTGTTTAGTTTATAGTGTTCACATTTCTTCTAGTGGCTCCCACACTTACACTACTACTATCATGAGAAATGAGTATATCTTTTTTTTGCTTTGTATTATTATAGTCCATTAGCATAATGTAACATGAATAAACGAGCTATGCTATAGTAGTACATTCTTTATTTTTCCTCCCTCACTCCTCCATTTATGTGTAATCATTAGTCTATAGTCTATTGGCTGTGAGTCTGTGACATATCAAATATATGTACATGTATGTGCATGGCTGAAAGGTTTAGTGGGTCTTAAACTACATGTAGCTGTTATTCTCTTCTCTTTTCCCCAAGGTTATATCACTGGTTCCTGATCACAGAATCTGGAAGAGACAGAGAGGTGTCTATCACAGTGGAGCCATAAGGTCCTACATGAAGGCCACCTCCCAGCAGTACGGCCGCTCCTCTCCTTTGTACTGCCGCTATTGCATGCAGGACGAATTCCAGCAATACCTCAAAGGAGGGAAAGGGATTGGAGGTGATGAGCTCTTGTACGAGTCTGTGGCTACCATATGGCCTTCACAAATCCCTTTTGATTTCTTGGATGACATAGACCACGAGCACAAACTCTACCACCATCACCATTCACTGGGTAAGTGAGTGAGTGTATGTGTAATGTTGTGCTATTTTTTATACATACATGCATGTACTTGTACTTTTATATTGTTACCTGACTTGTCTATCTCTGTTTGTGTTTGTTAGATTATAAATTGGTATTTTTAAAGTCACTTGATATCATTGATCAATATGTCTCTTTCATGCTCTCTCTCCCACTCCTCTCCCCTATCACGTCTTCTTATTCTCTTTCTTATTGTATTCCATATAGTGCTCGTGTACATATTAATGCGATGTAGATATGCATAACATATACATGTCAGTTTGTGTGTGTTTGATGTCTCAGGAAGTTCCAAGCATTCCTGATAAGCGATAGCTTGTTCAAGTCAGGTAGACCACTAGACCTGTTGTATTGATTAATTGTCTGTTGTGTCTGAGACTATACTTTACTCCTCTGACATGGTATGTGCTAATAACATACAAGGAGAGAGAGAGGAGAAAGGGAGAGAGAGGGGGGAGAGAGAGGAGAAAGGGAGAGAGAGAGAGGGGAAGAGAGAGAGGAGAAAGGGAGAGAGAGAGAGAGAGAGAGAGAGAGAGAGAGAGAGGGTGAGGGGAGAGAGAGAGAGGGGTCATAGTACATGCATATTCAATAATAGATTTTTTGATAATAGAGAAATATATTGTCTAATATATAAATAATATATAATATGTCTAATAATATATTGTCTATATATAAATACATAGGGAGGGAGGGAGGGAGGGAGGGAGGGATCATAGTGCATGCATATATAATAATAGATTTTTTGATAATAGATTAATATATTGTCCTTAGTCAGTACTGTTTATTTTCTTATCATTTGTTTTGTTTTGTTCCTCTTACGGTCAAAATAATAACTTTATTTTACATGTGTGTGTTGTGTTTAAAAATAATTATTGGCTCTCTCTCACTATTTTCATACACCTGTGGGCAAGTTGGCTCTGAGACATACTCTCTTGCTTTGAATGTACACTGTGGCTCTTCTGATGTTTAAACTTTCATGAAAACAATACATCCATAACTGACCACAAAATCAGATTATGGCCCTCTACTTTTGGAGGCCTCCCTGACATCTTTTCTCACACTCTATATAGCGCTACATAGTAACTCTTAGATCATACTTGTAGTGTTTGTACACATTTCTCTATCGTGATGTCAGTTGGTAGTCTAGTGATAACTCTGTATTAGATTATACCAGACAGACATTACATTTAATCATTTTTAATGCCAATGGGATGTGTGTGTGTGTGTGTGCATACCTCTACCAGTCATACTATAAAATATTATTTATATTTTTTTATATTTTCATTATGCTACAGGTCTGTTTCCATGTCCCTCCACCTCTTCTTCTGAACACATTCCAAGAAAATAGCAGATATATCATAACCGTGCTCCAGCTACTGGCCTTGCTCTCTCTCTCTCTTACAGTGGCCGAATGATACTTCTCCTAGTGATAATAAATAAATAAATAAATACTGATGTTATATGTGTGACTAACTCACTATGCATGTACATGTATATAATGTATGTATTAATTTTCTCTCCTCATATTATATGTCTGTATGTGTGTCTCTATGCTTAATATGGTTTATTCATTGACTTTTTATTCCTTCTGGTGTATTCTCTCTCTTCTTTATCTCTCTCGTTATATCTCATCCAACATGTATATCTCATCATCCATTCATCATTAACATTTCACATGATTACAGGTCTTATTATCATTATTATTATTATTATTATGTATATATGTGTGTTCCATTGTCTATTATACTACCATAGTTCATCATATGATCACCATCATCATCTTTTCCTTTCTGTATGTATTCACATGATTTTGTTCTTTTTATTATAATTATTATAAATTGTAAAGTGTTAAAATAGTCATCATAAAAAACATTTATATTCATAGTACATGTATAATAATACATGAATGTGTAACATATGAAGACAAAAGACCTTCTATTTACGTGTGTATATAAATGGAAAAAAATTACTCTAAAGTTTCAAAATTTATCTTGTTATCACCTCGTTAGCACATCGAGGTGTAAACAAGGTGTGAAAATCAATTTCAAATTTTAAAAATGAATTACTTGTTGCACACTTTTATTGCTGCATAATTGCATTACTTTTATTGTTGCCCTAAAGTGTAGGCAATACAACATTTTAGATTCATTCTCATTATTCTTCTACAAAGAAAGAGAGAGACGCAACATATTGTCCTGTTTAAGTTATATAGAAGAATGGTCTTTACAGCCAGAGTTTCCCACAAAGCATGCTAAGTGAGCTAAATACAGTATGAGCTTCATGAGCTGACAAGGACAATAATACAGTACATGGCATTTGGAGCAACTTTTAAATTTGTAAAAAATCCAAATTTGATCAGAATCAGCTTAAAGTTGATACACAGCATAAGGACATGTTTATGTATCAGAAAAAATTATAAAAATGAAGAATTCTCTCCTAGTCATTTTTGGCGAAATTCAGCCAATGGCTCTGTACTATAGTACAGGGACTTTGGCCTGATTTCTGAGTGACTTTAAAAATTTGTAAAAAAAATCCAAATTTGATTGAAATCAGCTCAAAGTTGATACACAGCATAAGAACATGTATATGTATCAGAAAAAATTATAATGATTGAGAATACTCTCCTTGTGATTTTTGTCAAAATACCCTGTACTATAGTACAGGGTCTTTCATCCAACTTTTGAGCAACTTGACAATCCACTGACAAGAAGCTGCATCAGCACTACCAAAAAAATCCTGTGGGAAAGAAACCCTGTCTACAACAACAGTGTAGTATGTATTTTTCATACAGTATTATATCTGATTTAAACGATAAGGTATTTCTTATCTCTTTCTCCCTCGCTTATTATAGCCAAGAGTTTACAAATGAAATGAAACTGATCATCAATGACTCATAATTTATCTATAATTGGTCTTCCAATCAATAGTAGCGTAATGATAATATTAATTACTACACTCATGATGTAGTAGTAGTAGTTGTTGTTTTTCATTACAGACAAAGCCTTTTAAAGTAAAGAGATAATTGAATGTTACAATACATTGAGAATAGTCCCTTTCAAAATGAATAATAACTGCTTCAATGTAGTGACTTAGTCTTTTCAACGTCTTCTTAATTTGATGAGAAAAGCTTTTGTTTATGCAATTGTGTGTGTGTGTGGGTTTGTTTATAATAAGGAAATAAAAAATAAGAATAAAATTGTACATTGAACTAACTAGTATGAGGGTCTTGTATATGCTCTGGTCTTGCAATGTAGCAGGGAATATCACCAAATGGTTCTGAAAATATTAAAACATAATATTAGTACAGTGATTTATTATTGCTCATTAAATTTACCTGAAAGAGGGTCTGAAGATGACTCAATATCTCCTCCTACTGGGTCTGGCAAACTCGAATTATTCCCCTCTGCTATATCTTGAGAACGCTCGTGACCTAATTGACGAGACCACACAGATTAATAACAGCTAATGCCAGAGAGTCAATGTCCCAATTACAAGTGGACAGATGAGTAACCAGCGAACATGGTAATTGCATGCAGGAGACAGTAAACTCTCCAATACAGAATCCCTTTACATTCAGCATTTTCAAACTATACATGTTAAATTGCATTAGATCTTATCAGGAGGATTACACTCAATTACTTAATAGTATTATACTAAGCATGCACTCAGATAATAACCTCAGCATTATTGTATATACATGTACATGCATATACAACCACAGAGGGTCCCTCCACATCCTGTATTGTACAGAAAGGAGAGAGGAAGTAGCCATTGTCCTCTAACACATGTAAATGACTAGTACTGCATCCTTTAATGGTCATCATATGATTGCAATGCGAATCCTGGACATGCTTCCTTGCTGCTACACACTATTGAAGACTCTCTTTCCCCTAGCCAGACCATCTGCCCCCCTTACCATATTCATCATTGTTTTTGTTCAGTTTTGGGTATAGTTGCGAGACATGTTTTCTCTTTTGTGACGCCGGCTGTACTAGCCAATGCCTGTGCAGTACTTCGAGCATTGATTCAATGTGGTGTGGAGGGAGTTTGTTTTTGTGTAGCTCCAAATGGTAATTGAGTTGGATGGCTTGGCTGATACTAGAAAAGAATAAACAGTGACAATAACACATTGCTCTTTCACCGTGTGTACCTCTCTCTCTCTCTCTCTAATTAACTGTAAACAACCACTCCTATAAACAAATCATTAATGGATCACATCTCTTACAAATTAATCTGTTCTTTCTCACTTTCATCTCTCTCTCTCTCTCTCTTTTTATAATACTGACTTTGATTCCCATACATAAATTAAGAGGCTCTCTCTCTCTCTCTTTCTCTCTCTTTCTCTCTCTTAACCATTAATTATTTGATTTGTTTCGGATAAATATAAAAATTTAAAAAGATGCCATAATGTCTAGCCACAGTCATTTAATACACAACTGATAGGTATCAACAAAATCAGTACAAGTGTCTCATATTCAATTATCAATTACTGATAAAGTAAAGCTCTCATGATATCCCTCCATTGGCTTCGTATTCAATTTTCTTTCACTAGCTCCTGTTCTTCCATCCTCCCAAAATCTTTCCCTCTCTCTCTGTTTCTCTCAGACTCCTCTTATAATTTTCTCTCAGTCTTGCCATCATTCTGTCTCCTCTCTTTCTCTCTCTCTGGCTACAAGAGTGCGTGTGTAGGAACCAGATGTGAGAATATGCTGCCAACAACATCAATAAAAGAAAGAGAACAGACTCATTGCTAAAGGATCTGTTCCATAACACCACATCTAACAACAAGACAGACTTTGCTAGTACATCCATATCTTGCACACTATTATGTACACCCCAACTATTATAAAGTAAACTAAAGGTACTAGCTCCATTCCTTTCTCTATAATGTTATAATCCCTATTGCTTTCATTACTTCAGTACTGACATATTTTCCTTTTTATATTGATCATAAAGTTATCACATTTTCTTATGTTGCCAAACACATAAACTCACTTGGTACAATAGATGACAGCTATAGCATTCTCCTTCATGACACTTAAAGCACTCTTCATCACTCGCCTACAGTCAACCATATCTAGTACCACCTGCAATGAGAGAGAGAGAGAGGGAGGGAGGGAGGGAGGGAGGGGAGAGAGAGAGAAACCACAATTGCACAATATACTGAAGCAATTCCTTGTATTGAATAATCCAATTATGCATTCCAGTGCCATTTTTAGTCAATACTATAAGTATTAAATGCTCACTCATACACAACAAATGCAATCACAAACTACCAAGTATTACATTATGATATATTAGAAGCCATGATGACCTTTTTTGTTTCAAAGGAATGGTAAACATATGCTCTATCCTTTATTAGCGATAAACACAATAGCTCTGTCTCTATCTCTCTTCCTTTATACTCTCCCATCTCTCTCCCTCTCTCCTCTCTTCATTAACATATGTAGTTACATACCCCATCAACCGTCTCACTCCCTAATATCTTGTCACACTCCTCCACACTGCAGTTATAAAAGTCGATGTTTCTCGTAAAGTCCTCACCGCCACCTAGATCCCTAGACCTCCCCCACCTCGAGACATTCCCACGCGCAGTCTCCAAGTGTTTGTCTTTCAACTCAAAGCTGTGGACTTTCCCACTATCAGCGACTAATGAGGAAAGACTAACATTTACACGAGGACAGAGATGGTCAAGGGAGAGAGAGGATGGGCAGAGAGAGGGGGTGTTTGTGGTAACTTGGTTTATAATGAAAAGTTTACCTCATGCCATTTATTGTAAAATCAAAACAGACTCAGACGGATTTGGTCCTTGTATCAAAGACAAATGAAAACATTACAGGTGTAGAAATTAAAAAATAATAAAAATAGCGTCTAGGATCACAGCATAACTAGGAATTGAGTTCTTATGAGGTGAATCAAGCTATTATTGGATTGCAGTGGAGGAATGGTAGACAGGTGCCAGTGTCATGTCTATAGTGCATGGTTATAACCAAGAGCACATAATTAAAAGGGTCACCCCTGTCTGCACCCATATACCTGTGTATAATAATAGCACTAATTGCTGAAACATCCAACAAACAAAATTAACAAAGGAATCACTCATTTTTATAAATTAGATAAAAACCCACAGGATTGCAGTAACATAATATCAATTTTAGACTTGATTCGATTGGTTTGGGTTGTCTGTCTCCACTGGTTGTTTGTTTGCATGCACTACAGAGGGAAAGTGTAGTGATAAAGTAACAGAGTTTCAATGTAGCACTAATTGCAGTACCAAACCACAAACACATGAAGCAAAATACCTACAAGAACATGAACATTTGTACGGGTTTACTTCATAGCTACAATAACTCATAGAGGGAATTTTTAACTTGAGCAGACTTCCTGTTTATATTCACACACGTAATTTACATACACACAATGCTCACTCACACACGCATAGTATTAACATTACTATTAGTCGAATGTGTACCTTTTACTTATAATTCAAACACGCCACCTGTTTGTGATGTCTGTGACACAGGTCATCCGTGACATTATTTACGTTCACTTCACATTTTTAATTATTGCTACAATGGATTTTTAATTGCAAAGAAGAAACTATGCATAACAGGCCTAATGACAATCACGCATTAGACATCAGTGTATTATCATCACGTACATTGTCCGTGACCAAAATTCTATTGTCATGTTTTTCATTTATTTGAACAAAAACAAACATGTACACTTTATAGCCATTTCTGCTACCACAGACCTACACGCTGTGTCAACAAAACTCAATACAATGACACACAATCTGTAAACTAGTGGCCATTGCTCACACAGGATATCATTGCCATGTTCACAAATGCATTTTACCAAGAATTATTTATAAAAAAAAAACAATCTGTATACATACTGTGATATTGTTTGTATTGTTAATTAGTTATAATATAATATGAGTAGGTCAGCTATTGCAATAATTAAGTAAAAGTGATTATCATATCCCGTTCCCAAAAACAAGGCAACACAGACGATGGCATGAGGCTTCAGGTCAGACAGGGAACTTCAGCTCTCATTGGTACACATGTAATCAGGCAGACACTATAGATTTAGTTCAAATTTTAATTGATCATAATTTGTGGTCAAGGCTCTGTGCCAAATAGTCTAACCACCGAGGTATGGGTTAATGTTACTAGGCCACAAAAACACATTCTGCTAAAAGAATTAGTTACTATCATTAATGACTGATAAATATCTCTTAGCGATAAGGATCAATAGTAAGATACTATATCATTGCTAATGTCTTAGAACCACACAGGCACACAGCATAACATGGTGGAGTTTAATAATTGCATCAATTGGCTTTATACTTGTGGGTATAACATGGACATCCAGTAAACTGTAAACAAGAAGAGGAAACAGGTTGTTAGAAAGTTCATAGGCTGTGATTACATAAAACATGCATAATTATATACATGCTGTATCGCAAAGTATCATACTGTAGACTGGGTGGCTTAATTATAATAATCAACAATTATTACAAAAATTATTGCCAATTTATTGATTTAATTATAATTCAATGGAAGGAATGGCAAGAATGTTTAGTATACATCTGACACTCAGCTTCTGTAAAAATATGTTTTATTTTGCTTAGCTCTATCTCACTCATTTAATGATAATAATAAGGATATGAACATGAATCAGTTAAGGGCATTAGTTATTATTGTAAAGGTTTGTCTTGGCTTTTGTTCCCACACTGTCCTGCATAATAATAACAATGATTGATACTAAGACAATGAAACTTGCTGCTTCTTCATTTCCAACTGAAGCTGCAAGCTTTTGATTTTCAGTTCCATAACATTCACTGACTATTGCACAATGTGTGTGCCATCTATGGGCTAGCATTGATCATCTTTAAGACGGAAACATTCTCCAAGTTAAGTTGCAAATCTAAATTGATCAATATGCCCCTTGACTTATATGTACATTAATCTTGTTACTCCAGAACACTGAAATTTGTCAATATGATGCAAGCAGAAGTATCTGGATAATAGTAAACTAATGGTCAATGTAATTCTAGGAATGTCAAGTATATCAGAGTTGAAAGAATGACGAGAAAATGGTCATAGGTACATGTACTCTGTGTAGTATATCAGGCTGTATGAGTCAGTGGTGATCACATGGATTTGCATCACTTCCTCACTAAATCTTTTTTAGTTCCAAATTTCCATTTAAAGGAATTGGGTTACATGAAAGGAGCCACTAATCCTCCCAAACAAACAAATCACTTATCAATTCACAATATGACACTATAAGTGTGTTTACAATGCAAGTCATCATGATGATGCCTCAGTATCAATAAGCAAACAAAGAGAGAGAGAGAGGGGGAGGGGGGGAGAGAGAGAGTGAGAGAGAGTGAGTGAGAGAGAGAGAGAGTGAGAGAGAGAGAGAGAGAGGAGGAGGGGGGAGAGAAAGATTATGTTAAAAATGAAGAGGAGAAGGAGGAGGAGGGATAAAATGAATGAGTATTGCATTCTATCACTCTAGTCTTCTATCAACTGAGAATTGTATTCCTACATACACTGACTCACCAGCTCTAGACAAATGGAGTGTGAGTGACCCTGATCCACTACCAGCCTCCAGCACTCTTGACCCCGGTCCCACGTCCAATAAACCCAATACTGCCCATATGTCTTTAGGATACGATACAACGGGTCCCCGTGGCATTAATAAGACATACTCTTCTAGCGATGGGCGGCGTATAAAAACATGGCTACCACTATTGGTCTTAAAATGTGCTCCACGACCACCGACTATGCTATTATGAGGGATAATTCCATCACTTGTGGGTAAAATGGCATCTTTATTTAACTGAAATAATGTAGAGCGTCCTCTCTTGTTGATCGAGATGAGTGGTTCGTCGTACTGGAACGGTTTTTGATGATGAGGAGTTTCGGTAACAAGATTGAGTGTTGTTTTAGAGAGTGATTTCTTGAAGTGATTCACAATGTGTACACTCCTGCTTATCAGTTTATTCATCTTGATTACTTGTAATAACTGGTCTGAGCACTTTATAACTGATCTGGGCATACCCTACAAGGGCAGCCAAGGGACTGAGGCTACTTTTTATGGTTTGTTGTCCACCTCCATATATGGGCTGACAAATCCAGTTTTGTCTCATTCGTTGCTTAGCTCCGGGACCAGCAACCTCCGCGGGAAAAGGATAAAAATAGCGGCGTATATTTTATCGCTTGCCATAGAAGGAAAGAAGGTTGGAGTGGTTGCGGCTTCCGTCGCTGTATTTGGCCTGGCTAGCTCTGCTACATAAAGGGATGCAGCAAAGCAAGAGAACTCATTCCCCGCTTGCCTCCCGCACCTCCTCCTCCAAACACACTCCCTCCTCTCCCTCTTCTAAGAAGTTACGATCTGCTGGACAGATTGCTGGCTACGCTTCCAACCCCTCTTCTTCTAATACATCAGTTTCTACAATAGCCCCCACAACCCATTCCTCCTCTACGACGACAATGCTTGGTGAAACCCGCTTCCCCACAACCCGTCCCCAACCAACCCAAACGACCCCTTTCCCCCTTCCCCATCACCACCATCCCCACTACGTTAAGACGACAAACATGGACGACAATGACCGCTCTAGTGTTAGCGACAACGACTCCCTTCACTCTCCGCCACCATCACAGCAGCTCGGTGTTGTTCCCGGCGTAGTCCCGGGCTCAGTAACGAGCGGTATGGATGGACTCCATCGCAAAGTGAGTGTAGGAGCCGACGAGAAACCCAAACCTGCTCCAGGGAAAAAGACTCGCGGAAGAGTCAAGATTGAGATGCAGTACATACAGAACAAGCTCCGCCGATACACCACCTTCTCAAAGAGAAAATCAGGCATCATGAAAAAGGTGAGTTTCACAAGAACAACTGTTGTTTTAGGATTAGAATATCAATCATTAATTGACTGTTTTTTAATCTGGCCTAAAGATAATTATGCACAATTTAAAAGCATTTTCATAATCGTAAACACTTCTTAGTGTAATTTTCACCACTGAATGTGTTAATGATCTTTCTTCCTCTTTCTCTCCTAGGCTTATGAATTAAGTACATTGACAGGAACTCAAGTCATGCTACTGGTTGCATCAGAAACTGGCCACGTATATACCTTTGCTACACCAAAGCTCCAGCCCATGATAACGTCAGAAGCTGGCAAGGCTCTCATCCAGACCTGTCTTCACACACCAGACCCACCACAGCAACCAATGGACTACGAGATAAGGATGTCAGCCACCGGATACGAAGAGACAGAACTAGGCTATGGTCTTAGCGACGAAGAGGCATTCAAGGTATGCATTGCTTGTTGGACCAACAGAACCTAATGTTTATTGCATGCAAGAGAGCTGATTGCATTCCTAGAAACCTCTCCCATTTATCCTTTTTTTTTTCTTTTTGTTTAGACTGGTTTAGAAGCTGCTGGACCCCATCCAGGAGCCCAGGTACTCACCTCAGGATCAGTGGTTATCCCACCATCAATGATGCAGATGCCTTTCGCTCAGATAGCCCACCCAGATCACCACCAGTCCATGAGTACAGTCATGCCACCAGCTGCCTACCCCATGGCTGTCTCCACGGGACCACCAACAATGTCCCCACATTCTCACTCTCCTCCTCCTAGCTACTCCCCATCGGCCCACACAGCCTCTCCTAGGAACTACCCTGGTAGTCCATCGGCCATATCGTACTCCCAGTCCTCTCACATGCCACCGCAACACATGATAATGGAGGACCTTGTCACAGGAGGTAGCCCAATGAGGAAGAGTCCCGACTCTCACTATCTCTCCCACCATCAGTTTGATCAGAGTCCGACCCAGAGTCCAATGACCAGCGCCCAGTTCCCCATGAGAACCCACTCGCCACCTCACCAGATGTACGGTCACCCTGGCTCTAGTCCACCACAGATGAACAACCATTCTCCAATTAGGCCTATGTAAAGAGACAAAGACTATGTGTGTGTGTGTATGTGTGACTCCTTAAATCACTATCTGAACTTTCTGTAATGTATTTGTGTTTGTATATTCGAGCTGGTCTCAATCCCTCTCTCTCTCTGTGTTTTCTTTTTCTCTCTCCTTGTGTGTGTGTGTTTCTCCCCGTCAAGTTTTTGTGACGAAGCAGGACTTCAGGTATTCTCCCTCTCTATCACACAATATCGCTAACGACTTCCAACACTACGAGACTTTAAAACACTTTCCCTTCCTCCTCCTCCTCTCCCTTGCTGACTGGTCAGCAGTTCTCTCTATCCTTTAGGCAGCTGGTCTGTCGCCTCTTTCCCTCCCTCCCTCCCTCACCCTATAATGTAATCATTCCCCACCTTTACCCAATAAAAAATTGACACAAATATTGTTACTAATGCAAGCGAAAAAGCAGTGAGCCAAAAACCCACCATGAAAAGGGGTCCAATCTTTAAAAAGGTCAGGCACACTTTGCACTTAGTATGGCCAGCGAATGCTGATAAATGTGCCTACCATGCTCTTGAATGATGTGTGTGGTATGTGTAAACACTAGCCATTATTCATTATAGGAACTGTAATACAATGTGGTATTTGAATTTCTTGTGTCAAAGTTTTGAATACACTCCCAGCAGTCGTGAATAACATTTGCCTGCATGCAAGAGGTCATCTCGAGTTATTAGACAATAATTAATGACAACAAAGGTTGGTTGATTGTTTATTTTTAAATATTGTCTTCTTAAACTGTGTGTCACATTAAATAATAATAATAGAACTGTATTTATTTCTTTTAAAAATAAGGTAAATATATTAAAGGTTAAAGATGATTTAAATTATAATAATTATGATAAGTCAAAATAATTTATCTGCTTTAGCCTTTCAATGGTTGCAACAGTGATTCTATCACTAGTAGTTATGTACTTTCTAGCGGAGATGGAAGTACTCGTAGAGAAATAGTGTGAATATCTTCTTGAGATTGAGGACATTGTTCCAATTGATGGCATTAGCATTATCTGATAACTTGTGCCATTGGGAAGGAAAAGGGACAGGAATGACATGTACTATTGGAACACCTACAGTTAGAGGAGGAGGAGAAAGAAGAAGAGAGAGAGGGGGGGGAGAGAGGGAGAGGATAAAATAAATGCGAGTAGTGAAAGAAATACAGGGCAAAATTATAGTATCAATAGATATGTGTCAGATCAAATTTCAAAAACAAACAGTTGGTGAAATGAAGTGTAGGAGTACAAGATGGTTTGATGTGACAGGTTTGTATGACAAATGAGAGGAATGCAACCAATCACAACAGATGAATGGTGACGCTGACATGCGATAGGGTCAGATTATCGTAAAGAAAAAGTATAAATTTCAACCAGCGACAGCCACACACAACACACAAACACACACAAGACATGTATGTGCACAAACTTATAGCATAGAAGCATTATAATAAACAGATTCATATATAAGGAAGTACAGAGAAAGACACACACACACACAAACATATGCACAGACACTCACTCCCACTTAAGAAACTATGTCTCTCTCAGTGCATCTGACCACAAAGAATGATATGCCTTTATTTGTCAAAGAAGTGAGATTTGTTTTTTACCTTTATTTAGGAAAGGAATGTGATCGTCTTGAATTTTATAGTAGCCATGAGCTGCCTGCTCTACAAAGTGCTGACGTGTATGTTCTACCAGCTGCTTCTCTTGATGAAGCTTCTTTTCTGGAGTGAGAGAAAAAGAAAATAAATTACAATATGCATAAATGCTTTATTAGAATGCTCTGTATATATTGTAGCCACTTTGTCACTGAAGCTATAAGTGGCATAGCAGCAGTGTATCTGGTACACATCAAAGAAACCACAAAAATCTGAACACAACTTGAAAGACATATTTTAGAATCATGTGCTTTGGCTTTGGCTTTCTCCCCACTCTCTGTTTCTGTCTCACTCAGTCTGTTTCTCTATCTCTCTGTATCTCTCTCTGTCTCACTCTCTCTCTCTCTCTCATTATTAACAGTAATATTAGAGCATATACATCTCAAGTGTCTAATAGATTGTTATATTGATCCATTAACAAGTGGCAGGATTCCCTTCACCTTTCCTAGTTACTAAGTGGCGCTAATGAACTCGCAAAATAATTATAGCAGGAATTGCGAAGTTGTACCTGCTAATAGTTGCTACCAAAGCAGGTGGTCAAAAACAAGTTATGTCCCTAACGGGAGAGAGAGAGAGGAGGAGGGGATAAACAGGATCTTCTTGGAAACCATAACGATGAGCTCTATTAGCAGCTTTTAAGATAACAATTTAGTGCCAATTTTCAGGAACGGCAAAAACAAGAGTGCAGGTCAATCAAGTGACCCACTATGACGTGAGTATGCATATATACATGTAATTATCTGTAGATGTGACGTAACGCGACGCCACATCAAAAAACAATTTATTCATAGTAAACATGTAGATGCTCTTAAGCTGATACACAATATAGAATTTCTGTGAGTACATGCGAGGCAGAGAAGGAACCGTACAAGGACTCAAGACTAATGAGAAAGCTTCCGTAATAAATACTTGAAATGTAAACCAGAATAATAATAACAAGAGTAACAGGGAAATATCAACATCAGAACACAAAATCAATAAATTACTAATAATAATAACAGCAGTGTTGTTGATGACCTTATATGGTGGTGTGCAAGAGAGAGAGAGAGAGAGAGAGAGAGAGAAGCAAGACAACTTTTAATAATTTGTATATAACATTATGATCACAGTTATATGTTACAAGTGTTGTAAATACACGCATTGTGTCATTATAACGCAGACGAGCATATTTATGTGGTTTCTTAACCTGATTGCTGCATCCTGTGTCATAAATAAATAATTATAAATCAATTGTTGTTGTTGTTGGAATATCTTACATACATACACGAGCACATACATAGATTACATAGATTATGGGTAACCGTGCAGGCGCAATTAAACAAATACATGTCGTAATGATAACAGACTATCAACCCTATACATGAGAGTAACATGTATGACATACATATTTCTTTAATTATGATTCTCATCATAAAGCATCACATACGGAATGATAAATGCTGACGTGGATAACACCTGCCATACATACCGCCCTCTCACTATATTAGATTAAGTAATGAGAGCTAGACTATATAGCATTAAGTGTAGGTGATGGATATAAATGTACACGTACACATATATTTACTACAAGTGGACTGCCTTGTAATGGTGTAAGGGTAAACAAAGAACTATCTCCAATTAAACACTATTCAATTACCCTATAATCTATACATATATAATATTTTTATATATGTGAGTGTGTGTGTGTGTATTATGGTGAAATGAAAGAGCTCAAAGGACTGCAAGTAAGGATTGCACAACCACACAATTAGAACAAAAAAGACACACACGCACACGCACACACACACACACACACACACACATACACTAGCCATTAAACATCACCTTTAACCAATCCCACTCAGAACAGAATATCAATTTGTACTATTATACTAATAATATATTGTTTTTATATTTGCTGGTCTTGTTAAAGCTGATCAAGACACCTCAAGAAATAGCTACATTGTGTGAATGTTCTCATGAATATTGTGTTACCAAATTTGGTGAAAACAAGAGCATGCATGCAAGGCACTGACATTCTAATGAGTTTATTCATGACTGGTGAGTGTGTAAGCATATGACTATTATTATTATTATATTATTCATAATTAAGCAACACTGATTAGTATCCCATCAGAAATTAAAGTTTCTGTGACACTAAGAAAAGATATCAAGTGACAGACTAAAGGCGGATTTACAATATTACGCTAGTCCTGACGTTACGTTGACGCTGGAATAGAATCTGGTTCTATTCCAGCGGAAAGCATGCGTCAAAAGGTCAAATCGCCCACGTTTTTGATTAAAAATTAACGGTACGCTGGCCTAATGTCATATTGTAAATCCGCCTTAAGGGTGTAGGATTTAAGAAATAATTCGACAAAGAACAATACATGTAGATTAGATCTCTTTCTCTTCATTTCCTATTCATATACTACATGTACTATACTATACATTTTAATGTTTCATTGTCATGAATTGGTAACCTACCAATCTTTCGGAGTCTTTCAAATATTTTGCTACCAGCTGGATAGGTATCATAAAACAATGCATGAGGATCTACTGATCCTAACAGATCAAGAAGAATGAAAGCTTCCTACAGGAGGGAGGGAGGGAGGGAGGGAGGGAGGGAGGGAGGGAGGGAGGGAGGGAGGGAGGGAGAGAGGGAGGGAGAGAGGGAGGCAGGGAGAGAGAGAGATGACAAACAAACAAGGTGACAGGAAAATGAGGCCAGGAACTAAATAATCAGTGGATTATTTAACATAGATTAACTTTGTTTATGCTATGCAGCATCCTGGACTAAAGCCACAACTTTCATCATGATGTATGTCTGTCTGCCCTATACGTACCCACTCACATTGAGTAAATAAGTTACATTATCCCACTCCTAATCAACAACACTTGCAGCCAGTGCATACACTAGTAAATATATGCACGGACATGAGTGTGTACGGTAAATGATGATGGCTTTAAGGCTTGTAGTACATGAATACATGTACCTATTAATCTAATACCAAGAGTAGATAATATTTCAGAATATTATCTACTCTTGCTAATACCTGTATGAGAATTGAGGAATCAATTAGTTGAGGGGGTTTGCTAATGCTTACTGAGACGCAATGGTTTACATACATGTACATGTACATATATACACGTCACATATCGCATTACATTTTATCGTAGTTCTGCCTATGGTGGTCAGGGTAACCACCTCAACAAATGAACCAATCAGTTCATCACTTAGACCATAAAGCATGATATTGTAGTCTACTAGTAGGCAGAACCCTGTTTTATAGATGTACCCATTACAGAGCACATAATAGGAATATAATTTTAAATACTAATATACAAAAAGCTTTTAATGAGCAATATGTGTTGAATGTGGGTGTGAGGTGTGTAACGCGTTACAAATAAAAGAGTGAGAGCTTTGAAGGAGGACAGAGAGTAAACGTGGGATCTTGTTGTGAAACACACCCTGTGCTTCTCATAGGCTTCCTCCACCTCCACTCTCACTCAAAGGCCTAGTAGTATAACAGTATTGGCCCCTAATTGAATAAGACTGATGTATTGTTGCCTATTGTGTAGCCCAGCTAGTAGTACTGCTGGAGACGTAAACAACAGATTTGTGTCCACGAATCCAATTAGTCGCCGTTAGAAATGCAATAGTCGGTATCAACACATCAGATTGCTAACATTAACACTTCTGGGCTATTTCAATTGAGATAAGCTATATAGATATAAAGTGTCTCGAATGCCAATTTAAACTGTGTAGTTTTAGTATTGGTCATGTAAATAATAGTGCATTTGATGTAAAAATATTATGGATATTCTGTCTAAAATATATACGTATTATGCATAATTGTAACATTTTCATAATATAATGTACAATTATTGTCACTGGAGCTTATAGTGATGTCAATCAGTAGGTATTTGCAGGCAATTACACAATATATGTGTTCCTTTAAAAGTGTTTTTCAATATTTTCACACAAATGATATAGATCATTGATTAGCTTCTAAGAGTGCGTGGAAATAACAGGAAATATAATGATTGAAAGTATTTTTGTGAAGTATATGAGCTATATATAGGAGTTTTATTACACTTTCTGATGTTACGTAGAAGTTTGAGCTGGTTCTCATAAAAATTGGACAAGAGAAAATTCTGTATCAAATTTGAGCTGATTCTGGATTTTTTTTTTACAAATTTATAAAGTAACTCAAAAATTAGGCCAAAGTCCCTGTACTATAGTACAGGGTACTTGGCCAAATTTCACCAAAAATGACCAGGAAAGAATTCTCCATTTTAATAATTTTTTCTGATACGTATACATGTTTTCATGTTATATATCAACTTTGAGCTGATTCCAATCAAATTTGAATTTTTTTTACAAATTTTTAAAGTTAATCAAAAACTGGACCAAAGTCCCTGTACTATAGTACAGGGTACTTGGCCAAATTTCGCCAAAAATGACTAAGAGAGAATTCTCCATTTTAATAATTTTTCTAATACTTATACATGTTCTTATGTTGTGTAGCAAGTTTGAGTTGATTCCAATCAAATTTAGATTTTTAACAAATTTTTAAAGTCACTAAAAATCGGACCAAAATCCCTGTACTATAGTACAGGGATTTTGACCAAATTATATCAAAAATCATAAGGAGAGAAATTTCCATTTTTTATAATTCTTTCTGATACATAATGCATGTAGTACTTATGTTGTGTGAAAAGTTTGAACTAATTCAGATCAAAATTGGATTTTTTATGAATTCAAAAAATTGAACCAAAGACCAGTACAGTACATGGTCTTTGGCCAAATCACATTCACAACATGTACATGTACTTACCATAGCTTCAATGCCAGTCCTCCCTTCTACATCATAAGGAGATGGTGAGTTCATTAGTTCTGCAAGATGACGCGAGCCATACAATGAATCAGTGTCGGTCCAAGTCTTGAATGCTTCTTCTCCATCAAATAATATTACCTGAAGACTGTGGTCTTGTAGCTATATTTACATGAGCAATTATAATAAGTTTGTATGTGTGTGAGAGAGAAGAGAAAAAAGAAAGTGAATAAAATAAAACATCACAGAGGAAGAGAGAGAGAGAAAGAGAGGCCCTGAGAGAGAGAGAGAGAGGGGGAGAGAGAGAGAAAGAGAGGGAGAGAGAGAGAGAGAGGGGGAGAGAGAGAGAGGGAGGGAGAGAGAGAGAGAGAGAGAGAGAGAGAGAGAGAGAGAGAGAGAGAGGGAGAGAGAGAACCTCTCTTGACTGTAGTTTATCATCCAGTGTTAGTAATATATCAAGTATCAGAGCTACTGGTAGAGCAGAGTCAGTGGCACCCAAGAAGACTCCAGTCTTAAAGTACTTTGAATCATAATGGGCTGCCAGCACTAGCCTCTTTGGTACATGAGGATCTAAAGTGGCTATTATATTAGTGAATGACTTTGGACCAAAAGGAGTCTGATCTGTGAATACATCAGTAGTGATTGACCAACGAGACTGGTTGAGCTGATGCAAGCGTGAGAGTATGTACTATAGGAAGGGAAAGAAACATGTACATACATGTATATATTCTGCAGCTACGTGTACTACTGTCACCAAGTGCATAGAATAACAGTTATATATACTCGATTACTACCATCACCATTGGCTGGCTAAGTCAAGTGGATACTTCGCAATTTTAATAAAGTATGACTGACTTTAATTCAAATCCCTCTAGTTCCACTAACGCAATCCAGCCTTTTTTTTTCACGGCCCAACATCACCACAAACCTTAGACAATTTTTTAAATTATAATTTTGACGAATCTAGAGAAACTTCTGCTTCATAAGGAATACTTTTAGGTACCTGCATGATTACTATAGAGGACAATGAATTAGATTTGCTATGGCTTGTTGTGTGTGAATGCAACCAATGCTACACAGAATGTTGTGGGTTAATTCAACTTAGTAACAATCAAATTAACAGATAACAACAGTTAGGACTTTTGCTTTTAGCTATAACAGTAAATGCAAATAAAACTTATAAACAGGAGTGTGAAAAAATACCGTATAGTGCAACATTTTCGAGGGCCGTAAATTTCATAAAATTGCCTAAAAATCTATTTTGTGGATTTAATTTTCATACTACTACTGTATCTTTGGATGACTGACTGACTACCTATGTCACAGCTTTACTCCAACCTAGCTACTCATCTTAATCTCTGCCCACAACAGCGGCCACCACCCACAAAAAGATATAACAATTATTCCATTGTCTCGAAGACAAGACTAAAAGGATTACACTGTACACAGCCTCAGTCAGTAACAAAGGATCACGAATATCAAGAGACAATACATTAGTCTATTGGTCAGAGCTACAAAAATATTTTAAATTTTATTGTCTTAAAATGAGGAAACCATTATCTATTTCCTCAAGTCACATGTACTGTACGTGAACTCATTTATTCTTTATGTTTGATGAAAGCGCATTTTGGAGCTAATAAACTATTCACAAACAAAAACACTAAAAGAACAAACAAATAACATGCAGCCCAAGCTGAAGACAATTAAAATACTTTTGTAGTTCCAAAAACAAAGAAGGAAACTTATTTGAAAGTTACTCTTTACTCTACAGGGATTCATAATACAAGACTACTAATACTATACATTGCACAGATGTACTTGCTACTATGTAGGTTTCACTCTCCTAAAATTCCTAATAATTCTCTCTGATACTATAATAATGCGAGAAGAGTGATTTTACGCTATTAGTCACTAGTCAGCCAAAAACAGCCAGTGGATGCCTCTGATAAATAGTAGCAGCTGCTTGTAAATAAATCAGCCATGGAGGCTCTGGATGCATAAATTGAGATATTATATTGCATTCTAACTGATTAGAAGATTAATTGTGACTTGAGTAGCAGACAGACAGTGAAATATATTGATTGAGAGAAAAAGGATACACTAATGCATGTGACTATTGTACAGACACAAGACAATATGGAAAAACAAATTGACAGTTACCAAAAAGATAAACAACGACCATTCACAATGTACACGTACATGTATATGTACATCTATAGCATTCTTATGTAGACTAATATGGGCACAACATTATATCTCAATTCTCAAAGTGAAGAAATGACTAAAAAATGCAAAACAATGTATAATAAGACTTCTTCTCATCCAATGACCCATACAATAAAAAGCATACACGTCTTTCTAATCTGTGTTTATGGTGGTAATTTTTCAACCACACATAACAGTCTCTTACCACTAATTGGTTTTAAAGTTTAGTGGTGAGTGTGTGTGTGTGGGTATCAGCCTTGAGTTATGATAATAAAAACAGCCTCCCCCTAACTTTCTCTTTTGTATTTGTCCCTTCATTGTTCATGAGTACCCATACACATGTAGACATTATTATTATATTTATTGACCTCTCTCTCTCTCTTTCTTCCTCCCTCTTTATTTCTTTCCTTTCTATAGTTACAGTTCTTACTTCTTTGACTGTAGCATGAGTTGGAGTGTCAGGAACTCTCTCCTTTAGTATGTTAGGAAAATCGTACGTTTTGATATTTTCAATGTCACAACAGGAAGAAATGGTCTTGGTCTTCTTACTAGTTAGTGTAACGTAATGATGCTATAAGAGAAAGAAAATGTAGCCAGAAAATTAGTCAGAATTAATTACTGTGACCAAAATGAATATCAATGAAAATGCAAGCAGCACATGATGAATAAACAAACACAAGGCGAGGGGGAGAGCATAAATTTAAGTTCAGATTTTATATTTTATTAAAGATTCGAGTTTTCTGATGGTATTAATTCAATAAATAAACTCACTGTTGTTCTCTGCGACAACACAGCGGCCACTAAGCATAATAGAGAAAGAAAAGAGAGCTTGTTGGACATAGTACGATTCTACGAGAGCTACAACCGGCTACAAGCGAGTGGATACTTGGATGGATGGGTGTGTCATTTACGGAAAATAACCTGAAAATAATACGGTCAAAACTGCTTATAGGGACGAGAATATACAAAGATAAACGGCTTTAATTTAAAAATTATTATGGATTTATTTTAAAATAATTATTTTTTCCAATTTCATTTTTACAAATAATAAAGTTGCTCTAAAATAAGACCAAAAATCCTGTAATATGGTACAAGGGTGTTTGGCCAAGTTTTATCAAAAATCACAAAGTGAGAATTGCCCATTTTTATTATTTTTATCTTTTAATTTATTATTTTCAATATTATTTAATTTTCTCGATGTTCTATTTTTCTTATTTTTTATTTTAATTATTTTTTATTATTTTATTAATTTTTTTATTTCTTTATTTAAATTTTTTTAAAATCCTTTACTTGTTTTTTAATTTTATTTTTAATTTTAAATTTATTTTTAATTTCTCATTATTTTTATTTTATTAAAAAAAAATTTTTAATAAACAATTATTATTAGACACACAGAAAAACTTAAATTTTTATTTTATTTTATATTATTTTTTATTAATTTTATTTTTTTAATTTTATTTTAATTTTCACTTTATTTTTAATTTTTTAATTTTTAATTTTTAATTTTTAATTTTTTGGTTTTTTATTTTTTATTATTTCTTATTATTTTTAAATTTCTTAGTTTTTATTTTAAAATTTTTTAAATTAAAAAAATCTATTTTTGTCTTACTTTTTACTATTTTTATTTTTATTATTTTTTGATTTTTAATTTTTAATTATTATTATTATTAATTTTTACAATGTTTAATTTTTATATTTTTTATATTTTTGTTTTTATTAAAAACAACAAAGAAAACAGCATTTATATTTATACAATTTGTAAAAAACAAGTTTTTTTGTTTTTTACTATTTTATTTTATCTTTTCTTTTTTAATTTTTTAATTTTTTATTTTATTACTTAATTTTTTTTCATTTTTATTTTTTATTTTCATTTTTTTAATTAAAAAATTATTTTTTATTTTTTTAATTTTTTTATTTAAAATTTTTTTACTATTTATGTTTTTTTATTTTTTAATATTTTATTTGCCATTATTTTTTATTTTTTATTTAATTTTTTTAATTTTTATTTTTTTATTTTAAAAATTATTTTATTATTAATTTTTATTTTATAGACCACCAATTATATAGGTGGAGTCGATGACGGAGAAAGAAAACATGAGCGGTGATTGCGAACTTACAAAAAGGATTTCTCTTTCGCAGTTTGACTCCCAATCCACAGACTGGAACGACAAGGAAGAGAAAGATGAAGCAAAATCTAAAATTGACGAGCTTTCCGAAGTTTTTCGTTCAGTTATCACGCTTGTAGGTGAGGATCCCGACAGAGAAGGGCTGAGGGCTACTCCTTTGCGAGCAGCTAAAGCTTTTTGCTATTTCACTAAAGGATACGAGGAGACCGTAGCAGGTAAATTAATTATACTTGCATAGAAAAAGATTTTATATACAAATTACTTATAGTATTATTTATAATTATTTTTTGTTAATTAATGTTTGAGTCCCACCCATTCCAGTGCCAGAAAGATAGTTTTAATTTTAAAAATGTAACGAAACATTTAAATATGTACTCGTGTGTCACTTAAGTTTTTTTACAAAATTTAAATGACCAACCACTACTCCAGAAATAATATTTTATGCAACAAAGTTGCGTGTACATCTCAATGTAACGACCATCAACTTGCCTTTTTGAAAAAAAATTTGTAATTACAGGTGTAGTTGCTAATGGTGTATTTAGTGAAGATCACGATGAGATGGTTTTAGTCCGTGACATTGACCTTTATTCATTGTGTGAACATCATTTGGTTCCATTTTATGGCAAGGTGTCAGTTGGTTACTTACCATTAGGAAAAATAATAGGACTCAGTAAAATTGCAAGGTAAGTGAAAATACCATGGACTATACCTTAAGGTTATTTTTAAATATGAATACAATTAATAGCAAATTTTGCGTTTGGGTTAAAAATCTCAATTATTAATGCTTGCAATTATTAATAATGCCATCATGATGCTATATCATTACTTAATCACAATTTTTAATACTAGCTAAATCTACTTCGTTGTGCTAAAATCACAAAATTTATTACCCACAATTAAAACTCACTCTAAGATAACAATTGACTCGAAAACATCATTTTAATTGAGTTCTAGTCAATTCTTTTATTTTAATTGTATGATATCAAAAATTATGTACAATCAATTTATCTTCTAACTAGGATAGTTGAGATGTATAGCAGAAGATTTCAAGTCCAAGAGAGACTCACCAAACAGATAGCCAATGCTATTATTGAAGCTGTTCAACCTCGTGGAGTGGGCGTGGTCGTGGAAGCTGTGTACGTACGTTTAACTATGGGTGTGGCTGTATTTAAAATAAAATTGTGAAATCAGAAAAATGCAAATTAGTAGGGAATTTTACTAATTTTTATAATTTTGTCCTCATAGTTATTAAAAAAAGTAATCAAAGTAACTGCATGGCTCAAGGACATTTATGCATTAAACATGATTTTATGCTGTGTATGTCAACTTTGAGGCAAAACCAACCAAATTTGGATTTTTTTTTCAGAATTTTTAAAGTTACTAAAAATTCAGGCCAAAGTCCCTGTACTATTATAGTACAGGGTACTTGGGCAAATTTCGTCAAAAATGACTAAGAGAGAATTCTCCATTTTTATGATGTTTTCTGATACATATACATGTTCTTATGTTGTGTATCAACTTTGAGCTGATTCTGATCAAAATTAAGTTTTTTACGACTTTTTAAAGTTACTCAAAAATTGGGCAAGAATCCCTGTACTATAGTACAGGGTCCTTGGCCAAATTTCGCCAAAAATGACTAGGAGAAAATTCTCCATTTTTATAATGTTTTCTGATACATATACATGTTCTTATGTTATGTATCAACTTTGAGCTGATTCCAATCAAATTTGGATTTTTAATGAATTTTTAGTTGCTCCAAATGCCATGTACTGTATTGTAGTGCTTGTCAGCTCACTTAGCATGCTTTGTGGGATGACCCTGGCTCTATCTACTAATATTAATGTGTCTAGACTAATAGTATAACCACATATGATTCCTATTATGTACAGACACATGTGTATGACAATGAGGGGGGTCAGTAAACCATCCAGCAAGACAGTCACCAGCTCAATGCTTGGAGTATTCAGAGATGATCCAAAGACCAGAGAAGAATTCCTTGCACTAACAGGACATACAAACTAATAATCTAGCATGTATTTAACTATTATTTATTTATTTATTTATTATTATTTTATCCTGGCTTTGAATATTCTTAATGAAATCAACACAATAATTATAATAATAACAACAACACAACAATAATTAATGATAAAAATTGTGGTAGCCTAATGAAGGAAATTATTATACTTCAATTAAAGCAACCATGAAAGTCGATATCGTGGAATAATAATAGTTGATAATAATTAGAGGAAAACAGAACTGAAATGACAAAACAAAAATTGCAAAAATTGGTTCTTTGTACAAGATTATGCCAATTGTTCAGTTAAATGACGCGAAAGGAAAAAAAGAAATCAACATACAGAAAGAGAAAAGAAAGATAATAGGAGTAATGGACCAGCCAATGAAAATGATCATAATAATAATAATAATAATAATAAATTAATAATTATTAAACAAAATCTGAAGATAATACAGAGTATTGCAAACATTGCTGTCGTAATCAAAAAAAAAAACGAAACAATTTATAACATTGTTAGGAATGAAGACAAAAATCACAGAATACATAAATACGAGATGAGATCAGTATTAAAGAGGGAGAGAGAGAAAGATTTGAGAGATTGGGTATTGCAAAATTATTTACAAAATTAACACACAAAAAGGTAACACAATGCATGAAGATTAAAACAATTTAAACATCCCCATAATAATAATAATGATGATGATGACTATTTATTTATTTACTAATAATGAGATGAAATAATAATAATTATAACAATAATAATAAATCGTTACTGAGGTGAGAAAAAATTGACAGATGACGGAAAATGGTGCTCAATAATACGAATCACACAAAGACTTGAGATAGTGTTGAAAAGGAGAACAGAGAAACTGTAGACGAAGAGCTGAAGACTTGAAGAGGGACTGTGTATTCAGCATGACACAGTATCAGTTAACATCACCTTGATGTAAGAAAAGAAATATTAATAATAGTAGCAATCAAGGTTAATCACATAATAGTTTTTAGCCACCTGCTGCTACTCAAAAATCAACCTCCCCTTGATCAAGCCCTATCAAAACCCTCATATCTACATGTATTACCATTGCTATTTCAACAGGTGACTATTATTGACAAAAGGCACCTTATGGTGGATTATCAAATTAATCCTTATAATGAAAAAACATCAATTTGTGAGCATTATATTGTTTGCAAAAGTTACACCATAACTTTTTGCATCCTGTGCAGTAATTTTATTAGAATTTGAGCACAGGAAGTTGGATTTTTTTCACTATAAAGACTAACTATCCGCCATATGGTCCCTTTTGTCAATTATAGTCACAATTTATCATTACACTGCCACCACACTAATCTAAAAGTTACTACTACCCCATGTCCCTCTCAATTACCTTCAAGAGCATGTTCAGTGACCCGCTTGCAAAGCTCGTCCATTTGCATTTCAGAGACTTCGGTTGGCTTAGGTATCGTCATGTTAACGTAGCGATGGCTCTTGATGACAGACGGTACAGGAATGGGAAGCTGCTTAACCGAGGAACCAGTGTTGCTCCGACTGCGAGGAGGAGGATAATACGGAGGAGGAAAAGGCTGAGGAGAAAAAGAAAAGAAAGCATGAAACAATTTTATGATATCTTAAAAGTAGCAAAATATCCATAATGTGGCACATAAAATTAAATTACCGGTTGAAATTGTCTTGTGGTAGCTTTAGGAAGCGTGCTGCTTGATCGAGGGGACCCCATTATACTGGTGGGTACCTTAGGGCCCAGAGTGTTCCTCATATTGGAGCGACGGCCTGGCTTCTTATCGGGAAATGGAACTTTAGGATGTGGAGGGTTACCAGCAATAGTGAAGGCATTCGGCCAACTGAAGGGAGAGAGAGAAGAGAAAAGGAAAATAGGAATAAGAGGACATACAAGATCATGTACATGTACACAACACTAGCAGACAGGGTGGGGCAGACTATTATGACATTCTAAGAGCAAATAACCCAACACAGAACAGACATGCAATACATATATAGCGAATGAGAATTGAGTACATGATAAGAGATAATCTTCATGGTGCCATTAGGCTTGGGTGTGCCCTGATTGTCATGGCAGCGATACAATTAGCTCAAATGACATTACAAGTATGTATTCTGAACAAAATTGAATATAGGATTACATGTACGCCCACTGTAATTGTTGTTTACTTCCAACCTCTCTCTCTCTCTCTCACACACAATTTCTCCTCTTTTAGGTCATTCTCTCTTACTCTCCATCCCTCCCTCTCTCCCTCCTTCTCTCTCTCTCTCCCTCCCTCTCTCTCTCCCTCCCTCCCTCCTTCTCTCTCTCTCCCTCCCTCTCTTTCTCCCTCCCCCTCTCTCTCCTCCTATTCCCTCTAATACACACACGCACACATATACAGTACTCCTTCTCTCATTAATTCAAGCAGGTTGTTCCTTACCCTTTGTTCCTTGGAGATTTCTTTGGTGACAGTACACTCAGAGTCTGCTGGCACTGTTGCTTCCAGTCAAAAAACATCTTTCTATGACTCACTATGAAAGCCTAAAGAAAGAGAGAGAGAGAGAGGAAGAGAAGAGAGAGATTAAGTTGAGTGTATATCAGAATCCCTTCATATTGGCAGATGTTGTTAGGAGTGTCCCCTAGTATCTTTTGCTGTGGTTAGCTCACTGACCACAAGAAGAGCTAATTAAAGCAACACATTACTAATCAAACTAATACACAGTACACTACTGGAAACACTAGGATGGATTATTATATAACGAAAGCAGTCACTCTAAGAATAATAATGGTGTAGGATAGAGTCTTTAAAAACAAATCTGATCTAAATGTAGTCTCTCTAAAATTATAATAATTGCATTAATGACATTCACAGACTCATTGCTATGGAATTGCCTGACATCACATTATTAGGTATGCATTGATGTTGATTGCTCAAAGCCAAGAGCTATAGTAACTGACACGCCTTAAGATATTCATGGACTAAGAAAATAGTACATTATTAATGATAAAATAATAATAATAACAATAAAAAATATAATAATAACAACAATAATAATAATATGCACATACGCACATAAAAAGATATGTAAATAGAATTTAAAGCGTCACAAATCTCACAATGGCGATAAAATGCAAAATTAAATCATTATTATTATTATTGCACGAGGAAAACAAGACAAAAGAGAAGGTAGGTTGATACAAGAGAGAGAGAGAGAGAGAGAAATATAGAAAGAAAGGAGAGATGGGCGTGTGTGTGAATGGAATGCAGTGTAATGAAATAAAGGACCATTCCTTGTATAGGCGAGACTAATGCAGTGCATTCCTTAACACGAACAACAAATTATTATTAATGAATAAAATGTGTAGCAGGAGCATGGAATACAACCCCAACCCACGAAAATATCAATTAGGATACATGCATGTGTACACACACACACACTTAAAGTAATATACCATAGCAGAACAATGTACTACATGTAGTTTATAGTGAGTGAGCTCGCCCACTGAGTTGATGTATGATCTAATGCTGTTTGTGTCTGGTTGTGTGGACTTACAAAGAATGATATTATTATTGTTATTATTGTGTTATTATTGTAATATAGGCTAGTATACATACCACGCAAAGGCGTAGTAGTAATATTAGCAATCAATTCAAGGAAAGCTCTTGAGATAGGAGAGACCACACATCACCAAAGGCACAATGTGGATTATAGAGGACATGAATTAATAACGAAATATAATATTAAACAAAAACAGGAGGAGAGATATCATTTAGACTTAAGAATGTCTTTGCTATAGCGTAAACATTAAACAAGTAGTATACATGTACATGTACGTACGCATACAAAAACTGGCACTCGGTACATGCACAGTAATGATAACTGCAATTATACAAAAATGTTTGAAATTAATAAAATGAAATTTTAATGTACATGTACGGGTAGACTTGCCTCGTGACACATCACTATGTCCAGTACTTTGACAAAAGCTTCCAAATTCTCTTCATTTGTTTCCGTATGCATCATCAACTGACTGTAAACTGTATTAGGAGAAAGAGAGAAAGAGAGAGAGAGAGAGAGAGGGGAGAGAGAGAGAGAGAGAGAGAGAGAGAGGAGAGAGAGAGAGAGAGAGAGGGAGAGAGAGAGAGAGAGAGAGAGAGAGAGAGAGAGAGAGAGAGAGAGAGAGAAGGGTGGAGGGGGAGAGACAAATGAATAATTAGTTGTAATAGAATTAACAATTAGGAAGACGCATTGCGGCCAGACTTTAATTAAAGTGGCAAATAAAGAAGGAAGCAATAAGAAGAACATGAAACACGAGAACAGCCACAATAATCACAATCCCCCTCACCTTTCCCTATGGCTCTTGTAATAAGAGACGGCAAGTCGCTCTCGGAGAAATCTTTAGCCAAAAGATCATCAACTGATGATATGGAGGAGGATCGACGGAGACAAGGGGAAGTGGGAGGAGTAGAACAAGGACTGTCTTCGCTGCTCCCGTTAGCCTCCCCTCCTTGCTGTATGCTGGAGCCACGCTGGGGCGAGTCTTCAACGCTTAGAGTACCTTCTAATGATAACAAGAGGAAACAGGAAGAGTAATACAGAGGAATAAGGAGGGAAGGAAAGACTTTATCTTAACTTAGAAAATATCCCCCAAGCTTTAAATACAGATACTGTCATATTAGCATATACAAGATATAAAATCATGTACAGTAGATGCATTTTATTCTCTATAAACAGTTATTGGCTCATTGTTTCCTTTACCTTCTCCTCCTGGAGTAGCTGTTCTTGTTCTTGATGACTTTATAGTCTCAGTCTCACTGGTGAGACTAGAGGCTGATCCTGTTGTGGCTGGTTGGTCTTCTGGTGAGATGTACGGCTTAATGGGAGTCACGACGATCTGATGGAGGCGATGAATACAAGAGAGGAGCTCCCCTTGCTTCTCTGTGTCCTAGGGAGAGAAGGGTGGATGAAAGGTCACTTAGTAAACATGACACCAAAAAGGGTGAGACTTGGCGTGTCCACACTATTGCATATGCAGCTGTTGCTGTTTGTGCTACAGTGGTTGCCAATGAATCACTACAACGGTCAAACCTCTAGGAGGACACCGACCAATACTGTGACTCCCTCTGACACCTAAGCCTTCATTCTTAGAATAAAGGCACTAACTTCCTTTGCTTAACAATGCTAATTGGTAGACCCAGGCCCATTGAATTGGGTAAGTGTACATGCATCCAAAAATAACAATAATAATAATAATAATATTCTATGTGCATTTTCACATGAAGAACCACATGTGATGAGATCATTAAAAAAGTTGGAAGTGTACATTGCAGTACACGTACAGTGTAGATTCACATGAATATTACAAAAGTGTCTCTCAGCTCACACCTACCTGTTCAATTTCAGCAAGCCTGTCTCCTCTCTGACGTAGCTTCTTAATACTGATTAATATCTTTTTAAGAGCCCCCGGGGTTATATTCTAAAATAAGATATGAAATATATATATTACTTAATGATACATTGCAACACATTATGCAGTAAAATAATCATTATTGTAGCTGCACTAGTGGCCAGTCACTATTAGAGACACAGCTATATATACTATGTACTTAAAGCAAAGGATATTAAGCACTTATGAGCAGAGCAGCCTTACTAAAAGCACTTGAGCTATAACAACAATAAAATTGATTTTCAAGTGAGAAACTGAGAGTAAAGGAGCAAAGTATGATGCATGTAAATGTATGCAGAAGATATAATGTATAGTACACATACATGTACATAAATGCATGTAGTAAATCTATAAAGCTAGCCACATTGATGTACATATGTACAAGAATCAATACATGGTGTACATGTACATGTACAATAAACACAATTTTAAAGCATTGATCACGTGTGTATTAGTACATGTGCCTATTAATTATTTTATAAATATTTACATAGTGATCCAATGAGTGTTGTCCAATAAACAAATGTCATAATTCGCATTCATAATTGTCTCAGAGTAAATTGCCCAATAAAAACTACCAAATGTAATGCAGAGTATAAGTGCAACTACTCCACAAGTGTGTGTGTGTGCATTATTGAAACACTAACGATTGATATACATTGTACATGTACAGGCAAGTATATTCATCTAATATCCAAGAGAAGAGAAGAGGAGTACAAGGAGAAATGCTAGAGCATAAAACAACACATGGACTCATAAAAGTATATAAAAATAAACACCAAGTTACACAAAGCACACATACAATAGACGCTGTCCATTAAACTAAAAATAAAATAAAATTAAGACTATGCATACATTGTATATCAAGACTAGCGGTGACCTATCGTAAGATAATATCAAGGAGTGCATGTACCCTTGATATTAGCTGTAGGGGATTAGGCAAGCCAGTTTGTGGTAGCAGTCACAACAGAGATGGCTAATAAGGAAAACAGGCACTAATAGGGTGTAACCATCTTACAATAATATGGGTTTGCCATCAGCTTGGATTAGGGAAGACAGAGTTATGATTATACATTTGATAACAAGAATAAGGAGAAAGAGAGAGAGGTAGATGGAGAGGGGAGAGAAAGGGAGTCAGCAGCTGTGTATATAAAGAAATACAAATAAAGGAGAGACAGTGTATGTCTAGTAATACTAGCATAAGGAGTGGAGAGGAGGGACTGAACACAAACAAGGCCATAGCTTTTACAAGAGTAAAACTACATTAATAATGGATTAATAGGGAGAGAAGGAGGGAGGGATGGGAAGTGGCTCAGCTACATACGTTTTCTTGTAGGAATTCCTCGGTTATATTAAGAAAGGATTCGTACGTCATATCAACAAAGAGATCCTTGTACTTGTGGAGACGCAAAGACTTTAGCCACGCAGGGACATCTGGAGAGAAGAGAGAAAAAATATTTGAGTAACGATTATTATAAAAAGAATTGGTTGAATTTGAGAAGATACATACATGTATGTGTATAATAACAAACACAGAAAAAGGAAACTATGTACATTACATAAGAGAATAGAGGAAAAAGAGATAGCCAAAAGTCACAAGTTATACACATGCACATAATGGTACATATATACATGTACATGAAGTAAGTATAATCAATGACACTGACACACACATACACACACACACACACACTATCCATAAATGGAAATGCACACAGTGCAACCAATAACTGTTCCCACTCATTCCCATCCTCTGTATAAGGGAATAGCTGATCATGTAACACAAAGTGTCACTACTATAATGGTATATGCTGGAATTAGATCACATCAATCAATCAATCACCTACAAACTTGACTACACTGCCACCATATATGACACATAGAGACTCCCTTTGAAGTATTAGAATCAAGAGAAAAGGCATTGGCACAAGTATGCCCAGTATTTATACTGGAGGCATGTACCAGTATACAATGTACATGTATGATGTAGCCCATAGATAACATGTACTCTCCTATTTAACCTTAGAACTATCATCATATTCCAATAGAAAGGTCATGTACATGTACATGTTAGGAATGGGAGAGACAACACACAGGAGACCTCCCTCTTACATCATTAGATGTGTTACTACAATCCTGTTAATAATGAATTCAGTCTGCAGTGCCTTTGGGCTTATATACTTGTATAAGAGAGAGTGTGGAAAAAAAGCTAAGTAACACAAGTGAAGCATATCACATAAAACAAAAGTTCTCAGGCTATGTGGAGAGTTTCAGCTGGTCTGAATGAGACAAAGAAAGCATATAAAGTACAGGTAGACACAAGTGTATAGTACCAGTACTACTGGGTGATGACTAATAACTCAGATTGTTTATACTACAGTGGGGTCCCCACCCTCAATAAATGGCCTCTACTTGTCTGACCACATCCTTTGCTCTGGTATAATAAAGAATAAGAGACCAAGCCAAAGGACACTTTGTACAGCAACAGGTCCAACTGTTAACATTAGTCACTAATGTGAATCACTTAACAGTTTTACACTACCTTATTTGAGCCAACAAGTGTCTCATTCAAAGATATCCATTAAGAGAGGAAGACAAGCAACATTAGGGATGAAGGGAATGTTTGTATAGCAAGGAAAGGTACACGAAAGGACGGGGAAAAGAAAGGAAAAATGGCCCCATTTGGTCTCTCAACTACCAAACATGCCATGACACATTATAGGCAATCAGCACCAATACAACACACACATACATTGCATTAAGCACATATTACTATGCCACAGTTAGGCAATAGGCTACAAGTACAATGTAAAGAGAGCTAGCTTCCATGTCATATACAATATGTATAGCTACCATTTCAGAAGGTCCAGTTAGCAGTTGCATGTACATGTATATGTACTTGCTTTCTATATAGGCTTTCTAGAGTATTCATTCCTTAAAAAAATTTTTTTTGTTTCTCTCAACCTCCTCTCTCTTCCTCTCTAGTCTACCAATGAACTCGACAACAATACAAGAAAGTCGTTAGTCATCTCATAAATTCATTTTTACTATAAAACTATAATTGTATTAAAAACATTAGTTTAAATGTATTGGGAGGTGAGACTGACAAATAAGAGAAGATAATCCCTTAAGAAGAGGCTCTGTTGGGCCAATAGTCCATACACACAATTTACTGACCCTAAAGTCATTGAGTTGGTAGGAAGCAACCAAAACGAGTGCGCCAAATTAATAATAATAGAATAATAATAATAACAAACAATAATAAATATGTGTGCGTGTGTGTCTGTATAAAGTTACATGTAGCTATGAAGAAATAACTCAATAGGCACAAACATGTGTACATAGTACACATGTACATAATGAAACTAATAATCAGCAAAGCAATAATAATAATAATAATAAATAATGATGATGATGTCAATGGATGTAAATGTACATACACAAAGCAACAGATGTACATGTATACATTATGATGGAGGTGGGAGGGAGGGAGGGAAGGAAGGAACAGATGTATTACAAACCAAGCTGGGTAACATGTAACACACAATGGTTGTAATCTTGTAATGTGTACTAGGAACATTGAACAAGGTGAGGGAGACACTACCAGAGACACAAAATGGCACATGTGTACATCTACATGTACTGTACATGTAATTACAGACTGTACATGATGCCCATAAAAGACTCTGATAGATAAGCCTGTATCACTACTTTTAAGCACATTTCTCCAAGAACTCGTTTGTACGGATTACATCATATTTTACATGTGTGCACTCTCTCTCTCTCTCTCTCCCCTCTCTCTTTCTCTCTCTCCCTCCCTCTCATATGTTGTGATTATTTCTAGGGAGAGGCTGCCCACTCAAGATTATACACACAGACAGTTATAACACAAATCCCACAACAGAAGGACTGACTTTGATAGCCCCAATAACAAAATACACCAATCAAAATAGTCAAAATAGGACACAGTGCTCCAAAAAATATACTGGATAACAAGTATACACGTACAACTGAAGAAACAGAGCAAAAGAATGGCTTACCTTTCATTCCTGGTTTCCAGAATATCCGTGCAGTCTTCTTGTCGAAGGTAGCTGGTAACGAACAAGCGGAAGAAGCCCTGTTGGGTGGGAGGGAGAGAGATTTACTCTTGGCCTTCCTCATGTAGTCATCGTATCCATTGGGAGTGGAGCAATGCTCCTGTACCTGATTTGAATAAGTGAATCCCTTTGGTACGAAGTCCTCATCATCATCAAACAAAGGATGGGTATCAATCTCTCCCAGTGTATCAAACTCATGCATGGATCCAATGGGGTTAGACTGGGGGAGGTTTATGTATATGCGATTTGCCCCGTTCCTGTGTGACCCGCCCACGTTTATTATATCATCACAAGACTCAGTTCTCAACTGATAGATTCGTCTCGGAGGAGATGAGGACTGAAGTGTAGAGGAGGACTGGAGCGTAGACGAATGAAGTGCCCCACTGCTATGGTGATGGGTTTGAATGGGGAGGGTCGCAGAGCGATGGTGGCTAATGCCTCCAAGGAGTCGGTTCTTCTCGGCAATGCTCCGAGACTTGTCATCTAGCCGTGATAACCAGAACGCTAGTTTCTCTCTGTCCTGACAAAAGGCAGGGTGGACCAGTGCTAGTGAAAGGAGTAGACGGCATTGATAGAGGTACTCTGAGTCTTCTGCCGAGCCGAAGAGAACTTTAGGAAGGAGTTTGAGGTATTCTTCTCGGGCTTGGTCGTTGCCGGGACGAAGTAAAAGTATGTTAGAGAGAATATTAGAGAGAGCCACGGCGTCTTGCTCGCTGTGTATAGCACTAAGAAAAGCTGAAAAGGAAGGAGGGAGAGGAGAGAGAAAGGAATGATATTGTGAAAGTAAAAGCTGTCCAAGTGTAATGTATAAAATTTTACCAGTGGCAAAGGAGACAAGAGAAGAACATAAAGGAAATGCTTTAGCAGACAGATGTCAATGCTTGTGCATGCATGATGTATGGTGTATTTCACAAAAGGAGGAATGAATGGACAAGCATGCATCATACATACGAGTAACACTGAAAGTGTGACTGACACGAGAAGCTATTCCAAGGAACACAATGGTGAGTACATGTACATGCACAGTGCTTGGCATTAGCATATTTTTATAAATATTTACAGAGATAGTGTCTATTCACTTACTTGGGTCGTTTGCATCAGCTTCCATACCAGCCAGATCCTCCTGGTCCTGTCCTACCTGGAGTATGTGCTCAAGTACAACTAAGAAGAAGCGAGCCTGAGTCGCGTTCACTTTACTTAGGAGGGAATAGAGAGCCATGGTTTGCTCGTATTGGTTCCACTCCAAGAACCAGGAGTAGAACTGTCCGACACGATCACGAAATAGTGTAGAGTTCATTGTTGTTTAAAGAGAAAAGGCGTTCAAGTTTTCTTTCAGAGTGGCGGCTGAAACGTGTGAGAATGAGAGATCACAGGATGGCGAGAACTCGTGGCTCGCCTTCTGCTGGTCGGTCGGTTAGTGTGGAGAGAGAGAGAGAGAGAGAGAGATGTGAAGAATTGGAGGAATGGAGAAGAAGGGAAAGGAGGTGTAGAGATGTCGTCGACCTGCCCGGTCTGCAGGTCTATGGAAAGTTGTTCCGTAACTGATACACAGTCTTAGGACTCAGTCTCTTCTTCTCTGATTACTCTACTAGATATTACTGAGACTAAAGAATCCGGACAAAGCTTTTTGGTCAATAATACTTCTTCTCTCCTCCTCCTCCCTGCCTAGCCTCCAAATACAAGTTTCTATATTAGGAAAATATTTACAAAAACTGCTTCACTTTGTTGATGTGTTATGAACGGTATCCTCTTTAACAGGAAAAGACTTGTCTGAGTTACCTCCCATGTCTCCCGCGAGGATCTTGTACGCATGCGCAATAAAAATGGGATGGGTAGCACACGTGCTTACACGTGTACTAGAATCTCTTGCTGCCTGGTCAATTTCTTTGTTGTTTTTTTTATTGAGCTTCTTGTTGGCAGCTCAGCTACAAAAATAATTAATGTTTGCACATTATAGTGTTGTTTTATTTTTTATGTTGGTCCTAGACTGAATTTAAATGCAAAATTAAAACAAATGAAATTAGATTTGTTTGTACATAAGTGGCTTCAATTTATAAATAAATACAACTTGCCTCTTTTCCTTTTCCCATCTGCCACCTTATGTTTTTAGGAATAACAGCTGCTTTGAAATCTATAATAACCTGTACTACATCATAGCAATTGTATATATAGCTCTAGGAAAAGCACATTTTAGAGTGATTAAGCAATTACATTTTTTCTTTTGATCAAGTAACCATAATTTATTTGTAGCAGGTGTTTCAATTATTGGTTGCCGGTTCATTATAGCAAATCATACTTTTGAAGTGCTATGGAATGTCTTTTACAACTTTTTTCATTTTACAACTTTTCATTTTTCTTCCGCAACCTTTGTCCTATACTATGGGTAGTAAGACAATAGCCATATATTGATTGTATGCACAAATGACATGACAGAATGAACACTGTGTAACAGAATGGACACTGTGTTTATGATTCTTTTACTATTGTTATTGTATGATGTACCCATCACACCTAGTTACCCATGGGTTTGCAGAGACAAGACAACTCGGTACCAGTATTAATTCGATTCAAAGAAAGACACAACAATCATGCTTGTCTAATCTGTGTCTCCATTACTTTCATGTAATGGTAGCTACTGTCTTTCCTTTCTTGACACACGATTGAGGAACTGGTATGGCAAGTGAAGTATTTGTTACTCCGAATTAATGAATATTTATTTAGAACTAAATTAACTTTTGACAGGAACCTACAAACAATGGCATGCATGCGGCATCCTCAATAACTGTGGATTCTGTTTGTTTTCGATTCCTGTTAGAGCAGTAATAAAGGATGGCAGAAATGGCAGTCTGTTGCTGTTTTTATTGCATGACATTGTTTATTGTATTATTAAAAAATTCTTTATAAATTTAAAGTTGCCCCAAAGCCATGTACAGCTCATGAGGCAATGCTTTGACATGTGAAGGCAGGAAAGGAGGAACAACGAATCTAATTTGATACATCGAATCGATGAAGTTACTATAGTGTATTATTTATATGCTCTGCCTTTTGGTTGTTGCTCATATTATGTGCTTGTTTTTTGGCTTGTTGGTGTCATGTATTGCAGCTTCCTTGTTCTGTTAGTGTCAAGGCGTTGCTCTTGATTATAGTTTTCAAATAGGAATGAAATTGTTTGACAACCTTGTTCCATAGTTGTTTGCTGCTTTTGATCGTACTATCAACAGATCATATATGACCATTAGACACTTGTTTCTTTACCTGTTGTCTGTGACTGGGGGATTGAATTGAAATGTGAGATAACCATGTTTATAAGGTTTAGGAATTCCCGCCAAATGGCGCGGGAAGCTTTGCGCATGCGCATAGCCCACGTGGAAAATGGCTGACTTCAAGCAAGAAGTTCACAAACCTGGTCCTCTTAAGCAAAAGAACAAGTTGCACAAACATGGAAGACATAAGAGCAAGGGAAGCATTGAGAACCTCAGTAAAGGTAGTGTATTTAGTGATAAAAGCATTAAATAGTGTTATTATTGAGAGAGTGACTATTTATCTTTTAATTTATTTATTTATTTTTATTAATTTATTACTATTATTATTATTATTAAGGTCGTGTTGATGTCAAGTCTTTTACTGGCCAAAAGTTAAAACAATTGCGAAGAATTGACCGGAAAAATCAGGTAAAATGTTGCCAAATTTATTTATAAGTTTTGTGCTTAGTTGAAGCAATTGAGAGACAAGAAACGTCATGAAGTACAGATGAGTAAAAGATCACTGGGAACAGACAACACTCCACCTCATTTAGTAGTGAGCCAACGAATACTAATCGATTATATACAAACTAGATTTTAAATTTATTATTTGATTTTTAAATTTTTTTAATGAATTATCCTTAGGTTGTATTAAGTACAAGTTTAATTGTCGGTTGTCAAGAAGTCTTGTCTTTATTGTCAGGTACTTGTAAAGCCGACCCACCTCCAACCCTTATCTCTCAAACTACACTCGTGTAGGCCCGTACATTATCAGAACATGTGTATGTGTATCTATTGTCTTAGATTTCCGGTAACAAAGCAAAGATTTACTTTTGTATGTCCACCTCCTGAAGACTTAGATGCCATACTAAATGTTGTTAAGGTAATGCAATGGGAGTATAATACATACATTACTCCTCTCTCTCTCTCTCTCTCTCCCCTGCTCTTCCTGAATTGGATTTGTGGATATAACTAATTGTCTGAATTATTTTCTTAAAAATGTATTTTTGTCCTAAAGGACTAAGAAAATTAAAATTAATATTCTATTACTCGCAGGAAAATTAGGAAATTAAGTAATAGTGTTATATTGATGTTAGTGGTTTAACTCACAAGTATTCACCATTTCTCACACCCACTCTTAAATTTATAATATTGCTTATATAATACCTTATCAAATTTACTGGTTTCCTTTGGTTAATATTTTTAATATTATTAAAGCCACGGCATTTATACATGTAAGAATTATTGTATTTTATTGAGTAATATTTAGTATTATTAAAGCCACGTAATAATGTCTATATTATATCAACAGATTGCTGATACATTGCTATTAGTATATGACACAACTGGTGAGACCTCACCTCTGGTTGAGCTAGCTCTTGACTGTGCTTTTGCCCAAGGACTCCCATCCACTTTTCATATAGTCCAGGTTTGCTAATTGAAATACTAAAATTTCTCAACCTATTATTGGTCATTAAGGTGATGAATTTCTGCATTGTTTTTTATATCATGCCTATATTCTGTATATTGCACGATAGAGTGAAATTGAATATTAGCCAGTGTTGACGAGTGTACTGAATACTGTGTTCATTGTATTGTGTTGTAGTGGTCTTGTACTTTCTAATACATTGTTGTGTGTGTGTACAATATATGGGCAAGTATAGTGTCTGCTATTGATAGGGTTTGGATGCTGTTGCTATCAAGAAGCAAGGTGATACTAAGAAAAGGATACAAGGCATTATAGATAAGCGGTAAATATGACAATTACTTGTATCATGTATTGTATATATTGTATATGTATAATCCATTCATGTACCGTATAGCGGGAAATTGTGGAGGAAGTTAAATTTGGTGAATTACTAAATTTCGGTGTCTTGTGAATTAGTGGCCACATGCCATTGAACATGCGTATAATGGCCGAAAATGGCGGATTTTTATTTTAGCGACAAAATGCCAAATTTAATTTCCTCCAAAATTTCATGCTATACGGTATTGGGTGAATTTACTTTCTGTGCAACTTTTGCATAATCATCATTATTATTATTATTATTATGTGTTTTAGTATTTTTTGTCACATTTCCAGTTTTGTAGGGACTAGGGGGAAGCCAGTTAAATGTTTTGTGTGTACTTTGTGCATGTCATTAAACTATGTGACCACAATTGGATTTTAATAATATCATTCCACCTTCTTATTGAATTATTTTTGTTATAGTCAGCAATAATATTGCTAACTCTGTCAATCTCTTATTACAAGAAGTAAAACCTATCTTTTTTTCTTTTTGTATATACAAAGCTTTCCAAAGGAGAAAGTACATCGACTTGACTCAGAACAGGTACACTGTACACGTTTGTGGCATATCATTTGATATGGATGTTGCCAATCTTTTTTAGGATGCATGTAATGTATTGAGATTCATTGGGAGCCAAAAACAACGACCAGTTTTTGTACGTGATGCAAGACCACACCTACTTGCCGACTCGTGGAGTTTTTCAGAATCTACTGAGGTAGAAAAAAGAAAGAGAGGGAGAGAGAGAGAGGGGGAGGGAGAGAGAGAGAGAGCGAGGGGGGAGAGAGAGAGAGAGCAAGGGGGGGGGAGAGAGAGAGAGAGAGAGCTATTAAAATAGTTGTGGTGGATTTACAGTAGAGTAACTACAAGTTTGTATGCTCTTGAGTTTCTTAGTGGTAATTAAGTGTGTGACATATAGAAGTCATACAAATTAGCTTCTTTGAACTCTCACCTCCAATTATGGCAAAAACTATTTTAATAATAATAATTGTTGAATTTCAATTTTAGTGTTACGATGATCATGATGATGCTACTGGTGTATTGAGTGTGTCTGGCTACTTACGTGGGAAGGATCTCTCAGTTAATCAGTTGGTTCATATCACTGGATTTGGTGATTATCAGTTGATAAAAGTATGTACGCTAATCCATGTACTAATATGTGTTCTACAGGTACTTGTATAGCATGCATTTGGTAGTAGTATTCATGTTTTAGGAACATACATGTTCTTATGTTGTTCAAGAAATTTTAAGCTGATTCCAATTAAATTAAAGTTACTCAAAAATCAGGCCACAATCCCTGTACTATAGTACAGGGTACTTGGCCAATTTTCGCCAAAAATGACTAGGAGAGAAATCTCCATTTTTATAATCTTTTCTGATACATATACATGTTCTTATGTTGTGTAGCAAGTTTGAGCTGATTCCAATTAAAATTAATTTTTTTACAAATTTTTAAAGTTACTCAAAAATTGGGCACAATAGTACAGGGTACTTGGCGAAATTTCGCCAAAAATGACTAGGAGAGAATTCTCCATTTTTATAATGTTTTCTGATGCATATACATGTACTTATGTTGTGTAGAAAGTTTGAGCTGATTATGATCAAAATTGGATTTTTTTTACGAATTTTCAAAGTTACTCAAAAATCAGGTCAGAGATCCTTTAATACTATAGTGTATTTGGCCAAATTTTGCCAAAAATGACAATGATAATTTTTCTGATTCAACTTTTCCTTTTTAGATTGAGGCTCCCCCTGATCCTTGTCCATTGTCAAAGAAGCTAAAGACGGTGCCACACAATGACAATGCCATGATAACTGTAAGATCATGCCTGAAATACTCTAACTTTAAAAATATTTGTATATATACCTGTATATTCTTATAGCTATTGATCATAATCATCCTTTGCCTGTTTCTTCATCCTTATTATCGTTTCTTTATATTCTTCCTCTTGATCTCTCACCTCCTCCTTCTCCTTAGGATGATGATCAGTGTGTCTCTATGGTTGATGGTGGCATTAAAGTACTAGCAGTGGCTGACCCAGCTAAGCAAGTAACTCAATATTAATAATTTAGAGCTCCCAAATTTTTATATAATTACATGTATGTGCTATTTTGTGAGTATAATTATAGTCAATTGCATTGAATTGTATTTCAATATTAATGTGTTGGTATCAGTTCAGTGTGTGTTTATTGGTTGGTATAGGTATCTTTAATGTCAGAGGTTGTTCCTGACCCAATGGAAGGAGAGCAGACATGGCCTTTAGAAGAAGAACTGAAAGAAGGTATGGATCAATTTTTATATGTAATATTTATAACACACCGGCGAGTGCTATATGGCTTTTATAAGGACCGAGCCTGAGGGCGGAGCCCGAGGGCGAGGTCCTTATAAAAGCATAGATATTATAGACTACGTAACCGGGATTGGAAACAGATCACGTGATCCCATTCAAATCAATATAACTATTCAGGTACAGTCTCTGTGACAGTGAGAGGCGGACGAAAATGCCTGACATGGCTGGAAAGAATGGTCTCTAGTGAAGTCCCACAAGCTATTTCACCTGTACTTGAGCTCTTATAATATACGCACATGTTTATATTTTTCTTTGATACAAAAATAAAATGTGTTAGCTGTGTAAAAACAGGTGTTTAAAGCAAGTGCGCTCCCCGTGACAAGAGATAATGTCTTATTCTCCCTCCTGCAAACAAGCTTTAGCTACCCCAGTTTCATTTTATGATTAAAACTATGCACAAGGCCATGCTACATGAGAATAGACTGGTTAGTTCTGCCTGCCATATTACTGAGAGCAGAAATCCACCAAAATAATGCCAAAAAGCGGCCGATCTGTTGTACCTCTCCCGAGCGAACTAAGCATAGAGACACGAAGAGAAAGGTACCATCGTGATCTCTGGTATTTTCTTTATGCGATTAAGCTACTTAGAACCAGCTACATCACAGTATATTGTTAATACGGCTCATCAAACATAACAATTCTTCATGATTTTCACCATTTTGATGCAAATTCATGCAATTTCATGCATTAATAATCACACAGTCTGTACACGTGACGTCATCAGTTTCCAATCCCGGTTACGTAGTCTATAATATCTATGATAAAAGCCATATAGCACGAGACGGTGTGTTATAAATGATATATGTTAGGGTGGAGCCACACATTCAACAAGTATGTACTGTGGGCGGTCAGTTTACACAAGCACAAAGCCACAGTGCATGTATGGGGCACTGCAGTGTGTGTATGGAATATACAAGTCCTGCTAATCCTTTGATGTGTGGCTACATCATGATATATATTACATTATAAACCCCATTCACACTACACTGTAAATGGTTTTTTGCAAAGCAAGCTACACGTGAGTGAGCTAAACAGCATTTTTTATTAGCACTACAGTACAGTGCATGGCTTTTGGATCAACTTTTAAAAGTTCAATTTTGAACAAAATCAGCCCAAATTTTTGTATACAACACAAGAACATGTTGTGTATCAGGAAAAATATGAAAAATCAAAAGTTCTTTGCTGGCAATTTTTGACAAAGTACCCTCAAGTTAATAATTATATTATATTTGGAACAACTGAGATGGCATAGCTTAGTTAAGCTAAGAACATTTAATGGTGTAATGTAAATATGCTACATGTTCTATGATGCATCCCTCTCTCTTTCTCTTGTATTATTTGTGTAGCTCAGTTAAGAGCTCGGAGTAAAAGAAAGGAGAAGAGGATGTTACCAAAAGGAACGTCCGAGTATCAAGCTAGTTGGATACTGGACGAAGGAGAGAGACAGGGGGAGGAGGAGGAGGAGGAGGGAGAGAGTGAAGAAGAGTATTATGAAGATAGTGAAGATGATGACTGTGATACTGGGAGCTTTGTAAGCAATAGCACAGTAGCATCATTATGATAATATTGACACTGAAAGTTCAATTCTAATCAGTGACTCCACGGTTTATACAATTTGCACTTTTAGAATGTTCATTTTCTCTCCCAATATCAAATTAACAATAATTGTTTTATACTGCAGTGGGCCCTGAGTAGGGGTAGGTAATTGAGTTATGGGGACGATGAGCAATAATAATTGCAATTATAATAATATTATTAGCATCATTATGTGTCGGTGTGTGTCTATAGCTTAATTAACATGAAGACAGGTCTAGGGGTTGTCTTGGGTTTAGACAATATTCACACGCCTTGTAAAATTGCAATAATAATAACAACAATAATACTTGGAATTTAGTTGGACCAGACGTCTAAATCTCAAGATTAAAAATTTGTTGTTTACATACATACAGCTTATTATCATTCAGAGTGAGACAGACAGTCACACTCACTTAAGCTCCAATAGTATCAACATTCATACCACCTGAGAGTCTACACTGAATTATGATAATTTGTGTATAGACAGGCTGTTCCTCTGTATCAATCATTCTCATTTATTGAGGGGTATCGTTATTAATGATCTAATGATAGACTCCAAGTAATTGGGAGTATAGACAGTGGGTACAGTGCCAAGTGTATTTTTGGCAGTACAGTGTATATGTGTATTATATATCATACTAAACAGCTAGGCCTGTATACAAAAAATATAAACCCGACCGCATCAAAGGATGATGTCATAATTATGAGATATTATATAGAGTGTATGTGTCTACGTAAAGGAGTTCCTGTCTTGGGATTATTCTATACACATTTCTCTGGAATTTTATTATTATAAAACTAGCTTGGAAATTGCGGTGTCTAGTACGTAATCGAGACTGGCTAGATCATGCACACGTATCGTGACGTCAATTTTTAAGAAATATGATATTTAACTTGTACGATGTAAATAAAGTAGTATTATTATTGCCAGTATAAATGTATGTGGCTTAATTATAATTGCTCACTGTAATTGATGGAATGTGCTTTCTTTGTCTTTCATAGGGACATACCGATATGGACACTGATGATAATGTAAGCTTTACATGTACATGTACACGTACATGTGTATGTTTTGCTTGTCACGGGTTTCATGACAATGGAACTAATGGGTTTTTGCTTGTCACGGATTTTGTGACAATGGAACTAATGGGTTTTTGCTTGTCACGGATTTTGTGACAATGGAACTAATGGGTTTTTGCTTGTCACGGATTTCGTGACAATGGAACTAATGGGTTTTTGCTTGTCATGGATTTTGTGACAATGGAACTAATGGGTTTTTGCTTGTCACGGATTTTGTGACAATGGAACTAATGGGTTTTTGCTTGTCACGGATTTTGTGACAATGGAACAAATGGGTTTTTGCTTGTCACGGATTTCGTGACAATGGAACTAATGGGTTTTTGCTTGTCACAGATTTTGTGACAATGGAACTAATGGGTTTTTGCTTGTCACGGATTTCCTTTTGATACATATTGACATAATTTTTATGATGTTCATGAAGTTTTAAGTTGATTCGAATACAAAATGGATTTTTATGAGCTTTTTTAGTTGCTCAAAAATGAGGCCAAATTTTGCCAAAATTTAAGAAGGGAGAATTTTTCTTTTTTATTTATTAATTTTTTTAAATGCATATACGTGTACTTATGTTGCATAGAAAGTTTGAGCTGATTCTGATCAAAATTGGATTCTTTACAAATTTTAAAAGTTGTTGTTTTATTATTTTTTTGCTAATATACATTGTACCTGTAGGTTGATCCTGATCACTATGATGCTCTTTATAATATGGAGGATGACCGGAAGCAGTAAGAACTAGCACTCACTATTTCTGTTTTGTTTCTTTTCTTCATTATAATTTTATATGTGTTAACTCTTCTCCCTCTCTCTCTCTGGTCAGGTTAGATATTATTCAAGCTGAGAGGATGGACCAGTTGTTTCCTGATGAAGTTGACACGCCTCGTGACGTCTCAGCTAGAGTCAGATTTGCAAAGTGAGTGCATGTGGTCAATCCAATATGGCCCCATTACCATATAGAAGGAAATTTTGGAGGTTGTTAAATTTTGCAAATTTTGCATTTTGATAGCCATTTGCCAAAATAAAAATCCTCCATTTTGAGCCATTATACACATCCTCAATGGCATGTGGCCACAAATTTGCCAAATTAAAGTCCGCCTATCACCAAAATTTAGTAATTCGCCAAATTTAACTCCCTCTAAAATTTCCTGCTATACAGTATATCACTGTGTGTATATATATTTTATATATATATATATATATATATATTTTATATCACTGTGTGTGTGTGTGTATAGGTATAGAGGCTTGAGGAGTTTCCGTAACTCACCATGGGACCCTAAAGAGAACCTTCCCCTTGATTATGCTAGGTATACTATAGATGAATGTGATTGTAATTTTATTGACTTCATTTCTGTTGGTTGGTAGGATATTCCAGTTCTCAAACTTTAAGAGTACAAAAAAGAAAGTCCTTTCTTCAAAGACCAATGATGAAGATGGAATATCAGTCAGTAGTACATATACACTCATTATTTAATGCTACATGTACATGTATCGTATCAAGACTGTACTACAAAGCACTGATCCTAACACTAAATTACTAATATCTTATTATAGCGTGTCACATTGGTCTGTACATGTACATCAAGAGTGGATAATCGATATACATGTACAACACTATTACACTACCCATTTATTACAAAAGCTAAGTTTGCACACAAAACTATAAATCTTCTATCACATGTAATGAGTTATTCAATGTGCACACGGAACTACAGCTACCGCCTGTGCATGATAACTGGTATGCATTTGTAGTATGTCCTTGTCATTGAGCATCATATTAGTTTAATGATATCCGGACTAGACTAACTCTACCTCCTCTTATCATTTCAATGGCTAATTAGACATGTCACATTGCATCACTTTATCATTAATTGGATTATTACTATTGCACCAATGCGCAAGTACATAGTACATAGCAATAAACTAATGTTATTATATAATAAAAGTAGTAAACTGATGTGTCTTGTCTGATGTTAGTGTATGTCCTATAATCTTAGCCAGTCAATGTTTGTTTAATTTCTGTTCGATCTTGATATCATTAATTAATTCTGTCTCTGACCCCGTCTTTCCTCCTCTCTCCTTTGCTCTCCTCCTCTCCTTTTCCTGTCTCTCTGTCTCTAGTCTGGGAATTATCTTACACTCTACATAGCCAATGTACCGAGGAGGGTCGTTGAATGTTTCCAATTAAAGAGCATCCCACTTGTTGTCCACGGCTTACTGCCCCATGAAAATAAGGTTAACCTGTTAATGAGTCATAGTCTCGTTACATATACACATTTATTATTATTTTTTAGATGTCTGTCATTAATTTTGTTTTGAAACGAACACCGAACTACACTAGCCCCATTCGCTCTAAGGTCAGTATGTATTATTGTTGTTGATTATTTATAGGTGATTTTTTTTGATGTTCTATTATAAACACTTTAATACTGTATTTTATTATAATGAGATTTACTATGTGTTAGGATGAATTGATATTTCACTGTGGTTTGAGAAGATTTACAGCTTCCCCAATATATTCGCAGCACACGCTAGCTGACAAGCACAAGGTAGAATATAATGCCGTATAAGTGGTTTTTTCAAGGGTTGCAAGTTTAGCAAATCTCACGAATTCCTTCCTGATTTGCAAAAATAAAATCCTCGAAAATCAATTTAGTACGGTACCAGCATGGCACACGTGGTAGAATTTACGAAATTAAAATCTGTGAATTGGAATTTTAGTAGATTTTGCGAAATATAATTCCTTCGAAAAAAATCGCTTATACGGTAGTGAGAATGTGTGTGGTTGTGGTGTAATAGTATTATTACTCAAGCTTTTATGTGTTGTGACAGTTGAGCATTAAAGTGTTAGGAATAACTAACACGTGTAATCGAAATAGGATGGCATACACGTAGCAAATCCCTGCACTGTGAAGCATTAAATGATATTAGTCATGTAGGAATGGTTTTAAAAAACACATATGTATAGTCACTTGCTATCAAGCTATCAATAGTGAATAGAAAATAATCTTGCGTATTCGAAATATTTGTAATTATCCTTTGCTGTTATGGTGTCCAGCTGTTTCTGCTTTGTCTAGACACTGGGAATGATTTCAGAGCCAATTAGTTCAGTCAATGGTAAAACTATTGAAGAAAATGAGTGTTCATGTCCTGTCCTGATCTAATCCATGGGATTAATATTTTATGTCTGTTACATATTCATGCCTGCTTCTTCCTCTTCCTCCTTGTCTGCTATTTGCTATTTCTATTTCTTTATATGCTTGTGTGTGTAGGTTATGCATGTATATGTGTATTAAGCAAAAGTTTCCATTTTGATCCATTGTGTTTGTTTTTGGTGCATTGCTGCTTGATCAGTTTGATGAACGATGAGTCAATGAATGAAGACAGTAAAATGAATAGTAGAAATAGTACTAATTCAGCACTCTACATAACTATAAGGATACGTAAATACTATTTATTGTATCGGAGTAATAGAGTACTTACTATCATGTAAGTCATTATAATTGCTGAAATTATTTCAATAAAACTGCTTGTTGTAAAAGAATAATAATAATAATAGTACATAAGTCTACATGTAATTATGCAATTCTCGTGACAGTGATATGCCCTCTTGACTCTCAATTGATAAAAATGCAATCAGGGCATAGTTATCATATTCCAATGGGTTTGCTACTCGAGCATAAACTATCAACTATGACCTTATTGTAGAGCACACATTAAAGCATAACTGGCTTTCATGCAGTGAGAATTATTATCATTTTGAGCTCTTTATCTGTCAACAAGTGGGAGTTACTTATGTCACTTTATTCTCTTTGTGTTAATATGGGATGGAGACTGATCTGGCCCTAATGTCATTTCCTTTCCTATTCACAGAGTGAGAGATTTTTTCGTAAGGATTGTGTGTCTGTGGCAACAGTCTATGCACCAATATCATATCCTCCGACTAAAGTATTGGCATTCAAGCAATTGGAAGGTTTGCTGATTTTTTTTGATTTGTTGTTTCTCTAAATGTACATTGCATTCACACTATTGTATTTGTCATTTAAGTTTCTATTCCTCCCTACTCTACTTCTCCTCTCTCTTCAGATGGTTCTAGGGTGTTGGTAGCCACTGGTTCAGTTTATAGTGTTAATCCTGATAGAATTATTTGTAAGAAGATCATACTCAGTGGTCACCCTTTTAAAATATTCAAGCGGTCGGCCGTCATTAGATACATGTTCTACAACAGAGGTTTGTGTGCATGTAATATACTAATCGAGTATACTAATAATGCACAGTTAGTATACTAATAATGCACAGTTAATATACTAATAATGCACATTTGCATATACTAATAATGCACATTTGCATATACTAACACTGTATGATAAATATTTTTTTGAGGCTTGAGTTGCTCTTTTGTTGTTAATGTTATTCCCCAGGTTGCTGTTAATTTTATTATGATAGCTTGATTGGTTATAGTATAGCAATAGCTAGAGGGTCCACTATGTGTGCCACACTAGCACTGTATGTAAATTATGCGTGGGAGACACTCTTGGACTGATTACATGTATTTCAGCAATCAAAGGAATATCAATAGGAGGAGTGATTTTTATATTGTAAAGCTTCAGAGACTCCTTCACTGGTTACCTGGTTACAGTTATCATAATTTTAAGATAAAGGATGGATTTGTTGTTTTATCTGTATATTTACTGTCATGATGTAAGAAATAGACTGATTTGGCAAATGATCATTTTTCCTGTTTTTACAAAACCCCTCAGTCTCTATAGTTACCAGACATGTCGTTTTCATGATATAAGAGATCTAACAATCGGTTCATTATTATGAGCCGGCCGGCCGAATGTACATGTACATGTACTACGATATGTTAATACATGTATACGGACCACACGTACTCTGTTTTGGGTAGATTAATGGCGCTTATATGATATGACGTGACATAACTAGTGTACTTTACTCACTTTTATGTGTAGTGAATGCTTTCATGACATTGCTACCTTCAATAGTGGAGTACTATAAGGAATTGTTCTTCAGTAATGCACGGTGTTACATATTGTCCAGCCATAAGCATACCTCATTTTCAAGAAAATTTTGTATGGGCATAATCATAAGTCATTTCTATTATTGATAGATGACATCATGTGGTTTAAACCTGTTGAATTGAAAACAAAGCTAGGACTCAGGGGACATATCAAGGAGCCATTAGGTCAGTGAACTGACTGACCCTGTGTATAATCATTCCATCAGTCTGTGCTTTACAGGTACTCATGGTCACATGAAGTGTGTCTTTGATAAGCCGCTAAAGGCTCATGACACGGTCCTAATGTGTCTCTACAAGAGAGTGTTCCCTCGCTGGTCTTACTCTCCTGAGATTGGACCACCTCCCAGCGGCTGGAGGCTTGACGAGAGCACAAGAGAAGAAGAAGAGGACGACGACGAAATGTTATTATAATTAATTTAAACACTAATAATAATAATACTGAATACATGCATAGATCTATACCTAATACATATGCAGCTATCAATGTGCATGATTTCATGTTAAAGGATAGATTGATTTATTTGCTTCACCAGATGAGGTATTGTCATTTGTGAATGGACATACCTTGGATTTATGATATTTGATGGGCTGTGTGAATAGTATGCTAGAGCCACACAAGTGCATGCTATTAAATGCAAGTTTGTCTAACCTTTTTAGGCTACATTGTACATTGGCACTGCATGTCCTTATCCATACAGTTTATTATGTGGGGGTGCCTCCAGCATGTCCATATACAAGTGCTTGATTTGATTAGTTGTTTGAGCATGTCATTACAACCTGATGTATGGTAATTGATTTAGACCATAGCTCGTGTGAATGCGCACTCTTGTCTCCTCTACTAATGAGACATTGTTTGAAGATGTGTAGGAGAACTGTAACTATATAATGACTTTAATTGCAAAAATAACAATTATTAAAAATATGAATAAAAATATACATGACGTGATTTACAATGATCATTGTTGTAGCATGTAGAGAGAGATGAGTGTGTGAATGCATTAGCTACTACTACTACTGCTAGTCCATGTTTTTACTAAGGAGACATTTTGCTATAGAGTCAATGACTTGAGGCTGATTGAGCAGGTACTTCTTGTCCTCATAGAGCATGTTAACAATGGCCTCATCGTCGAAACTAAGCGGATCAATCTCTTCCGTTAGTGGAGGAGAAAGTCGGAAATATGGAGTCTTGAGAGACTTGCACCAGGTCTTTGCTCTTTGGACCTCCTGTCCATCGGATTGTGTGACTTGAGTTATGAACAGGTCGAGGAGGCTTTGTATTCCTGAGAGTGTCTCTTTCATTGAGGAAATGGTCTTGAAGCTCAATCCAGGCATGAAGACCTCAATATTGTCGACTGATTTTGAAGGTGCATATCCAGTACCTAGAGAGAGAACAAGGCCCATTTTAACATCCTTCCCTTCCTTCTCCGCCTGGTCCTGTATCTCGACCATTGCATCCAGTGTTGGGTTGTTCGCCATTAGACCCCCATCAAGAAATTTACCTTGGAATGTCGGGAAGAAGTACGGAGCTGCACTCGTAGCTTTGGCAGCTTCCCAGACTTTTCTCTCCGAGGGTCCAGCTTGTCCGTCTCTTTCGTCGCCGTAGTTGGTCATGAGATGGAGTTTGCTGGGGCTCACGTTAGCTAGGGTCGTTGTTATTATGAGCCTCTGGTCGATAGGGTGGCTCATTCTCGTGTCCTCTCCGAGCATCTCTTGGAGGTACTTGTCCATTAGCTTCCCTCTCTCGGACTTTGGTTTTGAAAACACGTCGGTGACTATCTTGTAGGTGAGCGCACGACTGACTGAGGTCTGTGCGTCTGTGTATGTGGAGATCAGTGCAACGATGGCTCCAGCACTTGTTCCAGCCACATAATCGAAATAGGAGAAGAAAGAGGGGCAGTGAGGGTCGAGCTGTTTCATCCTGTCCTCTATTGCAAGGAAAGCTTGGCATATGTTAAAGGATCTTATCCCTCCTCCGTCCATAGCAAGGAGATATGTCTCCTTTTCTTTCCTTGTTTCTGGGACTTCGTGATTGCTAATGAAATAATTCCAAGTCTTCTCCTGCAGCATTGCCATTTCTTCAAGAACTTGCGTGATCTTAACCTTGCTCCCATCTTTATCAAGGTCTTTTGATAGCTGTAGTGGAGTGATTCCATCTTCGTTGCATAGCGTGGGATCGGCTCCAAAAACAAGCAGCATCTTTACGATTACCAGATTCCCTTCGGTGATGGCAAAGTGGAGTGGTGTGTTACCAGTGCCTGGGTGATGCTGGTCTGGGTCTGCTCCTCCTAGCAGTAGGAGTAAAGTGCTCTTGATGTATTGCTTTTCTATTGCCACTATGAGGGGAGTGGAGCCACTTGACATTGGTACATCAACGGTTTGTTGCTTTTTGAGGAGAGGAGCCCTTTTCATGCTCACAGCTTTTCTTCGCCCGCGGACATGAACCGAAGTGAGACCAACCTTGCTGCAGTACTGCCATATCTGGTTGCTGTTGTCGTCGTCGACTGCCTCGTGGAGTTCAGTCACTTCATCAAAGAGATCGAGTTTTGTTGCTTGTGGCACGGCCTGCTTCATCATCAGTGCACGGATTGCTCCATTGTTGTGCGAGCCCTTGGCTATATCGATTGGGGAGAGTCCCTCAGAGTTGCGTCGTTCTATAATGTGACCGACTGGGATTGATGGAGCTGCTATAGAGAGGAGCCAATCCATTCCTTCTTTCGAGGAGGAGAAGGCAGCCGTGTGTATCGGTGTATTTCCATCGTTGTCCTCCTGGTCTAAGTTCCCTCCTTTATTCAAGAGGAGCTTTATCTCGTTCTTGTTTTGCCTGGAGCATGCATTGTGGAGCAAGACCTGAAGGAGTTTATGCCATTCTGGGTGAGCCCTTGGATCAGCTTCCATGACTTCGACAAGACGAAAGGAGATGTCTGCAGGTTGTAGAGGCTTTGGCAATACAATCTCACGTAAGATTGCCTCATTGAGCAACACTGAACCATCTCTCATCAACGGAGCAATCGTTGCATTGAGCTGGTCAAATGCAATCATTGCTTCAGATGCATCGTCCCCACCATAGAGGGTGTATGAAATGGTGGGCTTGTCTTCTTGCTCTTGGAGAAATAGGATCTGATATTTGGGTGGAGTGTAACCAAATGCAGCTTTGGTTCTCTTCCATAGTGATGACTTTTGGTCTTTGACTGGTAATAGAATGAGTGTGGACTGCACAAAGCAGTTGCTGCTGGTGCTTGAGGTGCTGCTAGTCTCCACGCTGTCGGCGCTGTTCCTCCTCACCACGAGTGCTTCGTTGGGATAATGAGCCTGCTCTATGGCGTCATAGAACTCGTGGCAGAAGGAATTCTCAGAGCATAGATGATCCAAGCTGGTGGAGTCGTTGAGTTTGCTGTGTCTGACCATGTAAGACATTTTTGCCTTGAAGTTTTTGGAGAGTTGCTGATACTACTATTCTTGTAGCTTTAGCTTGTTCTGTTCTGTGAGTCCTCTGAGCCAGCTGGGTTTATATAAGGAAAATACCACCTTACCTCATTGACTAGGAATGGAATTAGCTATTCTCTAACCCCACGGACCAATCTCTTTGCTCAGCCCACGTGCCATTAAAAATGGACAAAGGCATTGACAAAGAGAGCAATTTTGTGTCTTGTAAAGCTGTCCTGCTGGATATAGAGGGAACTACTACGTCTATTTCATTTGTAAAGGTATAATAGTCAACGTTTTGGCACTGGTATCAAACAGTCTCTTATGACTGACAGGATGTCTTATTTCCATACATAGTAGATAATGTTGAGCAGCATCTTCTTGAGCACTGGAATCAAAATGAGTGCATGAAAGATGTGTCTGATTTAAGGGAACGAGTAAAAGACATTATGCTTTTAAAAATAATGCTTGCTTTATTGTAGTTGTGTTTTTAGGCAGCCATTGATGTAGCAAATAATGTGAATGGTGTTTCCAAGATTCCTTCAACAGACAATGAAGACTGCAAAAGGTAAAGTTAGGCTATAAGATGCAAGGAAGCAAGGCTTGTAAATTTTACTTATTGGCATCATAGTTAATATGATGAGAGAATACTATGTGTATATATATATATATATATATAAGATATGCTTATTTAGTTTTAATGACTCATTTAGTATGAGGGAGTCGGTTGTACAATATGTGAAACTCCTTGTCTCTGAGGATCGTAAAGTAACAGCATTAAAAGAGCTTCAAGGTCACATGTGGCGTCATGCATATGAAGCTGGAAGAATCAAAGGACAGTGAGTCAATAGTACATGTCACCTCTCATTCTTCATTTCCCTAGTGTATATTCTGATGTCCCTCTAGCTATGGCTAGCTGGTTTAAGAAGAGAATTAAAATGTATATTTATTCGTCAGGAAGTGTTGAAGCTCAGAAGCTTTTGTTTGGTAATTCAGTAGCTGGTGACTTATTAAAGGTATGGTGTGTTTATGACTGATGTTTTTTCCTAACACAATCTTTTATTTTATCTATCCTTCTCAGTATATCTCTGGTCATTTTGATACTAAAACTGGTAACAAGCGTGAGCCATCAAGTTATACCAGAATAGCAAAAGAGATCGGGATGCTGCCTTCTCAAATCTTATTCTTAACCGATGTTGTACAAGGTATGTTATGATATACAAAGTAACGGACCATTATTTCTACAAAGGCTTAAAATTAAATAAAACAATTCTCATCATATCCTGGATTGCATGCAGTCAATGACGGTAATGCAATTATACAGCTGTGATGGCCCAAGGCTTTATTGGAATATTTTCAAATGATTAAGCTCATTATTTCCTGAGGCTGTCAATACTGTGATACTATTTAAGTGCATTGTAGTGGATGTGACTGTAGGTGCAATCCCACTGATAGAAATATGTGATGATCTAACAATCAACCTCTTTTAAGTCCTGCTAGCTCAAAACTGTGTTTTTGTAGCCTTGTGCATACCATTGACATCATCTCCATTATAATCAGAATAATGATAACAGCACTACAATAGCATCATATGCATGTATATGTAAAGAGCCTCAAGCCATTGTTTATTTAAAGGCTTCCACCCTCGCTATGATCAAGAGTCTTGCTATGACTCATGACTTAATTCCTTTCCCACGCTCTTATTCTTTTATTAGAGGCCGACGCTGCTCTGAGGTCAGGGATGCAATCGGCTCTCGTGATGCGACCTGGTAATAAAGAAGTGGGAGAGGAAGGGAAGCAAAGGTTCAGGACTTTATCTATTTTGACGGATCTGGATCTCTTCAGAATGGAAGTGGAGGGCAGCAGACAAGAAGAGAGTGTTGGACTCGGATGTGATAATGACTTTCAGGATGATATACTTCCTATCGATCGACCTCTCTCTCCTCCATCAAAGAAGTCCACTGATGACACAATATGTAGCACCTTGCACACTTGAACCGAACAACCCTGCAGCATTACCATTCAAAATTTATGTGTGTAATAATACAATACTACCAGTATAAGTAACTTGAAACTTTTAATGGCACTGTCTTTTTAAAATCAGGGCCCGTGATTTTTTTTATAGTTTTTGTGTCCCACTCAATCATGAGTGATTATAGGACGATAGCCAATTCTGATTCCAATTGAATGTTTTTAAGAACTTTTAAATTTTGGTCTGAGGCCATGGGGTACATTATTTTTACCAAAAATTACAAAAGTACCAATTTTTATTACATTTTAAAATAATAATCAAGCAACACAACTCTTGCAATAAAGTGATTATCCTTTTTAAAACACAATGAGAAAATTGCTAAAATAACTTCATTGCACATGTGTTTGCAAATGAATAGGATCTGATGTCACACTTGTCATTGTTTATCTACATGATACAGCATAATTGATGCATCCTTTGTTCAGAAGAGAACAAAGGAACAATTACATGGATTGATGGAATTATGTCACAGCAATTATGTATACCTTTCATATATCATTAAGTCTGTGAAAGAGTTTCCTCATTATTATAGCAAAGTGGAATGCATCACAAAAGAAATTTATTATAATTTGGATGCATGACGTGTGATTGAGGGAGATTTTTTGCACACAGAACTCACACACACTGCATTACATCATGTAGTCTATGAAAGTACAGTACGTAATAGTGTTCTACAGACAAAACATTACGTAGCAGCATAATTGTAATTTGTGTAGCATTAAAATAGTATTTCAAAAATATTTTTATCAATTTTTAATAAATATTATAATATTCTATATGTACATAATTATAGTGACAATAAGAAACAATCCATCAACATCATAATATTATTAAAATAAGAGAGTGAGAAATTAACAGGCTCGAAGAAATCAAAGACTGTTGCAGTGATAAAACTAGATATCTCTATCCCTCTCTGTCACCCTTTTCCACAACACCCACTCTTTTTCGTTGGTTCATCAAGAGTTTCCACTTGTTTTTGTTTTTGCTCTTCCTGCGACTAAAAGAAAGAAAAAAAGCACATCACCTTAACATCTCTCTCTCTCTCTCTCTTCCCTCTCTCTCTCTCTCTCATTACTTTTTGGTGTACTTCTCTAAAAAAGCTTTCAAACGCTTCTTGCACGTTATGCCCAGTTTTAGCGCTGACTTCATAAAAGTTCTGTATCCCAAAGTTCTCTGCATACTGTACAATACGAGTAATCACAAGAGACCCTGTTCCCCCTTACCCTCTGTCCCTCTTCTGGCTGCACTTCCCTCAAATAGTCTAAGTCACATTTTGATCCCAGTATCATCATTGATACGTCAGCTGTGGCATGTGTCTCCACGTATCCCATCCATTTGCTTAGCATTTCAAAGGATCTCATTGACGTAATGTCATACACAATCACAATACCCTGCAATAATAATTATATTGACATAATATTCATAAATCAGGAAATGGTAGAAAAATTTTGTGTTGTTTTAAAATTGTACTGTAATTTTTAAAAATTTTCAGATAGACGATATATTGATGCATCAATTTCAAGTGTACATGTAGATACAGTGATGTAAGATGCAAGTGCAATTGGTAGGTACTGTAGGGCACTTTTTTTCAAGGGCTGTATATTTTGCTGATTTCGCAATTTTTTGAAGATTCGCAAAAATTACACGTACTTCTGCGAAAATCAAATTTATTATTATGGTAAAAAATGGCAGATATGGCATAAATTTGCAAAAATTAAATCCGCAAATTTTTAGGCGAATTTGTGAAATTTACAGCCCTCGAAAAAAGGCACCCTACTGTAGCCACTTACAGCTCCTCCTCTGTAGTAGGAAGTAGTTATTGAATCATAACATTCCTGACCAACAGTGTCCCTGTGATGAGATAAGGAGCAAGAAATTAAAGAAATGAATGTAAAATATTGTTTGCGTACCACAGCTGCACTTTTAAAAACTCCCCGTCTACTTGAAAGTCTTTTTCAAACATGTCAAAACCTACTCAGAGAGTTATAATAGCAAAATACAACCACAAGAAGATGCATATGTATCACAAAATGTAACAATGAAGAATAATGCCTTGTATTACAAGCTATGCTTCTTGATTATGATCAGAATCAGCTGTAACATCCTAAGAAGTTGGAGTTGATTCAGACTAAAATTTTTCAAGATATGGCCATTTTTAAAAACTAGCCAAAATCTGCAAAATACCCAAGGCAGCCCACGGTTTTTTTTGCAAAAAATGGCTCTGAAATCACCTTCAATTTTTATTACATTTTCTGATACATATTGATGTACTTATGCTACATAGAAAGTTTGAGTTGATTCCAACTTCAATTTTTCGAGTTATGACCGTTTTTTTTGAAAACTCTGAACTTCTGAAAAATACCCAAGACTATAGCCCATGGTTTTTTCTGAAAAATGGCTCCGAAATCACCCTCAATTTTTATTACATTTTCTGATATGTATTGATGTACTTATGCTACATAGAAAGTTTGAGTCGATTCTGACTTCAATTTTTCGAGTTATGACCGGTTTTTTGAAAACTCTGAACTTCTGAAAAATACCCAAGGCTATAGCCCATGGTTTTTTCTGAAAAATGGCTCCGAAATCACCCCCAATTTTTATTACATTTTCTGATACATATTGATGTACTTATGCTACATAGAAAGTTTGAGTCAATTCCGACTTCAATTTGTCGAGTTATGACCGTTTTTTGAAAACTCTGAATTTCTGAAAAATACCCAAGGCTATATATAGCCCATGGTTTTTTCTAAAAAATGGCTCCGAAATCACCTTCAATTTTTATTACATTTTCTGATACATATTGATGTACTTATGCTACATAGAAAGTTTGAGTCAATTCCGACTTCAATTTGTCTAGTTATGACCATTTTTTAAAAACTCTAAATTTCTGAAAAATACCCAAGGCTATATATAGCCCGTGGTTTTTTCTGAAAAATAGCTCCAAAATCACCCCAAATTTTTATTAAATTTTCTGATACATATTGATGTACTTATGCTACATAGAAAGTTTGAGTCAATTCCGACTTCAATTTGTCTAGTTATGACCATTTTTTAAAAACTCTAAATTTCTGAAAAATACCCAAGGCTATATATAGCCCGTGGTTTTTTCTGAAAAATAGCTCCGAAATCACCCCAAATTTTTATTAAATTTTCTGATACATATTGATGTACTTATGCTACATAGAAAGTTTGAGTCAATTCCGACTTCAATTTGTCTAGTTATGACCGTTTTTTGAAAACTCTGAATTTCTGAAAAATACCCAAGGCTATATATAGCCCGTGGTTTTTTCTGAAAAATAGCTCCGAAATCACCCTCAATTTTTATTACATTTTCTGATATGTATTGATGTACTTATGCTACATAGAAAGTTTGAGTCGATTCTGACTTCAATTTTTCGAGTTATGACCGGTTTTTTGAAAACTCTGAATTTCTGAAAAATACCCAAGGCTATATATAGCCCATGGTTTTTTCTGAAAAATGGCTCCGAAATCACCCCCAATTTTTATTACATTTTCTGATACATATTGATGTACTTATGCTACATAGAAAGTTTGAGTCAATTCCGACTTCAATTTGTCGAGTTATGACCGTTTTTTGAAAACTCTGAATTTCTGAAAAATACCCAAGGCTATATATAGCCCATGGTTTTTTCTGAAAAATGGCTCCGAAATCACCCCCAATTTTTATTACATTTTCTGATACATATTGATGTACTCATGCTACACAGAAAGTTTGAGTCGATTCCGACTTCAATTTTTCGAGTTATGGCCATTTATAGTCCATGGTTTTTGGCTCCAAAATCACTCTACATTTTTATTGCATATTAATGTCTAACTGGAATTAGCCCCAACTGTTACACAACATAATTATTACCATAATATCATTTGCTAATCAAATGCCAGGGCCTCAACTAACCTAACGTATGCTGTCTAGCTTCTGACATAAACCTATCCTCACAAAGACGAGTGGCAATGGTCGTCTTACCAACACTCGATTCGCCTATGAGCAATATCTTGTACGCTCTGAAGAGAAAAGGAGAGAGTGAGAGAGTGAGAGAGAGAGAGAGAGTGAGAGTGAGAGTGAGAGTGAGAAAGAGAGAGAGAGAGAGAGAGTGAGAGAGAGAGGGAGAGAGAGAGTGAGAAAGAGAGAGAGAGAGAGAGAGTGAGAGAGAGAGGGAGAGAGAGAGTGAGAGAGAGAAAGAGTGAGAGAGAGAGAGAGAGAAAGAGAGATTAAGGAAGGGAAAGAGGAAAAATGGAAGGAAGGGAGGGATCATTATTATTTGTAGTAATACATAAATTATGTGTAAAACATTATTACAATAACAAACTACTGTACATTACACAGCAACTCCCACTATTGAAAACCCATATTTAGGGGGGCCATTATAGTGGAAAGATTTCTATTAAAATATTAATTTTTGCTAAATGAGTTGTGTCCCACACTTTATGCTATAGTAAAATTGTTAGTATAGGGCATAGTAATAGTAGTTAACTAATTAAATTTTTGAGGTGAAAAATTTGCTAGTCACTAATTTCTCTGATATGCTCATCATAATTAATGACATGATACTGAAAAAATGAATAGATCAACAACTTTTCTAAAATATCCATGGTCAGTACTACCCAACAGTTGACGATACGTTTCAATTAAAGAACCAACTTTCACGCAGCCACTAATTTCATTATATCATTCCTCTAGTTTCCATTTACAAGGACATAAATAACTCTGTGGGTACTATTAAATACATCGGTGCTGTTTTCAAAGCCTAAACATGCAAAAAATGGCCATCCCTAATTACTTTGCTAGTTTTGCTCTCCTATTAGATACTCTAGGCTCTTGACTGGGTATGGAAGATGACTGGAGTGTCCTCCTCCCTTGTGGTATTGACTTGTACCCGTAAGGGTATGCCCTCTCTTCTGCCATCCTCCTGAATGGTAGGATACATAATAAAAAGAAGGAGTGAATACAAAAAGGCTACCTGTAACTCAGGCTACCACAGAGATGTCTGTGTCGAGCTGTGTGTACAAAAAAATTTTCCGGTCACACCTCGACGGGGAGGAGTTTCAAGCTTAAAAAAATAAGTTGCCTAGGCTAGCTAAAAGGCTGCAGTTTTAACAAACAAAAGTAATAGCTTTTGCAGGTAAAAATTGCTGTAAGAACACACAATTCGCAAAATTATCCTCGTTCTCAAAACTTAATACTATGCAAAAAATCATCACAAAAATGAACGGGGCGTGGCAATTTTGCTGTTTCGACCCCGCCCATCTATTTCAGCTGGCGCGATGGCAAGGTAAATGGCCGCACCTCTCACCGCCCCAATGCAAAAACACTGCTGAAGTGCTGAGACTAGCTTCTTCCGTGGTACCTCTGTCTCTCTGACTCTAAGCTGCCCAGTCCTCTTTCTTTTGATTAGGAGACTTCATACCGGCCCTGGGTTTATTCTTAGAGGTGAGAGCCGGCCCATTATTATTGTTTTAGTATGTCCAAGCGCTGATAAAAACTCGTAAACACTTACAACAATCGTTGGATTGTTCTGATAGTGAACAATGAATGTAGACACACACGCAAGGACTTGCGTTTTGTGGTTTGTTGCTGCATCTCCTGTATGTGTCTATGTCTAGGCATACATTTAAATTGTACAGCATAAGGCTGTGTGTGAGACACGATTGGCTATTACAGAGGACTGCCAAATTCTTTTGATTCCATGTCATTAGGAAGCGTACATCAATTTGTAAGAGGGAAAGAGAGCAGGGGAAGATGATTACGTGGAAATTAAACGTTACTATTCGTTGAATAGGAAGTTGAAAATCATATTTTGTAAAATGAAAGAGGAAGAGTAATTATTTTTTAAAACTCACAAAAGAATATAAAGATGAAACACACCGAATAATAGGAATACATATGTTTGCTGTGTTTATTTTATTATTATAGATAAATATTGTCCTGTTTATTTTGACTACAATTACATGCATATTTAAAGAGTCAAGCCAACCGTAGCTGGCTAGAGAATATTAACTATTTATATTATTTCTCCTCCTACACACACACACACTCTCTCTCTCTCTCCTAGCTCTCCCCACTTTAAGATGGCTAGAGCTACAGACAAGAAGTACGACCACTTATTCCAGCTGCTTCTGTGCGGCGACAGTTCTGTCGGTAAAACCTGTCTGATATCAAGATTCGCTGATAATGAATTTAGACATACACACATTAACACTATTGGTAAGGAGAGAGAGAGGGGGGGGAGAAAGAGACAGAGAGAGGGGGGAGAAAGAGACAGAGAGAGAGGGGGGAGAAAGAGACAAAGAGAGGGGGGGGAGAAAGAGACAGAGAGAAAGAGGAGGAATTTGCGATGAGTGGGAAGGATGAAAGGCACCTGTCAACTGTTGTCTTCATGTGATTGATTTGTTTTGCTCGTGCTGTCTAGGTATTGACTTCAAACTGAAACTGTTTACCATTAGAGACAAGAAGATACGAATGCAGATATGGTACAGCCTATACTAGTACTAGTATAACTACTATTACTGATTGTTATGTTCTCTACCACTGCCCACACACACACACTCATTATATAATTAGGGATACTGCAGGACAGGAGAGATATGAGACACTAACTGCTCAGTACTATAGGAAAGCTCAGGTAAAGATTAAACTTAGTACTATTGAATTCTATCTGTTTTGATTATTAGTACATCACTTACTTGCTATATGTAATAATACTACAGTCTACAGCACCACTGTAGTATGATTATTAGTATAATTATTATGCTGTAATACCACCCCATGGAGTCTTTGGGACTGCTCTTTTGTTATCTTTGAATCAGTATATATTTGTGTGTGTGACTTATTTTTATTGACTATTAGCTATCTCTTGTGCTATATAAGCATTATAGTAAATGTGTTTGCCCCAAATGTTACATAAAGGATGCAAGATATGCCTCTACCTCTCCTCTCTTTTCCTCTATTCGTAGGGTATCATTCTAGTGTATGATATCACGAGAGAGGAAACCTTTAGAAATGTGACAAAATGGTTGCGGAATATAGAAGATGTGAGTTACACAATCACACACAAATCATAGTGTACATATACAAATACATGCATGCACATAATGTACACATGCTTGCATACTATACTACATGCTTTGAACACATGCAAAGAGCATTATCTTATTACTCCTTGGCCAAGAGAGTACAGTCAATGACTTCATTCTGTCTGTCTGTCTTGTAAACTAATGTTACTGCACATTCCTTCATGCATTAATGAAGTAACAGTGAAAGTGTAGGTTTGCTATTGACCCATAAACTCTCTCACTTACTTATCTAGCAACATAATTAGCATTATGATGAGGGAAGGTATTGTCCCTCTGCTTCAAAGAAGGACTGTATTTAATAATAATGTCCTGTCTTTGTGTAGCATGGTGTCAAAGGTGTAAAGATAATACTGATTGGTAACAAGGTTGATCTGGAGTCGGAAAGAAAGATCTCTACCAGACACGGGCAAAAGGTATTATTAATCTAAGCTAAGAGATTGATTTGTGATACTTTGTACTTACAGTTGGCCAATCAACACAATATTAAATTCTTTGAAACAAGCGCATGGAAGGACATCAACGTGACTGAAGCATTCACTGAGCTAGCAGAACAAATATTAGCAAAGGTAAGATGGGATCTAATTTATGCTACATATTGAGATTTAGGAAGAGATTACAGTACGATACATCAGTAGTTTATGCTTTATTTTATTCTTTCTACACAAAATTGTAACCATTGTATTGTGTCTATTGGTTATTGTAATGTCAGCTATCATTAGAATAGCTATGACAGTGCTTAACTGTACTGTTTATATTGTCCCAATTGTTACAAATAAAGATTATTTTAAGCATGTTAATAACATGGTATAAAATAGTACTGTATAGTTATATTATCGTTTAATTTGCCAAACTTGATGACCCAGAATTTATTTCAAATGGTGTTAATTTATGATATATTTGTTACATTTAATTATTGATTACATTTCTGGTTTTGTGCTAGGTGGAATCAGGTGGAGGTAGAGACAGAGGTTCATCATCAATCAGAGAGTCAGCAATAAAACTCCATGAGCAACAACCTACTCCAGCTACCAAATCTCACGGCGGTTGTTGTAGCGGAGGTAGTAGTAACTGATGGAATAATCACTCAATCTTCCGTCTAATTATACTTAATATTCTTATCGTTGTTGTTATTATTATTATTATTATTATTTTGTTGTTTTATGATCTTGTTGTTCGTGATTTGAGGAGAATTTCAAATTAAATTATTATTACTATGTCTCTATGATTATTAAATATTATTGTATAAAATGATTTTATTGTTAATTGCAACATTGAATGAATTGTGCTGTAGACTATAGCTCTGATTAGTTTGCTGGGAAGCTTTATGCATAAAAATTGCAGCATTCAAGCAAGACCAAGTTTTGAGATGTAAAGGGAAGGAAAACATCAATTAGATCTAAATTATTTAATTTTTCATAGATCTAGGAAGCCCACGCAGACGAGGTAAACCTCACCATGAATATCCTTATCTTGGGCGATGGCTGAGGTGCGCTTTCTTCTAGCTCTGATCTTTCTCATTGCTCCTATTCAGTCTGAAAACTCCACTTTTCCCGAGCAGATACACATAGCTGCTACAGGTAAGCTACTCTAGCTATAATGTTGCTCCTCATTTGATTGGCTTCTCTCTCTGCAGAGGATCCCACCAGTATAATTGTCACTTGGATAACCTTTGCTTCTACTCCAGATTCCACTGTTTTGTGGCGTCTACATGGATCAGCAATAAAGTTGCAGCCAGTCTCAGGCTATTCAACAAATTATACTGATGGAGCAGTCAAACGC